CTGTTACATGTGGGGTTCCCCAGGGTAGCATCCTGGGTCCTCTTTTATTTTTTGTGCTATGTAAATGACATGAGAATTAGTAAAGATCAAGAATGTAAGCTTATTCTGTATGCCGATGACAGTGCAATTCTTTTTGCTCATAAAAATCAAAGTATTATTTCTCAAAAACTTGGACAAACACTACAGTCTTGTTCATCTTGGCTTGTAGATAACAAATTGTCACTTCATCTAGGAAAGACTGAATGCCTTATTTTTGGTAAACGTAAACTGAAACAAGTTAAAGAGTTCAAAATTGTTTGTAATGGACATACTATTGAATCCACAAAATCTGCCAAATATCTAGGTTTAAATATTGATGATTCTTTGTCGGATGAATCTATTTTAATAGTATTCTTACAAAGGTGAATTCACGTCTTAAGTTTTTGTATAGGCAAGCAAATGTTTTAGATTTTAGGACTAGAAAATATTTATGCTCAGCATTAATACAGTGTCACCTCGATTATGCATGTTCTTCTTGGTACCCGAGTCTGAACAAGTGTTTCAAAAGTAAGCTTCAAATTTGTCAAAATAAAATTGTTAGATTTATACATGGTATGGGACCTAGAGATAATGTCAATAATGTTATTCTTGTTAATATGTCTTTATTAAATGTATTAACAGAAATAAGCAATTACGTCTTAATCATGTTTTAAAAATTATATGAAAGAAAATTTTGTACCTGTTAGAGACATTCATTCTTATTCAACTCGGGCGAATCAGTACAATTTTAGGGTCCCAATAAGTTATGGGAAAGATAATGTAACTATTTTTCAAAAAGCAATTTATGATTGGAATTCCTTGCCTACGTGCATTAAGAAATTAATAAAATAGGAGATTACAAAAGCTCAGTGAAGGCCCATTTACTAGATCAGTTAGGAAATCATAATTAAATTCACTAGTATGACTATGCCTAGATATTGATCTTCATTTTTATTGTTTTCCTTTTAGCAAAGTAAAAGTAAATATTAAATTTTAATAGTTTATTTATATGACATCTTCCAGTTTCCAAAGTTTTGTCTTTTCAAGTTTTTTGTTGATTCTAGTAAGTATATATCCAAGGACCCCATTGGAAATAAGCCTTCGGGCTTTCATGGGCAATCCGAGGTTATTGCACACTACTTTATACATGCTTCCACTTACGTCGTCACATTATATTTTACTTGTAAATTAATATCTAGTCATAGGAAAGAAAGATTTTTAGATTTTGTTTTTTATTAATTATATTTTATTATTTAAAGAGCCTCCTGTCATATTTATGTTTGACAAACTTCGGAAATATTTTATTACAATTGTGCCATCAGTTTTATATAAAATGCATAAGTGTTTGTATGTTTTAACCTGAATAAATATCTATCTATCTAACTTTTCTTTTAAGGATTGCAGATAATGTATTTGGTAAAGTATTCACATTACATAATTTATACCAAAATGTGACGATTTTATCTTCAATTTCTGACGATAGCGGTGTTCTTCCAGTTTCTCTCTATACATATCTTATTGTTTTGAATTTTTAAAATCTTAAAACATATCTGAGAAATTTAAGTCGCACACGTTGAATAATATAAAGATTTCAAAAACCCATATTTCAGACCCGCATAAAAGAATTAGCTTGTTTTTTTTTAAATATTTTAATGAAACTATACATAGCTCGTGAAGCTTGCGTGGATAAATGTTTCTTACATTTTGAGATAGATCCTACTAAAATATAATATATTCAACAGTGTACCTATTTTTATTTTTATTTTAAATGTAAAGTGATATTGAGGCATTCTTCCTTTTAAGAATAACTTATTTACAATAAGTTTCCAATCATCACAATATTCTTCTTATAAATGTAGAGAGTTTTGTAATTCATTTTAACTGTTCTAAGTATATGTCTTAATTCATGGTTTTAAGCCGGTGTATATCATATCGGAGATATATTTTATTCTTATTTCTTTCATTAGAAATTTTTAATAACATTCAGGCTTAATGCAAACATTTTTTTATCTTTTATAAGAAAATTAAAAAAATAGGGGCAATATAGGGGAGATTTTCGCCTTGTCTTACATCATTACATGGATAGAAATTTAATTTGATTTAACACTTGATTTAGTATTATTATTATAAACATTTAAAGTATAAGCATTTTCCTTTAATAGTATGATTACCTAGTTTAATCGCCAAACAGACGCAAAAGCTTTTTTAAGGCCGATAAAGGCGCAAAATATTATTTTCTGTTACAATGTTTTACTATTATTATTATTATTATTATTATTATTATTATTATTATTATTATTATTATTAGTATTATTATATAGAGGATATTTGTTCTGTTTTTTGTTGTATAAGATGAAATTTTATTTTATCGAGTGGGCTTTTAAAACAGTATTCTCACGAGTGGCGTAGCCACGAGTGAGAATACTGTTTTTAAAGTTCACAAGATGAAATAAAATTACATCTTACACAACAAACAAACAATTTTTTTATTTTATTTTATGCTTAAAAACAAGTTAAAACGAAATTTCCATAATATTAACATTAATATTAAAATCTGTTTTCCCCATTGAGAGCCCCATTTAGTCGGAATTTCTCAATACAAGAAGTCTTGAGCTGAAAAATAAGTTCGACAATCAACGTTAAATGACGGTGATATTATTCATTTTATTTAAATAAATATGAATGATCGCTTGTTTCAATAATAAAAACAAACAATTCTTATTAGACCTGGCTTTGTTGAATGTAAGCGGCAGCCATTTTTTAAAGTTGTGTATTTAACGGGAGGAAAATAATTGTGTTTGATTCAGAGGGATATCATATGGATTTGTTAGTCATACACCTTTTTAAAAGAAAGAAAACTTATTTGAGGATTGTAACAGACAAAAAATAAGTGTTGACAGATGTGAAAACATTCAAAAAGCAGCAAGGAAAATGGAAAACTTCAAAGACTGGCTCAGGAACGCTGGGTTGTTTACTTATTCTTCGGGTGATGACTGTCATTGCTTTTCAAGTTTTCATAAAGCATACGGCAGTTATTGCTCGTAGGATACTTTAATATGCCCAAATGTCATCAAGAGCAGTTTTGCATGTGGAAGGAATGTATTTTTCAGACTGTAAAAATGAAACAAAAAAATTTAGAGACGAAATTTGGTGATTGGAATTTGAATGAATAGAAGTAAGTTTTCTTCTTTTTATTACTTTTGACATTTAAGTTATTACTCAATTTCAGTTTTGCTATTCTTTAAATAGCCTGACATTGTCAGAATTGTCAGCAAAAATAAAATTGAGGTACCACATGGGGAAATCTTACAAGTAGTTTCGTCATTGAAAAGTGTGAAATTATATTTTGATAATTTTCACTGTGAAATTATCAAATATAATGTTCACGGATAAATCAGTAATCCACTGAAAAGCATTAAATAATATTATTGAATTATATGTTTAAGAAGGAACAAATTATCTTCAGTTATAAAACGTTATAACTTTGCTATGCTGTTTTATGCTATGCTGTGCTGTGCTGTGCTGTGCTGTGCTGTGCTATGCTATGCTATGCTATGCTATGCTATGCTATGCTATGCTATGCTATGCTATGCTATGCTATGCTATGCTATGCTTAGGCTTAGATAAGTTTATGGTTATGCTTAAAGATCCTGTAACACAATTAATTATGGTTTTATTTCATAAATATGATGCTCAAATTAAGATTTGTCAATATTGTAAGTTCCAATAAGCATTATTTATAAAGATACTACCGAATTTAACATCCCATGTAAATAAAGGGAGGTATCCTATAAATTCTAAGTCAAAATTTCCAATAAGAAATGAATGCATATAATTTATTGATTACAAATATATGCAGTACATATTTTTACATGTATACAAACGATGTTTGAAAATTGTTTTATTTGCATAATTATATACATATATAAATTCATAAATTAGATATTCCTGATGAAGATATTTAATAATTTTGGTACAATTCTTTCCTTTATATAAATTTTCTTTGTTAACAATACCTAGAGGATGCTGTGAACAAATTCTACCCCAGATGTATAACATAAGAAGAATATGATAATATTGTACCACTGTATTATGGGTCAAAGTTATATCTTTAAGAACCTACTTTAGCAGAAAAGAATTTTTCTTAGTATAAGTTTCCTGAAACTTGTTTGTCTTTTTGGTATTTTAACAATAAAATAATATCTTAGAAAAAAGTTAACATAAAAAAGAATAGTATGGACATAAGAAAAAACAATACATTACACAAATAAAGTATAGTTTATAAACATTGTTTTCACCATGGTAATATTAATTATGTAAATTAATAAAAAATATGAACGCACCTGCTTTTTGTATAGATTTAAACATAAAAATATATAGGACGAAAATTTAGAACGAAATCAAAAATAATCTCTTAACAGAACAAGTACTTTCATTAAATATAGCACGGCCGTAAGACACAAAAAGTATACTAAATAAGTGCTATATTGATATAAATGATGCAAATGGATAAAAAATGAACGCTCGTATTGTATCTATGGTTTAGTCAATGTATGCAATATCATTATAACTTGTCAGATAGTGATACAAAAATGTATGCCTTTGATGAGACACATCAGCTTATCTGTTATCTAGAAACAATACATGTTATGATAACAATTAGATGAAATAGTGTATCAAATTTAGTAAAGATGCTATCATCAAACAAATCAATAAGAACAATACAAGCATATTACATTGAACACTGACCTTAAAGTCCAGTAACACCCTCAGGATAAAGTCCGTATCGTATGTTTCGTAGGTCAGCCTTTGTCCGACAAGAAAATATAGATTGCAGATGTTCTACTTGTTTTAATTAATACAACAATATTTCAAATGTCATTTTCTAATAAGTAATTAAAATGGTCCCTCAAACTCGGACATAATCAAATTTTTTGATGAACTTTTCAGTAAATGATACTATCTATATATGAGCAGATGAGGTAGGTAGGTGTGAAACTCGTATAAATTGGAACCAAGCTTTGGGGGGCTTGACAGACTTGGATGGAAACATGAGAGAAATACAGGTAAATTGATACAGATGTTGAAATAACTTATGCGTGTAATCACTATAAGACAGTTTTAGATATATTTATGATTTATGCTGGTTTTTTTTAATTTTAGTATGATATATTTCATTGTGATAAATACTTCAATTGTTCTTAGGAGTGCTCTGACGACAGAGAACATATTGTATTTATTTTACAGAATAAAACCTTCATACAAGTGTGACAAATTTATTTATCGTAAAATGCTTTATTTATTGAATATATAATTTTCTCGGTCAAATAAAATGTGTCAATATAAAAGGGGTAAAAGATAAAAACTTAAAATAAAGCCAAGACAAATTTAAGAATCATAGAATATAAATATATATATTAAGGATTTTTTTTTTCAAAATTGCAAACACAAAATGTGGATATTTTCTAATTTTGATATGAAATATATAGCTTATAAACGGAAAACAACATTTTTTTCTCAAGTTTATTCTTGAACAGTTTTTAAAAAATCTGCTTTTGAAACAGACACGTTAAGTTGATGATTTCAGATGTAGAATGGCTATGAGAACGCGTTATTGAATTCCATAATTCTATCGTCATCCTAGCGATGTTAGTTTTAATTCTTTAATAACAAATATATTTGAATGCGCTAATTTTCTCACTTTTAAATGTAATATAAACCATATTCATGAATGGTTTCATTTTTATTTTTAAAAGATTTTTGTTTTCAGCTTCCTCTTTTAGTTTCCAAAAAATTGCTCATTGACCAATTACCTGAACCATCTTTAGCTTCTGTTTTGCATTTAGTAATAATTACAGTTATACATGGGAATCAAGATACCGCTTTTTGTTTACATTTTGCTTCTTTTATCACAAATAATGATGCATTCTGCGCTGCATTCTTTATGTGATAAGCATATAACATGCTCTTGATCTATTGCTTAAAAGGTACATTAAACACCAGATATTGCTATCCGCTTTAAGTAAATTAGTTTTGTTCTTAACTACTCGCTTGTATGTTTCTTAGGCGCGAAACATTGCTAATTTTGATCTGTTTTTATTATTCTCCTTTTTAACAGTTGAATATCATAAAAGTTCTGAAGTACGTATTGTTTAGTCCTCAATAAATATCGTGTTATTAGGTCACTGGCAGAAACCTGAAAATATACACGGTCTACTTACATTTACTTACATTTAGTGCAGTTATTTTGTAAAGTAGTCCGTTATCCGTTTCAAATATCTTGACCCTCATCCATCACTGTGGGATAGAACCCGCTAGGTACTTTAAAATTCTTTGATTTTTAAAAATCTATCCAGTTAGCTTACGGAAAGACGGTGTTTCCATTCATGTGCCCGCTCGAGCGTAAAAACAATGCACAGAGGGGCACCCGAGGTTTTTACCATATGACAGCGACAGTGTCGGTGTCGGGCGATTTGCATATAGCATAATCTGTAAAGAAAAACAATATGTTCAAACGGAAAGGCAATTTTAACAACAGTTTGAATAAATGTTTCTATATTATAAACAAGAATACACAACCATGAAATGAATTTAGTACAGAAATTAACAATAAATGAATATAAACAACATACAATAAATAGTTTGTAAACTTGAAACAAGAATTTTCCCCAAATACCGCTTAGATGAAACAATGCATGTTATGATTAGCGTAAATGAAACTGTCTAGAAAATTACTAAATAATGATATGAAATAACAATATGAAATGGGTTTGATAAACAAACTAACAATAAATGAATAGGAACAATATCCAATATATCGTTAGTAAAATTGAAATAACAGTTTTGACCCAAATACTGCTACAAACGTGCCGACTTTCCTCATATAACATAGTGCACTGTTGGTCCCGACGTAGTATGCTATATAGACTAAGACAATGCAGCAAGCAAGTATTTATATGGAATCATAGTTTCAAAATGGCTGTTATGACCTCATGCCGGGAAATACCATTCTCACAATTATTTTGATTACCGGTGTTGCACATTGATTCCTATTGACATAATTTAAGCTAATGAACAACCTAAGGCAGCCGGTACTTTGAGTTTTTATACATATAAACACATTTGCACTGTCTTACGTTTAAAAATCAAACGTTTAACAATTTGTATTTAGATGTTGACGACAATTGTGCTAATTGCACTATCCTTTACTGCATTCGTTACGCCATCTCCGGTACATGAACAGAAATACTATGCAACGGAAGATTATCACTATATCCCGACACTCGAAGAACTGCAGGTAAGATTATATGTATTTATCAAATATCTGTCAATTTTATTGATTACCGTAAATGTAATGAAAACAGAACAGAAAAGAGTAGAAAGAGTGATCCCTCGGAAGCACTTATCACAAAACAAATTACATGAAAATTGCAGTCAATTGATCGAGTTTGTACATGATGGGGTAGTGGAAAAGTGCAACATTCCTCACGCCACTTAGCACCGGTTTGAGCGGTTCTTAATCTTCAACATATAAAAGTGCCGAAATCAATAGATAAATATAACAACACTAAAGTGATGTACGGGCATTTTTACAGCTGTCACATGGCACTTGACACCTGCTGTTGAGATGCATAAAAATCTGGAGAAATGCTGATCCATCTGAAGCATTAATCACAACAAAATTACATAAAATTTGCAAACTCAGTTTAAGTCTGTACATACTGATGGATAATGCTACATCAATAAAACGTGCTAGTTTGGAAGTCTGTAAGCATCGTTGCGATTACATTGGAGTATACTATGCGATGTTGCAAAAGAAAATGTTCACTTGTTTAAACATAATTGTGTAAACATATTTAAGCGATACATTTGAATATTAAGTACCAAAAGTTGCAAAGATATATTGATTATATTAGTGTTTAGTTTTTTAGCTCACCTGAGCTTGCTCAGGGTGAGCTTTTAGGATCGGTGAATGTCCGTCGTCCGTCGTCCGTCCGGCCGTCCACAATTGCTTGTGAACACTCTAGCGGTCGCATTTTTTCCTCAATCATCATCAAACTTGGTCAGTATGCTTATCTAGTTGAAAGCTCGGATGAGTTCGAACATGGGTCATCTCGGATGAAAAACTAGGTCACAAGAGCTAAAAATAGAAAAACCTTGTGAACACTCTAGAGGTCACATTTTTGACCCAATCATCATCAAACTTGGTCAGGATGTTTGTCTAGGTGATAGCTCAGATGAGTTCGAACATGGGTCATCTCGGATGAAAAAGTAGGTCACAGGAGCTATAAATAGAAAACCTTGTGAACACTCTAGTGGTCACATTTTTTAACCAATCATCATCAAACTTGGTCAGAATGCTTGTCTAGTCAATTGCTTGGATGAGTTCGAACATGGGTCATCTCTGATGAAAAACTAGGTCACAGGAGCTAAAAATAGAAAAACCTTTTGAACACTCTAGTGGTCACATTTTTGACCCAATCATCATCAAACTTTGTCAGGATGCTTGTTTAGATAATAGCTCAGATGAGTTCGAATATGGGTCATCTCGGATGAAAAACTAGGTCACCGGAGCTATAAATAGAAAAAACCTTGTTAACACTCTAGCGGTCACATTTTTGCATCAATCATCATCAAACTTGGTCAGGATGCTTATCTAGTTGGTAGCTTGGATGAGTTCGAACATGGGTCATCTCGGATGAAAAAGTAGGTCACCAGAGCTAAAAATAGAAAAAACCTTGTTAACACTTTAGCGGTCACATTTTTGCATCAATCATCATCAAACTTGATCAAGATACTTGTCTAGGTGATAGCTCGGATGAGTTCGAACATGGGTCATCTCGGATGAAAAACTAGGTCACAGGAGCTAAAAATAGAAAAACCTTGTTAACACTAGTGGTCACAATTTTGACTCAATTGTCATCAAACTTGGTCAGGAAACTTGTGTAGGTCATTGCTGGGAACAAATCGAACATGGGACATCTCGGATGAAAAAGTAGGTCACAGGAGATAAAAATAGAAAAATTTTGTGAACACTCTAGTGGCTACTGTTGTGATCCAAATATTCTGTTAATTGGTCTGAAAGTTTGTTTTGATGATTTCTAAGTCAAGATCGAACATGGGTCATCTTGGATGAAAAACTAGGTCACACCGCCCAAATATGGAAAAACCTTGTTAACATTCTAGTGGTCACATTTTTCGGCTCAATTATCATCAAACTTGGTTAGGATGCTTGTCTAGGTAATTGCTTGGATGAGTTCGAAATCGCATGTGAAACTAGGTCACCGGAGCTTAAAATAGAAGAATCTTGTTAACACTCTAGTTGCTACTGTTTTGATCCAAGTATCCTGGAAATTGGTCTGAAAGTTTGTTTTGATGATTTCTAGGTCAAGTTTGAATATGTGTCACCTGGGTAAAAAACTAGGTCGCACTGCTCAAATATGGATAATCCTTGTTAACACTGTAGTGGTCACATTTTTGACTCACCTGTCATGAGACTTGGTCAGAATGCTTGTCTAGGTAATTGTTTGGATGAGTTTGATAATTCAGGTGAGCGATCTAGGGCCATCATGGCCCTCTTGTTTGTTATCATTTTTATAAGAGTTTTCTTCAACATGCAAATAGCATATGGATTTTCAATTACTACAATTTGGCAAATTTTACCTTTCAATCTTTTGTTATTTGCAAATTTACACAATTTCGATTATTATCAAACTTAAATAAGAAAAACTAAAAGAGTAGTCAATACATTTTGCGAATTTTGAAACCCGATTTCCAGAATTGACAGATTCTTCAGAAACAAAGAGAACACTTTCTTTTGCAACAAAGTATAGATAGTATATATACACTTCACTTAATAAATTAACATTTTCTGTACAGAGTGGCATTGGTATCGGTGACCCGACAAGTCGTTATACTCCAGTTATAAAAATGATAAATGGTCATATCACAGAACAGTCACGTGAAGAAATCGAACAATTTCATGTAAGTACAATTTGTTTTTCAAAAAAGGGATAATTTGTGAAAATTGCATACATAGTAAATTTTTGCTGATGTTCACAAACAAATGTTCTTATGAGAATTTACAAACAAATGTTCTTATGAGAAACTCATGATAAAAAGCCTGGAAATGTAACAGCATACTATTTAATTAGTGACATGATTTGAGCATGCCAGTTAAACCATATGTTTTGATTTTTTTGGAAAGAAATCTATTTGTGGCCAGTCAATTGCATATTATTTTCCAATCATCAACAAAATAAAATGGGAATTCTAAGTTAGATACGTTTCAGTCAATAACTGTTTTTTTATGATTTTCATACTTTGAAAGCTGTATATGCCACAGTTTAGAGAGAAACAGAATTAAAACATGAAAGATGGGGGTCTTTTTATGATTTTGAAACTAGTTTTGTTGGCTAGAGCTTCATTGGTGATTCTTTAAATTTATCTAAAAGAAACAATTATATACTAAAGGAAGATTTTATTTCTGAAGAAAATCTGAATCCGTCCTTTGTACCAAAATAAAAACATTTCATTTAATTATGGCTCAGGGAAGACAACGACTACTTACCTGTGGGGCAAACACTAGTTAAAGGACAATAGAAAATATAAACATCCTGAATGCCTACGTTCTTGCCTACTTCTTCAAAAAAATCTAACTATTGATTTTTTTAAAGTCTGTAAAAACTGTTAATCTAATGGTGGGGCACATGAATTTTTCCAATATTTTGGAGTGATAAAATTTAAGAAAATAAATATACTAAGAAATGTTGAAGTTGAGTATGAAATCATTCTAAACTATGATATTTGTACAAAGTAACAAAACTTAGCTTTACTAGTTTGATGTTGATTAGTGTAACATATATACATGAAAGAGATGAAAAGTTGAGGTTAACAAAATATCAAAGACTGTTGTATTCCTGTAACAAAAACGGCAGAACTTGGATTAAAATGTTAATAGAATATAAATTTATTGGTTCATTATATTATAGCCTGTCATTCGATATTCAAAGTAACATTAAAACCCGCTTGTCAAGTCGCTCTTAAAAATAAGAACAACAACAGAAAGAGGTCATTTTTTTAGATTTATAATTTTTTCCAATTTGATTTCATCTTAAAACGTTTCATTAAGTTGAAGAAGCTTATTTAGCTTTGCATTTCAAAGAATATATAATTTTGATAGTTTGATTTTCTGTTAATTAATGTACATATTGTTTCAAGTTTAATTATATTTTCGTAAAGCATACAGACAGATATATATCAGTTCTTGAAATTACAATTAAGTTAGTAATCGATGGAAAAATATTGTGTTGTCAATGTGTTTAATGTATTTGTAAGAATCATTTTAAAATACTACCGATGCTGCAGTTTTCTTGTGCTTATTCATACTTGCAAGTTTTGTTGGTAACTGAGAAAATTTAACCTATTTCCAACTGAATTGTCAGAACCGTTTAATTTGAAGCGATGTTTCTCCAACTGGGGAATTGTATCACATTTAGATGATCAAAACTATTATGTTTAGAAAATCTTTATTGTATCTTTCAATGTTAAGTTTTGTTATTCGCTAAGAGTGTTGCTAATTTGAACTACATGTAAAGTAGTAGTAAAGATGTTAGCCGTAGTTAGCAGAAGAACTTTCTTTTTTTATATACAATATTGATATTGGCTGTAGAATCTTTTACAAACGAATTTGATTTAATTTTCATGTTGTCTGTTTTACCCCAACCAGTCGATCTTGATTCTACTAAAGTGCCAGAGTCAAAGAAATTACATTTCAGCTTTAGAATCTATTTTCAAAGATGGTAAAATAAAATTTGAACGCGAAAAGAGACACTGAGATACAGAATAAACAGAACACTAGTTTAATATGTACAGTATGTGCATCTTCAGACAAACATTTGCCTGATATTATACGAGATAACACCAAATTCATGTACCAGTCAATCGTTAACCACGGCCTGTAAAACTAAGGCAATAGTAAGGACTTGTGGATTGTCAAAAGCTTGTTAACTCATGGGACTGTTAGATAGGGAGAATTATACCACTGAGAGCCAACGTAATGCGTGTAGAACATATTGTAGCCAACAAAAAAAACTGCATTGACACGACCATACAGGGACTGGCGGCTGAAGGTCAAAACTTGGCTTATTTTCTCGCTATTGTTCCCCGAGGTAGGAAATGGGATTGTAATTGACTGATACTTAAGTAGAATAGAAAAGATTGACAACATGTAGCAGGCAGATGTTACAGTTCTATATAAAAATTGAAATTTGACAAACATTACTTCTAGAAAATGTAATGGTAGGCACAAAGTGGACATCATTTGTCAAGTGAACCATCACAAAATTCATCGTTAGACAATTATGTTTTACAAAATGAACATTAACAAAAAGACCAACTATTTTCTTTAGATACATTACGACCCAGAAATGAATTTAGAAGGGGAGATGGTTGAAAGCCAGGAGGCATACAACCAGATGGTACAAGCTCTTGCTGAAGGAGACGAGAAAGAAGCAACTAGAGCTGAAACAGTAGCCAAAGTTTTCATGGTAAATGCAGAATAACCAGTCCATCATATTTTAATAGATACATATTTACTAATTTTCAATTCCTCTTATATGTTTTAATATCAAGATAACATTTTCGGAAAATTAGCCCATTGAAGCAAAAAGAGGACAATCCTAGGATCACATAAATTATTTGTTTACAAAAAGGTACTTGTTAATTTTATGGAAATAAGTTTAACAAAGAAGCGTTTTATGTTTTTATTTGTAACATATTTTAATTATAAATTAAACAGGAGAAGGCTGGGTTGACTATAGAAAACAAGATAACGGAAACACCTTATCTATATGACAAGGAAGGAGACAGAGCAAAGCGTTTTGTATCATCCTCTGCAAAAACTTCTGGTCATTGGGATAAATGCATAATACCATATGAATTCGATCCCGATTATTTCAGTATGTTAAATGTCATATTTTATTATTTCGAGATGTAATTGTGTAATACATTTTATTCGTAACATATTTATATATACAATACTGTTGTTAAATATTCACAAGGCGATGAAGTAGAAGTAACGCAAAAATTATATCTGATTTTTGAGTTACTGAATCTCAATTAGCTGTAGAGAACTGTATCATTCTATGATTGTTTATTTCTTGTTCTTTTGTACGATTCTTAAAATGATCTGCGTCACGACAAAACTAAAGTAGTGGGTTTGCGACCAGAATGGATCCAGACCAGCCTGCGCATCCGAGCAGTCTGATCAGGATCCATGCTGTTCGCTATTAGTTTCTCTACTTGTAATAGGGTTTGTAAGCGAACAGCATGGATCCTGATCAGACTGCGCGGATGCGCAGGCCGGTCTGGATCCATGCTGGTCGTAAACGCATAACGTTGGTTTTGTCGTGACGCGGCCCAAATATTGCTATGTTTGATTGCTTTGTAGCTAATCCTAAAAGCAGTGTAGAAATTCCAATGAAAATAGTTGAGTCATACACTGGTTTCCGATTTGTTGAATGGAACGAGTCAACCCAAGCACTGTATGGACTTCCTCATAACAACAGACTTCGATTTGTAAATTATGACGGGTAGGTACTGCATTCACATACCGGTATACATATAATGAGAGCGGTGGTACTTATATCCCTGATTTTGAAATCGAACTCACTAACAGTCTTTATGATGACACTTTAGATAAACTAGGTATCTTGTAATTGTGATCGTTTCAGTTTGCATGTGAAAAAAACAGTGTTCAGAAATGTCTATGTCAATTGCATTGTGCACGGTGGCAATTGCAAACAAACGTGACACAAATGCTAAAAAAGGGAGTCAGCAACTTACCAATTATATTTAAGCATTTATATAGAGATAAAAATACTGATTTCTTTTTTAAAAATAGATGTGCAGGTCACATTGCCTCTAATTATTCATGGTAAAGCCTAAACAATTTCTGTTCCAGCATGTTAATTGTTAAATATGGGCAAGTATGTATATTTTTCGTTCCAGGTGTTGGTCTTATGTCGGTAATTTGCGAGGAGAGGGCCAAAGGATCTCGTGTTGTTCGGGGGTATATAAATATATTAGATAACTACTCAATAAGCTCATGAAAATTAGAAAATAAAACATATGAACGCATAAAAATAGAATGCAATGTAAATGAGGATTAAAAACTATGAAAACAGTTCTTTTAATATATTCCTTTAATATATTATTTAATGAATTTTATGTTATTAATGTTAAGAGCAGATTGTACAGTTCCATTTAAGAAGCTACAGTTTCAATATACAGTACTTTAAACATAAGATGTTAATTTAAAAATTAGATATATCAGTGTACTTGCCGTCATATCATTATTGTAAATTGAAACTTCATTCTGGTTTTGCCTTTTGTTTAACCTTTATATGTCAATCTTCAGAGTACGTGCATACATGAGATAGGACACGCGTTAGGATTCCATCACGAGCAAAAAAGCGCAATACGTGATGACTACATGAGGATAGAATGGAATGGAATAAATCCAGGTAAAAGAAAAATATGTTATAATGTTTTTTATTTATGTAGTATGTGGTAACACAATCTAAAAATGTGAGTTTCATCAGAAGCTTATTCAGTTAATTTACTCGCAGTGTTTCTAACTACTGAATACTTCTTTACTCTTCTTTAATCTCGATCCATTATATTATTATTTATTTGCCTCTGATGCTTCAAAAGTGAATTGAAAATACAGAACTTAGAAAAACTTTTTTGTTTACAATTTTTAAAATTACAATTAGCATTATTAAAAAAATTATAATTGATAATTGCAACTTTTAAACTTTTTCTATTTCTCAAGTTTTTATCGCTTCCGTATGGAGGCCATTAACGATTCTTCGGTGCAGGTCAGAATGGGTTTTCTTGAGGTACTCCTCCAACTCATTCTGTCTACTCTCGAGCTTTCCACATTTTTCCTGACTTGGTAGATATTTCATGATATGTCGGGAGCTATATCCTTTTATGATATGAATCTCTTTCTATTAATGTATGTAGACGATATGGTTGTTTTATTAAATCTAAAGAAATTCTTCAACTTTTTGTCAATGACGTCTTATTATTTTGCAATAGTTTGGGTCTTAAGATTAATGTTGAAAAAAAACTAAAGCGCTGATATTTGAAAATGGCACACCAATTCATAATTCAAAAATTATAACACAACAATTAAAGTTGTAAAATATCTAGGCGTGTTTTTGTTCAGTTATGGTAGTTTTAAAAAATAACACAGAAACTTATAACACAGCATGCCTGGATTTCATAACAAAAGCTTTTCCAATATTTAACAGTACCAACATCATACAGAATATAACTTTGCAAAACACTGTTTGGGCCAATCTTTAAATGTTCTGAGATCCAGAATCATAAATTAAACTTGTACATATCAGATATATAAAGACTACTACAGGAGTAAAGATAAATTAAATTTATAAAATAAATTTAACTGCCCTCCGTGGAGAACTATGTCGGTTACCAAGGTTTGCCATGCAAAACTTTTAATATGAGTAAGCTAATAGTATCTCTTGACAATTAAAACATCCACCGTGAAATATCGTAGAGAAAGTATATAATAAACTACATGTAAAACTTGATCATCAAAATAACTAAGCATATCAAAACAAAAACTAGGTGTCTCTAATAAAAACAAAAATTCACAAACATTTGATAGTACTACACTCAAATTGATAAAGTAAAGAATATTTGATAACTATTTACCAAAATGGTGTTTTGAAATAAATAATTCAAGCAAATCAAAAACATATGCACTTTTCAAACATGGAATTTAAAGAGATAAATAGCTAGACATTATTAAAGAAAACTACTAAAAAATGCTTTTGCTAAATTTCGAATCTCTGCACATCAATTAGCCATAAAAAAGGCGATACACCGAAATTAGCATTTCTGTAAATCATGTAAACTGCAGTCAATTAAAACGGAAAACCAGTTTTATTAGATTGTTCAAAATAACATACAATAAGAAGAATCGAACCAGTAGACGAGCCAGTCATCATGCTAAAAATGAAGGAGCCCACATGGAAAGAAAAAACGACGTGGTTAAGAAAGCACGCCCTTGCTCTGTCCCAGGCCCTAATGGCATCCTATACGAGGTATATAAGAAATGCCCAAAGCTTTTACGAACACTATGGTCACTTGTGCGGGTGGTATGGAGGAAAAGAACTGTTCCAAAATGTTGGAAGACAGCGGGTGATGTCTGGTCCCAATGGAGAAGAACCCGAAGAATGTTAGACAGTTCCAACCAATTCAGACAAATTCTGGGATTCGCCTCCCATCCAATAGGGGATTCATGGATGACATGACCATCACCACAGAAACCCACATCTAGGCCAGATGGATTCTACAAGCACTTGACGAAACAGTGACATGGACAAGGATGTTGTTTAAGCCAGGAAAGTCAAGGTGTTTGGTAGTGAGGAAGGGGAAGGTAAAAGACAGGTTCAAGCTAACTATACAGAAAGAGAATATTCCTTCGTGAGTCAACAACCCAGTGAAGTATTTGGGAAAGTGGTTTGATTCCACACTCAAGCACACCAAAAGCCAAGACTAAAACAGCAAGTTAAAGCTAATGAGAATAGACCAGAATAGTCAGAACTCCCAAGAAAGTACAAAGCATGGATCTTCCAGCACGATCTACTAGCCAGACTTATCTGGCAATTGATTGTCAACGAAATCCCCATCAGTCTAGTCGGGAAGCTGAAGCAGTCGGTTAGCAAGCATCTAAGGAGGTGGCTATGCCTCCCTCCATTATTCACCAATTTAGGTTTATATAGCCGTTCATCAAAACTACAGATGCCATTCAACTTACTGATTGAAGAGTACAAAGTTGTTAAGGCACGTTTGCTGATTACACTAAGGGACTCGTCTGATGAAAAAATCAGTGGTGCAGGCATTGAAGTACGAACTGGGAGGAAATGGTCAGTAAAGCAGGCAGCAGAACAAGCTGAAAGTAGTTTAAAGCTTCAGGATATTGTAGGAACAACAAACAATGACAGAGAAGGACTAGCTACTAAGGAGAGCAGAAGATGAAACACGGTCATCAAGATCAGTTCAACTTGGATCACAGGGGAACTGGATGAAGTCGAACTTACCAGAGAGGAACTAACCTGACAGGAGCTGTGGAGATATGAGACACTTCAATTGAGCTTTCTCCTTAGATCTGTATATGACCTACTACCCTCCCCGACAAATCTTAAACTGTATAAGTTGCCGGAAGATCCCAACTGTCCACTTTACGGGAATGCAGGATCATTACGCCATATCATGTCTGATGTAATACCACTCTGCCTCGGGGACGATACAGGTGGCGCCACAACCAAGTTCTTCGTGAAATGGCGGATATCCTGGAGAAAGAGAGGAAGAAAGATAGACCGTTAAACAAGACAGGACCATATTTTATCAACTTTGTTAAAGAGGGGGAGAAGTCTTCAAAATCTACAAGTAATGGCATTTTACATTGATTCCAAGAACTGGGAAATGTTGGTTGACCTTGAACAGAACCTTAAGTTCCTAGAGGTAGTGACTCTCACATCCCTCCGGCCAGACATGTGGTCAAAGTCTCCAAAGTTGATGGTGATGGTAGAACTCACTGTCCCTTGGGAAGAGAGAGTAAAAGAGTCGCATGAGATCAAGATATTAAAGGAGGAGCTCGGAAAACCGCAGCACATGCTCTTGGCAAGGCTGCAGAGGGAGCGTCCAGTTGACTCTGGCTAAGACGCAACGTTCAGCAGTATATCTGTATTTTCACAACAACAAAAACAAAATATGGCCAACAAAGATGAACTGGCGTCTCTCTGTTTAATGCAAGACGTATTATCAAATATGAGAAAAAGTTCGAGTTAAACCGGACGCAGAACTTACGTTATATATGGCACGCAGTGCTAAAACTTGGTACTCACGAATACGTTTAACAGTTTGTGTCAGTTTTTGGCATTGCTCACGTCTTCTTTTTTATACCAGGGTAATTATACTTTCGCCCCATAGTGCTAGGTATTCTTAATTGTCAAATATGTAGTTTTAAACATGAATATTATATTTCAAAAAGGAAGTGTTATTTAAATTAAGGATTTAAAGGTCTCTGTATAAAGTTGACAAATAACGGTACATTTATTGTTTTGTGGCGGAATTGATTTCGGTAATTCCTCCTCTTTAATCACTCCTTTAAACATTTCATTATGGGATGTAATATTATCGGCTAGGTTTATAGAAATCATCATAAGAGTTTCTTTTTTTGTACTTAGACTTTAGAATGTTCAAAATCGTATATGTTGAATGCTTATTTATTTAAACGATCACTTTTTTATCTTTTTTATTTAGATTTACACTTAGCTTTCCTTGTATAAATCATTCGTATGAGTTATGAATTAAAAAGAGAAACGGATTTCTTTATATATAGTCTTATGTTAACCATTTGTATGCGCAGCATGTTGCAGTCCACTTAAGGAAATCCGCCGAGTTATTTTGAAAAAAAAAATATTTTGGGGATTTGAGTACAATTTGATGTAGGTCTAAAATAATTAATGTGCAAAATTCTAAATCATTCTCTGATTCCACTTTTCCAGAATAATCATTTTGATTGCGTAAAAAAGACCTGATATTGAAAGGAATTTGAATCCCTGTAACTTAAATTAGGCTAAGAACCGTTTAAACACTTTGGAAAATATAATTCCAGGATCTTTTGCAAATTATCAGTTTTAAAAACCAAAGTTAAACTATGTTTCAAATATATGCTTTTAGGCGTTTACACCTTCAAATTAACATCTTCTTATATTTTTTTTTAATTTGTCCTTTTTTTATCATAAACGTCAAACAGTAAGGTATTTTGTCCCCGAAGGGTTAAAGAGTTAATCACGGTTTATTACGACATGCTAAGTGATTTATTTTGCGGTTTTAAAATCTTTCTCTATAAATAAAAGCCGTCATTCGTCAATGATTATTTTCAGATTATTGGAGTCAGTATTATATATACAACAAAGATTGGGCAGACCTTTTTGGATATTATGATCCTTCATCTGTTATGCATTACTGGAACGGGGTAAGTAAAATGACCCTTAAATTTTTTAAATCGGCAGTTATAAATCCTTCTGCGCAGTTAAGAAATAAAGCCAGTGATTAGCCCTTGCTAATCATTATAGAAACCAAGCCATTGATTCGCCCTTGCTAGCATTATAGAAATAAAGCCAGTGGTTAGCCCTTGCTAGCATTATAGAAACCAAGCCATTGTTTCGCCCTTGCTAGCATTATAGAAATAAAGCGAGTGATTCGCCTTTGCTAGCATTATAGAAATAAAGCCAGTGATTAGCCCTTGCTAGCATTATAGAAATAAAGCCAGTGATTCGCCTTTGCTAGCATTATAGAAATAAAGCCAGTGGTTAGCCCTTGCTAACATTAAAAAAACCAAGCCACTGATTTGCCCTTGCTAGCAGTATAGAGCAAATACAGTTAGCACTTAAAATGAACTTCAATATCTTGCCGTAGAAATTAAGTTGTACTGTATTCTTGTCGTAGAAATTAGGTTTCACACGAACACTTAATAATTAAAAACTTGAATTGAAGTGCGCATGTGGAAACTGAATGTAGTAGTACTGCCTTTTAAAGGGTAAAATTCTAAGCGAGAACTAGTCATAAAATCAAACAACTCCCTCTTTTTTGTGGCGGAGTTGTTTTGTTTATTTATAATTCCGTGGAGAAAATATAGACAAACCTAACAGTATGGTCATTTTGAACTAACACATATAAATCACAAATGGATGATGATTGTCATTTTCAAACACTTATTAATTAATGCACACAGTAAGGTTCACTCCTTTGTTCTCATCGTTTATGTGTTATTTCAGTATATTTCACATGAATGTGTCCTCAAACCTCAGAGAAAATATTATACAGAGATGGGCTAAGGTTGATACTACATAAATCATTCACGTCCAATATTTTTCAGAAAGTTGCTAAAATGAAGGAGTCAGCGGCACACGATGTAAATAATGTGCTTTCTGTGACCTGACATACTTTCGTTATTAGTCGCCGGTAGAAACCGGCGACTATATTTGTAACAGTTTAATATTATACCTATGGTAGGAGAAGGCATTAAAATCTGAAAATAAAAGCATATCAATTACTGAACAATTAAAGACTACAATTGTTTTCAGTAATCTCAAAAATTCAAACATAGAATAATGTTGCTCAATGAAATGAAATATTCAAATATTGACATCGTAAAAAGCAACATTACAATTTTTATAAAATGAATTAATGACGTATCCCTATGGACCAGTCATTGAATTTAGGGATGTTTTTCCTTTTTTTCAAAGTGTCAAGCGTTGCTATTTTATGATAAATAAATCATGCATGATATTTGAAATGACACTTTTAAATTATCTGGCTGTTTGTGTGTTATCAGACCTATTCTATTTTTTTATCTTATTTATTATAAACAGCTTCTCCCAGAATCACGTGACTACGCGTTGTATGTTATTGTTATAAAATCTATTAATAGTAACAAATGGCTGATAAGACAGACATACAGGTAACTTGTGAATGGTTGGCAGCTGATAAAAGTGCATATCAAAGTAATTTTGTATGAAAAATCTCGGTATGACAGTAGGGGCCGGAATCGTATTGGATACACAGAGAAAACTAATAAACTATCCTTGTGTTGATAGTTTATCGCACTGAAAGGCAATTTAACGTTAACTATATCGTCTGTAACTACAGGAATATTGATAACAGCTAAATAGTATATTTTTTCGATAGTGCATAAGAATAATTTTTTATGCAGACACCACTTTTACAGTAGAATTGCATTGTTTTATGCAATGATTAAGCATATATTTTTTCATAGTCACTTTGCAAATATTCGATGATCGGTAGTAATTTGTCGATAATTATCGGATTCTGAAGTAAACCATACGGAGTTCAAATGTATGGTACAACGGTATATGTATAAAGTAGAATTACAAGTAGAATTATAATCATATCACTTGCTTTACAAGCCTCGATGACAAGGTGTTAGATTTTAAGTTAGTTTCAAATTGAAGACTGTAGGTTCGATAAAGTGATTTTTTATGTTTTCTTTTATAATACACAATGTACTTTTTGTATTTTGCAAAACTTGACCATTTATCAAAATTATGAAATAAAAAAGTGCTAGAAATGAAACACACGATTTATCAACTTATGTTTCATAAAGTTAAAAGATATAATAAAAATCAATTTATGAAAACTACACACAGGATTTGTCCAAGATTCGAACTTGCGCCTACTACATATGTAGGTTACAACTTCGTCATACTTACCACTAGGCCATCGAGCAGTATTAATTGATATAATTATATATGTAATTATACTTACAATAAAATCGTTAACATTAATCATAATAAGTTATGTAAGCTAACGAAACAGCTCCCGATTGAGTCTCGGGTAAATATTGCCAAACAATACTTGCTTATTTAATAATGATAACAGTTTCTTGACAAAATTGCTAAGCAAGTTTGCTTCAAATATGATGTTTTATTATAACATAACATAAATTTATTGCATAAAACTCTTTTACAAAGTTTATAGCAAGAAAGATATAATTGTGGCAAGTACATGAAAACGTGTTTATGAATACACATTACTCAACTTATTGTTCCTCTTTTCTTTATACTTGAACCATTAAACTGATATTTTCTTTTATTTATGATAATACAATAATATTTCTATCCGGCGACTTGATGCTTTAGCATCAAAATCTCTACTTGTTTATATAATGAATTAGGTAACTGAAATATGAACTGTGCTTCCTCAACACCACCCATTGTCCTTAAAGATTTTTAATAGGCTGGAGGCGTTCTTGTGGGTGAAATGAGGTTAAACACTAAGTAAGTGAATATTTTAACAATAAAAAACCAACGGTCGCAACCTCCCGGTCGCTTAATTGTTAAAATTTCACTTTATAAACACTAACATTTACGTAGAAAATACGTTGTACTGTAAAGATTCCCCTAGAAATTAAATTATACTGTGATATCATGCCTTAGAAATTAAATTGTGTTGTCAAATCTTGCCTTATAAATAAAGTTGTTTAGAAATATCTTGTCGTAGAAATTAAATTGTACTTTAAATATCTTGCTGCCAATATACTTAGATATTTTGCTTAAAAAGTAGACTTTGTTACTTATTGCTAAGAACAGTTTGGTGGTATTGTGCTAAGAATTAATGTATCTCTAAAGTTGTGCATATTCATGTGTATCAAATATGAGAGACATCTGTATATTTAATCTCTTTTGACAATCAATAAATTATATAAAAGTATTTTATAAGATATAGCATTTATACTCTTGAAGGTGTATTAGATACTACACTGAACTAAAGCAAAGAATCTTACATGTTGTGCCTTTAGTTAACGCTAGCCATGCTGAGTATCTGAAATGGATTTGTTTATCTTTTAAAACCAGTTGTATGGAAAATTTAAAACAATTACACTAACTGAATAGAAAACAGTGCAGAATATGATCAGACAGAATGAATCTTGGTGTACAGTGGTCCCAATGATGTATCCAATTGCTGGCAGCAGGATCAAGCTTGCAGATATTGCCACAATTCCTGAAAATACTCAGTATATGAATTAAGATTTTCTTCAATGTCGAGAATCTCTCTTTTTTACATTTTTCACAACAGCAGTGTTAAGTTCAGTTGTTAAAAGTTGCCACATACTATTATACTCGTATATTATTGTATTATATTTTTCTGTTCCCTCGGGATCATTGGTTCCAATTCTTTATTATGTTGAAGATTTAATACTGCTTAAGTCGGTGTTATGGTGCGTAAGAGATGTTGTTCCTTTCAGTATTTCTCAAGTATGCAATTTAAATGTTATTATTGATTATATTGATCTTAATTAAAAGATATCTCCGTTTCCAGATTTTAGTGCAAACACTGCAAACATTGCAAGCTCTTCAAAATTATTTTTAAATCATTAGTTAATATGTCCAAAATCATCTTTAGAAATGCATTTGATTATTATGTCAGAAATTTATAATATTCAGGCAATGATAATGGCAAAATATCCTAGAAGAAGACTAAATACTTCCACATTATTATCATATTATGCTGAGTTTTTCCTGTCTCGTTGGTAAAGTATTTGCTGTAACATAAATATAGTGTGTCCCATTAAAAATGGAAATGAACTTTTATCTGGTGTGAATTAACAAAACGAGGTTGAAAAATAATTTAACTATTTTTGCAAACTAAATAAAGTCACCCTCGTGATTTTTCAGGATTTTACTCTAAAGTGTCTACTTTTCTTGTGAAAGCAAATTTTGATTTCTCCATGGTAAATTTTCCGTAGCCATTGCCGAAGTACTCTTCATTTGAAGATGAACGGGAGAAAGCACGTGCCATGTTTCTAAAATATTCATGAAGTTCTCGGGGTCGTTTCATGATTATATCTACAAGATGTAACAGTTTAGTTGCAATGCATGATGGAAAACTTTTTTTAAAAAAATGAAAAATAAGCACCAAGAACATCGAGTCACATGGAGTAGATCAAGAATTTGCACTTACTTTTAAGCTGAATAGAATCCCTATGAATTTCGAAATAGACTAGATCTTTATAAACGTCACGACAAATTCGCATTCTGAAGATTCCTTCATTACCACATTCTATCCAGTTCCGTAGATCCCATTTTTTACTTTGAAACTCCTGAATGACATGACTCCTACACTTAATATGATGATCCAGATTTTTTTTAAACTGTTAATCCGTCTAGAGCTATTAAAACATTGTTCAATTTGTGGAGCTATCTGGGTTAGCAAATGAAATATGTAAATGAAACACATCATAATTCAGCATATTCCAAATCCATAATTCAAGAACGGCCCATCAGTTTTAGTTGTCAACATCACAATGCTTATAACTCTTGAAAATGGATTCCTGACGACAAAAACTTGATAACGTCAACAACTATTTACGAAATATATGACGTCACAACAATGAAAAACATGCCTAGAGATATTGACGCCATGGTTAACATGACATTAATTTAAATGATTTTACTATTATATTAAATAAAAAATGGAATGTTCAAATTTGATAGGACAGACTTTTATGTTAGTTACTTTACCGTGGTACATGATTATAGATATTAGAAATTAATTTCATCACATATTTGACCAGCATTTTGAGCGCGTCATGAAAAGCCAACTATAATGGATTTGCTTGCAGTTTCCATCTAGCTTGTGATATTTGTGAAGCGCAACTCCTTAGACCTGGTCATGCGCAGGCATTTTGTTATTATCAGCTGGATGAACAAACCCATTAGATGTAGTGGAATTTTTCAGAGCGACTCAATTTTTATCTATTATCAAGCCTATTTGGTATTACACATAAATGTGACATGACGCATTAGAATCGTTGGAATTATCTACTCAGAGATGAAAATCTTATGAGATGGATACAAGAATTTGGGATAATTTTACAAATACTGTAATTTATTCAGTTATTTTAGAAATGTAATGATTAAACGGTCATAGTTTTTTATAATTCCAGTGAACTCAATAAGTGTTACAAATGGTATTTAAATAAGTGCAAGATTTAAAATATGGGCGGTCCTGACATTCAACCACATGTCCAAAAATGCTGGAGGCTAGTGTTAGGTATTTCAACGAAATTTGGAATATGACCATGTTTTCCCATTTTTTGGTATCAGTATTGATAAAATATGATAAACAAGATCAACAAGGAAAGGCGGCCTCCATGCGACCTAGCAACAAGAACGAGTGGCAAGAAGCCAAGGAGGCCCCCGAACAAAAACAAGACAGGGCGGAGCATGGACAGGCTTATCAAGAATTACAAAATGAAACATAAAAAGACATGAAATAAACCGACAAGGAAAGTTCCTGGAAGAAAAGGTAAATTAAAAAGTGGATGATATTACACAATGTTGTTGCAAAATCTCGTTTAACAATTTATAGCTTATTATGGATAAATGAATATGTTAAGACAACATGTGTCTTGTTTCAGATTTATTCTGCTCCGAAGACATAGAGTGTAAAAACGGAGGATACTCATCTGTTGTAAAAGGAGAGTGTACGTGCAGATGTCCTATTGGATTGGATCCTAAAACAAAGTGCTCAACACAAGAATTAACAGGTCTCTAATATAATATTATGAACGATCAATATTTAAACCCTACATTGGTTCCGCTTCCTATATTGTTTTCATTTTTGAACTAACCATTAACAGTTTTAACAGAGATATCAAGATGAAAATATAAAATTTGTCAGCCAACAGCATAGGTTCAATTACACAGCAATCGTATTTTCTTAGTAATTTTGTAGAGATATGTAAAGTCAAGTCAGTTCATTGTCGTTAGAATATCAGGTTTTGCAAAAATACAAAAAGCTTCACGGGACACTATCATCTAGTGAGTTCAAAGTGTCAGTATTAGAAATTTTATTGTTTTTAAGCTGTTTCTTATTCTTTAATGTCAGATAGCACATTGGTTGACCGACAATGGCCTGCAGGTTCATTTGCCATACTTAATTCTGTGAATGGGTGTCCCGAGGGCTTTGATCTAGGATGGCAGTATCATAAACCGCCGAACTATGTATGGGGATCAACGCCGTATCATGCAACACCTTCATGGGGTTGGTGGAGTGTACAGCACGAGTTTTGCAGTCGCACAGATGAAGTTAATGATGGTCCAGAGTGGCCTCCAGGAAGTTACTGTATTTACAGAAAGGGTGGCAGCTGTCCTACAGGTATATCTTAATAGTTATTAGTGATGTTTTTCGAAACGTGTTTATATTTGTTTAAAGATGCATACTCGAGTTTCTTTGTATAGATTTATTGTTGTTAGTAAGTTAGTTAGTTTTTGTTTTGTTTTGCTGGGTTTTAGGTGATACCGACTAGGTCAAAAGGTCATATGGTGATTTCCAGCGTAACCGGTGGAGGAAGACCTTAGTTGTCCCTCACTGCATAATTTCAGGCACGAGCCACAGACATTACATTAGCTAGCTGGCTTGATCGCTTTCTCAAATGCAACACTCCAAAATCCTTGGCTGGAATCGAACTCACTGTGTGAGGGGCGAGTGGTTTGAAGTCTGGTTTCTCATTGTCAAACCCAAAATGATCAATCAGAATTTGTCAATCTGTTCATTTGGTCAATGTGACTTTCGATACACATACAGTGTTACCCAGATGCTAAAGGACGCCGAGTAGATAATAATAAAAATTGTAATAAAAGTAATAATCATGATAATATTAATTAATTAATTAATTAATTAATTAATTAATTAATTAATTATCATATTCATACCCACACAAACGAAATTTAGGAGATTATAAAGGATTGAGCTTGTCGGTACGTCGGTACATTTCATGATGCTTCCGGAAGATCACTAGAATGAGAATGTCGTAAACAAACTTGGTATATATCAAGCTTATGCAGAAACCTCGGTTGAGATAGTAATTGGGCCGTCTGGGGTCAAGGTTTACTGTGATTAGAAATAGAAAAAAATGTTTTCCGAATGTAATTAGAATTAGGAATGATAGTATAATCAAATTTAGTATATAGCAAGTTTATATGAAGACCCGGTGAAGATTATTTTTAAACCTAATGGGGGCAAGGTCCCTGTTACTAAAAAAAAGAAAAATGGTTTACGATTGATAACTTGAGTAAGGAATGGAATATTGTAATAAAACTTAGCATACAGCAAGGTTATGAGCTTATGTAGAGACCTAGTTTGGGATTGCTGATGGATCCCCTATGATCAAGGTAAAGGTCACAGTTACTTAAAATAGAAAAATGATTTATGGAAGATAACTAAAGTTGGGGATGAAATATTGTAATTAAACTTGGTATATAACGAGCTTATAAAGAGATCTAGAGGTCAATGTCACTGTTACTAAAAAGGGGGGAAAATCAGGAAAATAACTAGAGTTAGGAATGAGATATTATAATCTAACTTTGTATAACAAGATTATGAATAGCACTCACTTGGGATCGTCTTTTGACCTCCTTCGGGCAAGGTCTTTTTATTGACAATAACTACAATTAAGAATGAAATATTTTAATTAGACTTGATGTATAGAAAGTTTATGTAAAGACCTGGATTGGAATTGTTTTTGTCACATCTAGAGTCAAGGTCACTGTTACTAAATTGGTAAAATATTTTCAAGACCATAATTAGAGTTAGGAATAAGAAATTATTATCAAACTTTGTATAAAGCAAGCTTACTTTAAGATCTTGTTAGGTATTTGGTTTAGTCTCCCTAGGGTTGAGGTGGTCAAGGTCTCCGTTATTAAAATAAGATACATGGTTTCTAAACATACCTTCCGTTTTCCAATGATTACTTTTTAATGAGACAATGAATTGTACGGTTTGATTCAAATTTTCTACCATTTTTTCATAGTAACCTCACTTTTTCTAACCTAGACCACTTACTTTTCAAAAAGTTATTTTATCTAATAATGGAGAGTCTCCGGTTTTGAGCTTATGTAGAGACATAGCTTGAGATTGCTGATGGATCCCCTATGATCAAGGTAAAGGTCACAGTTACTTAAAATATAAAAATGATTTATGGAAGATAACTAAAGTTGGGGATGAAATATTGTAATTAAACTTGGTATATAACGAGCTTATAAAGAGATCTAGAGGTCAATGTCACTGTTACTAAAAAGGGGGGAAAATCAGGAAAATAACTAGAGTTAGGAATGAGATATTATAATCTAACTTTGTATAACAAGATTATGAATAGCACTCACTTGGGATCGTCTTTTGACCTCCTTCGGGCAAGGTCTTTTTATTGAAAAAGAAAAATGGTGTTCGGGCAATAACTACGATTAAGAATGAAATATTTTAATTAGACTTGATGTATAGAAAGTTTATGTAAAGACCTGGATTGGAATTGTTTTTGTCACATCTAGGGTCAAGGTCACTGTTACTAAAATAGTAAAATATTTTCAAGACCATAATTAGAGTTAGGAATAAGAAATTATTATCAAGCTTTGTATAAAGCAAGCTTACTTTAAGATCTTGTTAGGTATTGGGTTTAGTCCCCCTAGGGTTGAGGTGGTCAAGGTCTCCGTTATTAAAATAAGAAACATGGTTTCTAAACATACCTTCCGTTTTCCAATGATTACTTTTTAATGAGACAATGAATTGTACGGTTTGATTCAAATTTTCTACCATTTTTTCATAGTAACCTCACTTTTTCTAACCTAGACCACTTACTTTTCAAAAAGTTATTTTATCTAATAATGGAGAGTCTCCGGTTTTGAGCTTATGTAGAGACATAGCTTGAGATTGCTGATGGATCCCCTATGATCAAGGTAAAGGTCACAGTTACTTAAAATAGAAAAATGATTTATGGAAGATAACTAAAGTTGGGGATGAAATATTATTATTAAACTTGGTATATAACGAGCTTATCAAGAGATCTAGAGGTCAATGTCACTGTTACTAAAAAAGGGCCCGGGGAAAAATCAGGAAAATAACCAGAATTAGGAATGAGATATTATAATCTCACTTTGTATAACAAGCTTATGAATAGCGATCACTTGAGCTATATGTAAATCCCTGTAATATAAATTTTGTACAGTTCTATTTCACTTTTCAAATTTTCTTAGTGGTTTGACGTTGTATGTCTTCGAATGGACTTTTGCAGAAAATTAAGACAGTAATACAGATTCCAGTATATATTTGTATAACTATATCTTTATAAAAAATACATGTGTATCTGTAAAGATAGAGGTACAGGTATGCTAATAAAGAAACAGGTAAAGGTATATACCAAAGTTCAAAAGACCTTATCTTCGACAACTCTGACTTCAGGTTTTGACACGGGCTACATTCAAATGGACGATGCTCCCACTGGCAGGACTAACGTTACTGCAGGAGAACTCCCCGACGGTGTTTATGGAGCAAACACGCGCTGGGAATTTTGTTGCCGCTCGGATTTTGCTGGTCAAGTAGAGTTTCCAACTAAAAGTTCGTTTATATTATTCCACAGGGGAAGTGGATGTCTGGACGTTAAAGGTAAATGTAGTCAGTCTTTAATATTATGCAACAATAACAACATAAACTTTATTAAGCTCAAGCCATTATAACAAGCATGTGAGCATACAGTGTATAATATCAATATGAATACAAAATCTAGTTGTCAGATGAGGTAAACTCTCAAAATTGTTAAAAAAAATAATATTAAAGGTTTAAAAGCTTGATATTAAACAAAACATTCAGGCATATTCAATGTAAACTTAATTCAGTATTATCATAAGAACTTTTTGATAATTAAATAATTGATTGCATAAAATTATTTTAAAGAAGAATAAATAAAATGCATGTGATAAAATTCTTGTTTGTGTAACCAAATGATACTATACGGTATTTACTGAGTACTTTACTGAAATCAGTTGAAGGCTAGCATAATTTTTTAAGGATAAAGGTAATTAAATCTAAGGAAATACTCCGGCAAAGTCAGAAAAAAATTGACATCAGGCTAGGTGAATATGAATGGATCAAATGTATATTTGGTGATCACATGATGCAAACACTGGTAGTTCATTGGTTATATTTACAAAGTGTGAATCTTTCAGTGGTAAATCTTTGCCACCAGTGTAGAACCAGACCAGTCGTGCGATCCTCTTTTAATGTAAAATTTCAGAATCAAAATTTCCGAAAATAACAGAAACTTGGCAGGTCCATTTAAGAAGTTCAAGAGGCTACGTGTGAATGTGAAAGAATAGTAAACTTCGTCATAGAAGTAAACAATATATTATGTATACCGCGCATACAGCAGTAATTACATTTTGGAAAAAAAAGGAAACTTCGCAGTGTTGGACATACATTAGATATTTTGCGTCATTTTAAATCAGTTTTGGTTAATCTTAAAATGAAAAAGACTGTCAACTATTGATATAGAACCAGGAGAAGAAATTGCCTTGAAGAAGTGCTTACACTTTTTTCGAAATAATTATGAAATTGTATCTGAATTATCATAATTACTTACACTAATGGTAACATAATTACTTTCAAAATTATAATTATTTTTATATGAAATATGTTTTAAGAATCGATGTTTATTTATGGATCTTTTACACGTAAACTTAACTTTAATGTGTTATAGAGTTAATGTTTTAATTGGTGTTCGAGTGCATGATGATGAAACACTTATACGTTGACGAAACACTTATACGTTATACATTTTGTATCTTTTACGTAGAGCATAGTAATAAACTTTAAATTGTGACTAGTAAACTTTTGCCACGTTGATAACAGTGTAAGAAACGATAATGTCTGGTTCTTAAAATGTTGATTTTACCAATAATGGACAGTAAGTAAGTGTTTTCCATTCACTTGAGTTTGTGGCTGCGTGATTAATGCGATATACTTGAGTCGTATGCAGGCGGTGATAGTAAAAGGCGTTGGAGCACTCTTTTAGCGATTTTGATGAGAAAGGGTTAATTAAAATGATCATTTAAAATCTTACTGTTGTTCCTTTCATCCTGATGATTTTCACATGAAGCTAAGCTTAATCCAGGCAGCCTTGTGCAAATACTTTATAGCAACAAACATTGTAGTAACTTTAGAATTTAACAATACTATTTTTTTTCAGGAATGACTTCATCTGAAGAATATTTTACTTGGCGAAGTGATACTGCTGACAACTATCATGAATTCGGCGGTGAAGTTCCATATCACTATGACTTTAGTGATACACTTTTTAATCTTTACTTCTGTTACTACACGCCCATTAATAAAGGTTTGTTTAGAAATGTATTTCTTTTTTATTGTACTTAAAATATATGTGTAACTGATCTTAGTTCACAAATCATTCTCTTTTTAACATTAACAGGGGAGAATTTCTGGTGACTTAAAATATCACAATTTCAACAATTTCATAATAGGATATATATTATGCAAGATATATCAAAGTTCAATGCTTGTACATGTATATATCAATATATTTTACATTATTATATTCAAGTATTCCGTTCTTAGTTCAAAGCTGTTCAAAACATACATATCATATGTGAATATAACTCCTTACCTCATTCTTTATAAGTTATTGCCCTATGTTTGTTTTAATGCATATTTTTACCCAAACAGTACTGATGAAGGTAAATAGATAATACATGAAATTCGACCTTGGTTAAAGTAGTTGACAAGAATGACAACTCTTCACATTCTAATTTTGGGATAATTATTTTTTCTGTGCTAAATTTTCAATTTTTATTGTGTTTGTCCAAACCATAACGCATTATATTTGAGAGACATCAGCTGTAATAGGTAAATACCTCTCATTGACCAATTGACCAACAATGTAGTTGGAATTATTAAATTGCCCTATGGAATGATAGTGTGTGATAATAGACTAATCTTTTTTTAATTAGATTTTCATCTAACGGCTTAAATCATTTTTATTTTTTTTATTTTGACATTGATTATTAAACAGTTACGAGAATAATTTGATTAAATCATTGCATACGGAATAAATAACATTTTTATTATTTTATATTTGTTTTCCATTCAGCACGATGTATTTGTTTATAATCAAAACATTTTTTAAATATCGTTCAAATTAAGAATTTTGCAGTATTTTATAATCACTAATTAATAATTATTTATTTAATTGATTATTATTATTGGTTTATATTTATGATGATATTTTTTTTCTTGATAATACGTATATTTTTACTTTCAACAACATTAACATCATTTTCCAAATGAATATATAATACCAAATATGCTCTACATTGACACGAATTTTAACACCAATTATCGCAGCAGTTGTCGCCTTCTTTGACATAAACACCTTTCTTATAACTCTGAGGATTTTGCAGCCGCCAGCTTAGCCCTGTAGGAGGCGCATTAGATTAGATATTCTGAGGTCGTTGGTTTGATCCTCAGGAAAGTCGAATTTTATCCATGATAATTTGAGCCGCGTCACGACAAAACCAACATAGTGCGTTTACGACCAGCATGGATGCAGACAGCGCAGTCTAATCAGGATCCATGCTGTTCGCTTACAAACCCTATAACAAGTAGAGAGACTGATAGCGAACAGCATGGATCCTGATCAGACTGCGCGGATGCGCAGGCTGGTCTGGATCCATGCTGGTCGCAAACCCATTATGTTGGTTTTGTGGTGACGCGGCTCATTTATCACTGACTCTGTGTATAATGTTCATTTCTCTGTCACCGCTGATTCAGAAACCACGTGATGTTAGCAGTTGGTCACTTGCGGAGGTAATTACTGGTTATTACTAGTAAGTTATCCAGAAAAATATATTTAGGTGGATTGACAGCCGAGATATGACCAAATTATGTTAAAAAATCGACGTAAGACAAAAAACAAACAAAATATAGAAAGCTCCGTGGCTCGCTGTGGATTATAAGCCCGTCATGTATTTTGGATCTTGAATAACAAAAGGTCAAGGTCTAAGAACTAAGTTTTGAAATTCTGATAAACATCTGACACGATTGTAATATAAAGAAAGTGCAAAATTATGATGTTTTTTAATCGTTTGGTTAAAATCAAGGACATTTAAACATGTAAGTTAACGCCCAAACAGTTTGAACTCGGGGAAAATAAATACTTTCAATTGCAAAATGTTTAAATAGAGGGATAATATTAAAGACAATTTTAATGAAAACTACGGTATTCCTCATGAATTTACTAAAGTCACGATTTCAACATATTGAATTCACGATTTTATTGTAAAGAAGTCAACTGCATGATTTTTAGATTTAAACATTTCTATTTTAAGTTAAAATCGTTAATTTATGATGTTGAAATCGTGCATTTGGGAAGTTGAAATAGTCAAATTTAAAACGTGAATTTATGAAGTTAAAATCTTGAATTTGTGAAGTTAAAGCAAAGTATTCATAAGTTTGAGTACGAAAGACCGGTGGGGACATTTCGACTTCATGAATTCCCGATCTCATTTTCGTGAATTCACAATTTTATCTTTCTGAATTCACGATTTCATCTTCATGAATTCACGAGTTTAACTTTACGAAGTTGAAATCGTGAAGTTGATATTGTGAATTCGTAAAGTTGAAATCGTGAATTCGTGAAGTTGAAATCGTAAATTCAGGAAGTTAAACTCGTGAATTCATGAAGTAGAAATCGTGAATTTATGAAGTTAAAGTTTGTGAACTTGAAATCGTGACTTTGTGAACTTGAAATATTTTTTAATTCATGAAGCTGAAGTCGTGAGTATACATGTAGTTGAAAACGTGAATTCACGACGCTAAAATTGAATAGTGAATTAACGAAGATGAAATCGGGAATTCATAAAGTTTAAATGTTCCCACCGGTTTTCGTATTTGAGGCATTATTTCATAAGAATCCATTCATTGAAATCGCGAATTCTTAAAGTTAAAATCGTGAATTCAAACAGTTAAAATTGTGATTTTGTGAAGTTTAAATGATGAAGACAATATGTTGAAATCGCGATTTCTTGAAGTCGTAAACATTAAATAAAATCACATGAAATTAAAATGTCCCCGCCTTACATTTATGGACAACGACAACAAATTTACGTTTTTAACAATCGGTTATGCGTTAAAGAATTATTGAATTTTCAAGTTTGTTTTCTTCCAGATTGCGGTGGTGTTTTCAACCTTGATTCAACACCGTTGGATATACAAAGCATGAATTATCCTAGTTCATATGATTCCGATATTGACTGTGTCTATACTTTACTGGTAATGATTTAGTTAATTAGTTCATTGACTGGTTTAAACTATTAGATAAGAAAATATAAAAAACACAGTATTTTATTTTAACATATTTTTAACTAAAATTAAACACATCAAATCAATTATTTTCAGTTTTCCTTCTATGTTAAAACGTGATATTCATTAGATACGTGTATTACTATTCCACAGGCGCCTGAAAATAATGTCATTCAGATAGACTTCGAAGAATTTGAGATTGATTGTGAAATGGACACTTTGGAAGTTGCTGCATCCTTACCAGGTCACAAAGGAGCAGCATATTGTGGTTCCGGGTTTAGTAAATCCATTATATCTAGTACTAATTATATGAGAGTGACACTGCGCTCAACAGGGACGAGACAAAGCGGAAATGACATACAATATCGATTTAAAGCGAGAGTCCAGCTTAAAACAGGTTTTCATTTTATTTTTACTTCATTTGTTAACTGGAATTAAAAGCTAAAGATAATTATTCGAGACCAGATAATACGGCCCTGTATGGACGGTTATTAATTGTATTACTCTCACTTAGCGACGTTTGCAACCTTTTAAACTGGCCAAAAACTTGTCAAAATTCTTTTAAATTTACGAGGTACACGGATGTCGCAGTTTTGTATCAATTTGCTGGGAAAACTTTTGGCGGCAAGAGACTTGGTTTATATTAAAGCATAACCGTGTGTGTTGTTTTCTTTTACCTGATGAAATGATAATAAGTAATAATACACAATAAATGGTGTATTGAAACACATATTAGATGATAATAATTATAATAATAATAATAATAATAATAATAACTTTATTCTTTTCACATAAAGTTACAAACCCATGAGTGCCATGGTTAACAATTACTCATTTTACAAACATATATGTCAATGGAGACATAGAATAGCCTCTTATTATCACACATTTTACAAAGGTAAAATGTACTACTGTCATGTCGCCGCTATAAGGCGGAGCTACTACTTTCAGTTTACATATGCGCACTTCGTTTCAAATTCTTAATCATTAAGACTTAGCTAAGTGTTCTACTTAATAAAAAAGCGAGAACTTGGTCAACGTTTCTTCATTAAATCAATTAACTACCGCTTTTAATGTCGGAGTCGTTTTGTTAATAATTCCACGGAGAAAATACAGACAAACACAAACATTTTTGTCATTCTGAACTAACATATACATAAATCACAAATGGAGGACGATTATTATTTAAACATTGATTAATAAATGCACACAGGTCACAGGCACATAAAGGGTAAAGTTTTACTCCCTTTACTGGTTATTTCATTATAATTCCCATGGAATTGTCCTAAAACCCTCAGCGACAAAATTATACAAAAACGTGCTAAAAGTGAAATAACAAAAATCATTCACATCCAATATTTTTAATATTCACATCCAATATAATTCATGACATACTTTTCTCTCCCTAATCAGTTCCTCACCCTGACGATTTTCCAGTAAACGCTAGTTCTCCGTCAAATTTAAAATATGCACAGTTGTCCCTCCAAAAAGATTTTCATCATTTATCTATTTTCATTTTTTGTATAAAGATATTTTATTGTTATTATTTTTCAACATGATAAGAAGTATTGGAGGTGAAGACAATTTTCCCTCATAGATTAACTACGTTTACAATGGCTCCTTATTGAAGACAGCCATTTTAACAATGTTTATGAGTGAATGTTAATTCTGTCCGATTGAAATAAGTGCACGAAATTTGCTTGCGAATACAATTTGAAATTTTCTTAGTATAGCAAATAACCATATACTGATCATTGTGATCATACTATCATATAATTCTGATTTTATAAGAAAAGAAAAAGAGTTGCTTGCTTAATGATGATTCGGAATAATTATTAAACTTCTGATTATATTAAAGAAAGAACAGATGTTATAGAAAGGGAGGGCATCGAAACACGTGACTATCTGAATTGAATGAGGGGGGGGATTAGCCCCCGAGTATAAATATCGGATTTTCGAGTATTCTAATGGTCTTTCTCTTTTAAACCATAAGCAAAAATAAAAACATGTTCCCTGTTGTCACAATATGAAACCCCAGAAAAAAGTAACCAATGAGCATCTGAATATGATATGTCTATTGCTACTGGTTGGGGACCACCAAAACCGGACAACCACCAAACCCGGACGGCCCCAAAAATGCTTTATTTAGAATTTTCTTTGTTCAGTGGTGGTCAGTCATTTTTATATCAACAATAAATGCATGTTTCTTCTAAAATTAAGTAAATAAATTTATTTCAACCCTGTAAATGGTAATATTTTAATGTCTATTTCAAGAATTTTGACGTTGAAATTTGGGGGTCAAGAAAGCAATGCCTGACCTCATATACCAGCTATAATCATTTGCAGAGTAAACAATAGAATATCCAAAACTTCAGCATTTGTTGCTGAAATATTGTATATCATGTTAAAAGTCAAAAATCAAAGCACCCAAGCTTTTATCTGAATTAAATCATGTCATGTCATGTCATGTCTTTCGTCACAATAAGTTACCCCGCCCCCCTAAAAAAACACACAAAAAACGCTTATCAATGGGTATGGTAACGAATACCTGCACTCTAGTTAACGGACTGTGCATGTATATATATACCATTTAACTCTGACACATTTTCAACAGAAAGGTCTCCAAACTATGATACAAACCTCCTTTTTTCAGATACTGCCGAATGTATCACAAATAAAGGTAAAGACAGGAGTTATTCTGGTGTTTCTAGTTATACAAAGAACTTTGAGCCTTGTCTGCCTTGGAACGAGGTTCAAAACTGCAAATACCATAGATTTGCTCCAGAGTAAGTTAAAATTTTGCTTATATTTTATTTCTAGATATGAATAGTCAAAATATTTTATGTTAACTTTATAAATTATGCAATAAATTTCCATTGTAATATGCTCATAAAATTAAACAAGAATCATTGGAAATCTAACAAGGCGTCATTTGATTTTTGTTGTCATATTATATATGTTATTTTGGTTTTGGAGTGATATATGTGGATATATTACCTGCTAAGATTTTATATCACCCGAGCCGTTAGGCGAGGGTGATATTTTATCTTGGCAGGTAATATATCCACATATATCACTCCAAAACCAAAATAATAATTTTATTACCCTTCCCCTGCCGAGTTTAGACGAATTTTAAAAAATCATTGCTGTTTCAAATGAAACGTCGAAATAAGATTCCCTTTAGGGTACCTCTTCGTCACAACATGACGTCACATAAATACATGACGTATTTTTCCCGTACCTAACGAATGTAAACAAGAGAAAAGGAGTAGTCTATTGAACGCACTTTTTTGTAATTAATATCAAGCTTTCACAAGGTCATATTTGTTTTCAATACTCATGGTAATATGTATCATTACTCTACTTTGGTAAATATTTATCATTTGACAGTTAAAAAGTGCTTGTAAATCGGAATTTACACCGCGTAAAATCGAACCGTACGCGCATCACCTCAGCGCATGTTAACAACGTTGGGTACCCAAAGGGAAAATTTAGTGTGTATATTACCCGTCTGGCTCGGTTATATCAATTTCTTTCGGGTGATCAATATCCAATCAAAAAGGCGGAAAAAATCTGAAAGGGTAATAAACATGTATGTCATCAACTGACGTCCCGATGGTCCTTGCTTAACCCTTTGTATATGTTGCGTATTTTTACACTCGAAAGTAATTGCGTATTTTACACTCGAAAGTAAAACAAATTTTTGATAAACAAGGAAATGATAGGAACCGTGTCATATGACATGCGTTACTTTTATGTTGTGGGTTGTGCACTTATACATGCTTCATATACAATATTTTTAATAATTGATAATCTCTGTTATTCTTTTTTTTTTCTTTATATTTTCATTTTTTTTCCTTTTTTTTAATTAAAAAACACCTTTTATTCTAGAACATTTGATGACGATCTATCGGAGAATTACTGTAGATATACTGGACACGGTACCGGGCCATGGTGTTACACGAACGCTGAAACATGTGCACGTGGTTATTGCGATGCCTGCAGCTCAAGTAAGTATTTTTAATATACGAGGGATGATCCAGAATGGCCAAGCATTTGTTTCTATTTGTAATAAGTTTCATGTTGTCTTCCATTACATTTATACCTGCGTAAAGTTTGATGTTTCATCTATTCAATTGGGAAAAAAATTGTACTGCCTTGAATAACCACGGAAACGCCACAGCTACGCAGCACAAAGAAAACCAGCGCCACAAATTTGCTGGAGCTTGGTGTAAAACTCGAAAAACGTCATGCTGAAATTTCACGTAATTTCTTGTGTAATCAAGTTTTAACGATTTGTAGTTGCAACGTTTATTTATTTCAAAAAGTCGTCTTCAAGGCGTCCGGAAAAGGGCGTTTTCATACACATTTGTCAACAGTTCAGAAAACTCCTTCAGAAACATCTAATATGTCAGAGATACTCAAGGGGGTATAGACATTTTTTAGAAAGCGTGACTAAGTAAATCCAATTCGATGGATTCATTTGCTTTCTTATCTAAAAAAAAAAGCGACATTAAACGAAAACTACAACATTTTATTTACCTTATTTTCGTACATTTTAATTTTTAACATCTATTTTTATCATACACATTTTTTATTTAATTAAATGACATAAAGAAATGTTACAAGTCTCATGCCTTCATCTTTAAGATGCATAATTATGATTGTCGGATTCCCCCCTCAACCAAGTCAAACAACTGTTTAATAGTCATAGGTTTAAGGACTCCCTCAACATAATTATTTACCCAATGGGTTGTAAAGCATCGCCCTTAATTAAATTGTGTATACAGCGGCAACTACTTTGAAAACAATTTAATATTTTTAACGTCACCGTTTATGACGTTGTGACAACGTTTAATCTGCACGGTATGCTCATTACAGTTTGCTTAGATATGCATGTTGTGCCCAAAACATGATAATTATTATATGTTTTTGTTTCCTTGTAAAGAAGATATATTACGCATTAATTTAATGTAGTGTTTGTTATATGATTTTTAAAATAAATATTATCTAATTACTGACTTCATTCCGGGTCTTTCTGAGTCATTCCTGTATTAAGTGGAAGAATGATTTAAGTTGGCAAGGATGATGCATCCATAAAAATTTGGCAGTATAAACACAACCTCTTAATTGATCCCCAGAGAGAAACATTATCCTTAAAGAACGGCCAAAAACTGCACAATTGAAAATGTTGCAGGTTCGTTTTAATTGAGCCTTGTCATGTCCCCAGCACCGGCTAAAGCCTAATTCAATATTTAAACGTGAAAATGGTGCAGTTTTGAATTAAGATGCATCGGTAGATGTGTTCATGTGAAAAGTTCGTGCGATTCCATGAAAAGCAACATATGCTCCTAATTAAAAGAAAGCATGTGCCCTAAACGAAAAGACGATGTGAGGAACTAAATAAAAGGGAATTTTGAATATAAAGCCTGCATATCACAGACGAGACGTCAAAAGGCAAATTTAAAAATCAGGCACCATATCCTAATGGTGATTATACAGAATTAAAGTAGGATTACTGTAACCACCCTACAAAAAGGAACAACTTGAAGGAACAAAAATTTCCACAAACATACACATTCTCCAATACGTTTAACAAGTTCATTATATTAATTCAAAGTTCTTGGAAGGAAATACTAACGTTTTTCACGTCACAGTCATGATTATTCTTAAAACAATCGCTACAAAATGTCATCATTATTCAGTACATATATGTTATTTTACTATTTCAGTGAATTGTTATGACCTTTTTGATGACTGCAGTGATCTGATAGATGCAGACCCGAGTTTCTGCTCCACAAACCTTGACGGTCAAGCTCTCAGAGGCTGTCGTTTCTCCTGTGAGCTCTGTGAGATTATTGGTAAACATATTTTCTTAATCTTGCTGAATTTGAATCGAAACTCATTTTTTAACCTGCTTAATTTGAATGAAAACTCCGTCCACAATCATCTAAATTTTAATCAAAACTTAGTTTGAACTTTGAACAGTCCACATAAAAAAATGTGCAGGTTGGTCTGGCTCAATACTGGTGCCAAAAGGTAATCACTTAGGGGTTCAGCAAGGTAATAAATGGTCAATATAGTTATTTGGTTTCAAACTTTGTCTACTGAAATACACAGCAATTTCCGTATCAAAGGTCATTATAATTCAATATAATTTTCAATAGAATAGTCTTAAGTTTACGTATATTTTAAGTACGGTTTGGTATTCATCAAGTATGTACCAGTTAAAAGCGAGAAATACATTAAATGTTGGAGAATAAGATGATTCTTCAAAGATGTATTTTAGACACATTGTGTCGTGCAGGTTAAAGTGACATTATGCCCACCCTAGAGTACATAGTGAGTGAACAGGTTAAAGTCAAAATAAGTTTACATTTTGCCATTATCAATTTTTACCATTTACTACATGAAAGATGTATAGCATACGTTTCCCCAAGGAAAATCTGTAAATATCCACCAGAATTTACCCATAACGTTCAATTTATAAAAAAGACTAGGACAGTTTTTTTAAATATTTTAGACAGATTAACATTTTATCCTTAACATTTTTTTGGTAAATCACTATTATGACAGAAAATCTTTTGAAATAGTCAGTTCAGCTATACTTGACATTGAATAAAAGAGCACATTGTCACTTTAAGAAACGTTACATTGTAAAGTGTACGAGCTTCTTTATGCTCTGTTAGATAAGGTGGCTGATTTGTTACACTTTTGCGCTATCGCCTTTTCGTCTTGTCGCTGCGAAACTGTAGCGCGTTGTCGTCCTGTAGCTTGGCATTTTTCGAATGTTTGTTTTTTTTATTATTTTTTTTATTTGCTTCTTTTCGTGCCGTTGCATGACTCGTTGTCGCGAGCATCAAAGCGCAATTAACCAATTCTTCCTTTTGAGAAAAGCGACAATTTTCATCGCGACACAACGCGCCATTTGTCTTATTTTGCTAGCGACAGGACGACAATATGACAAGGCGATAACGCGCCGTTTGGCGCTTTGTCGTGTTGTCGCCAGCGACAACGCGACGAGCAAAAGTGTAACATATCAGCCATCATAAATGTATAACTTTGACAGCTGACATTTTTTCATTGATAAGGTAAAAGTAAGAATTATATTGCGTTCTAAAATGTTTTTGTTAGGATATCAATATGATATCTGAAATTCGTTTAAAATGGTATTTATGTCATAAATTAGTGTTATAACGATGACAAATTTAATCGAGTTGATGTATAATTTTTTATATAATTTCTCTCAGAATCGGAAACAGTATGTCCAAAGCCCTCAATGGTTGAAGGAATTGCACCATCACCAATGAAAACGTCTTACGCAGTTGGAGAGCAGGTGAGATCGTGTTAATTAACATTTGATATAGTTTACCTGGGAACACTTTTTGTAATCGTTTTTATTCTAAAACAGTTGATTAAGCATGCGTTTAGAAATGATAAAATAAAACAATTTACATATAAGTTTTCAAAAAAAAACAGAGACTTTAATGTGGACAATACGATTACTGGTATGACGCGATATTTCATTTTATGTTATAGTTTATGTATACATGTAATTGTCATCTTGGGATAATTCAACTATGATATAATTTAAAACAGAAAAACAACAAACGCTCAATTCTGTTGAAAGATATAAACTTTTTAGTTTCTTATGATCAATGGCTTCGCCATGCAATAATTCATGCTGTGTTCACAGTTTATTAAGTATGGTTTAACTATATACATTATATATAAATGAAAAAATCGTTTTAACTGTTATATTATTTGAATGATACATTGGACATTTTACCGACTATACACTTTCAACTGATTATTTAGACTTTACTCGAATAGCGACTATATGATGACGTGCCATTTTAATATTCTTTCCGATTTATTGCAATATACATTGTAATTAGTATTTTTAAGCATAATTCATAGATAAAAAGAAAAATCGTAATTTTCACAGTCTTTAATTATTTAAGTTTTATATCGTTTATCTTTTATATTGGTAGAGTGGTTCTTGCTGTGTATTTTGTTTAGAGCTCTTAGAGAGCTCTGCTACGTGTAATTGTCAGAGTGTTAAATATTAAAAATTTAAAAGAACAAAATATAAAAGTGTTAATCGTGTTTGTTATATCACGTGACAGGTGGAGTATGTTTGTCCGACTGAAAACAGCAATGACGTAAGGACAAGAACGTGCACGTCAAGTGGCACATGGACCGACCTTGGATTTGTCTGCGGAGGTAAAGTACAGAACATTATGTAAGATAGGCATGAATGCCAGATTCTAACGTAACAGGTCGTCATTGAAATATTAATTGAAATATATCCCTGATATTCGCAAGAAAAACTGTTATAAAGGTTTAATAAAATATATTATAAGACTCAAATACAGATATTTGTTCGAGAGAAATATTCAGTTTTGAATATGAATACAGAGGTTCCCTTTTTATCATAAGAAATTATAGCCATAGTTGTGACAACTTCATTATTGTATCTTACTTAACCTATTTAATTTCATCAGAGCAAAGGAATCCTAGCATTACCAGTACCGATGTTCATGTATAAAGAAATGAGTCACTTCCACGGAGATGATGATGAGATCTTTTCTAATGTTGTCGAGTTGAAGTTCTGAAAATCTAAATTAATTCAACACTCTTTTTACTTTTAAAACTTTTAAAATGATCGCGTTTAATTTTTAAGCTTGTCCAATGGGATGGGGTTTGGTCGACGGCAAGTGCTACAAATGGTTCGATACATTCCTGAACCGTAACGATGCTCGAGCTTACTGTGAAAATATGGGCGCTACTCTCCCAACAACAAAAACACAGAAACAGTTAGACTACATCAGGAAGATTGTCGATGTTGACAAGTATGAAACAAATTACTAGTATTCTCATTTTTTCACTTATTTATTTATTTCATTTATTTATTTATTTATTTATTACAAAAAGTTTCTAGTTTTTGATGAATAACACAGATTTAATTTTAACGTCATAAGTTAATCTTCATTGACAGAGTAACGGACATCAAAACTGAAACAGACCCTTCATATTTTTACTTTCTAAATAAATATGGTTAATTTCAGAGAACAAATGCAGATAGTTTGGCTTGCAATGAGCAAGGTAAATGGAGCTTATGAATGGGATGATGGAACAGACCTCGAGTTTCTTGCCTGGGGAGAGAGTAAATATTTTACATAATTGAGCCGCGTCACGACAAAACCAACATAATGGGTTTGCGACCAGCATAGATCCAGACCAGCATGCGCATCCGCGCAGTCTGATCAGGATCCATGATGTTCGCTAACGGTTTCTCTTCTTTTTATAGAGTTTGTAAGCGAACTGCATGGATCCTGATCAGACTGCGCGGATGCGCAGGCTGGTCTGGATCCATGCCGGTCGCAAACCCATTATGTTGGTTTTGTCATGACACGGCTCATATCTTTTGTATTGCCAATTTTAATTTTTATCATAAAAGCGTAATATATCAAAGTCAACATCTTAAGAACTGTAATGTTTAATTTGTTTTATTTTTGTATCAATATAATGTTTTGTAATTGTTTAATCAAAAGCGTTTAATTGATTCCGATGGCTTTGATGGAAACTTTTATGCAATTCTGTTGAAATCGTTATGATGTAAAAATAATGTTTGATTTCAGATGAGCCAAGTTTCTGGGGCGCTTGTGTCACTATAAGCTCTAATGGATGGGGCTCATATGCGTGCTCGTATGATAAATCAGTCGTCTGCATGCACACACCTTCTGGTATGCTAAAAATATTTACATCGTTGATGATATGACTACACGTGCAATGAGCATCAAATACGAATACTTCATCTTACATTTTATCACTTTGGCATACTGCAGTATAAAGCTTTGATTGGAACCTTTAGTGCCTTATACACTATGACCTGAATAAATGTGATTTTTGTGATGACATTTTATATTTTTAAGAATTTGTTCCTAAAAACCATTGATAATATGTAGCTGTAAGGATAGCAAATTTGTTACAGAATTGTACTTCTCTATTATTTCATTATCATCACATGCATTGTAATAAATAAATTATTTGATAGTTTTAAATGCCCTATGTAAATAATAATGCCATATAACAATTCCCTGATTTTGTTTGTCCCGTAAGTAAACATTAAAATACAGATTTAAACTTTTTACAATTTTTGTAGAGCGGACTGTGTGTGCTGACCAGTCTAGACACTGTGAAGCTTATATCCGGGCAACCCCAGACCTTTGTGTTAGACAACAAGACTTTGCTGAGGCTAATTGTCCTTACTCGTGTGGTATTTGTAAAAATGAAGTTATAACAATACGTAAGTACCTGCAATGAAATTGTACATTTATCAAAACAATAGTTTTAAAGGTATGCAAATTTTTTCTTTTCATTTTGCCCTTACGAGGTATGGCGAGTCACGTAAGAAGTATTTCCGCCATTTTTGTTTAAAACCCCATGCATAGTAATATTGCTTCTTCATAAACACATGCCACTGCGTTTATACTTGATGCCCTCGGGTGTATTGTTACATTTTATACATGCCGCTATAGTAAAGGACTGTTTTTATATCATATAACGTCAATATACTTTTATCATGGCAAAAAAAGCAATTCTCCACTAGTTGTTATTCTTCATTATTTCTTCTAGTTCTATGAGCATATTGTTGTGCATATAAGAATGGATTTTTTCTTGCATTATTACATGTAATTATACGATTTCTAGTTCTTATGTTACTTAGTCCCATGGCGTTTGTTCTATGCGATTTGAGTATTTACTGTGCTTTTGAACCGTGCAACACATGCTTACAGAATATCTATTTCCTGAATATCTTACAAGATTGAAACATCATTAGCAGTCTCTGATATGATATACTAGTAGTCATCACACTAGTTCCAATCTGTCTGCCAGTTCTTGCATCATTTTGATTTTTGGCGTACATGGTAATCTACAAAATTCGTTTATGTAATTTATTTTTAAAAAATTGGCTTGAAATTAGATGCATTAATGTGATTCTGTAAACACAAGCTAAGCTTACTCGTAGAACAAAAGATGTTCATTAAGAATATGTTCCCCAAATGACCGCTTGACAATGATTGTTAATGCCAACTCGCTCTCTCATGAATGACACCAGGGTCTGCATTCATTCATATGACGAAGCTATTAATGTCGCATACGGAAAGTTACTGCTTGTACTGTGCTACCAGCTCGGGCCTAATCATCTAGAACGATTACTTTAATTGTGAACAATTTCTGTGTGAATTAAAAGTGAAAAAAAATCATATCAGCTCAAACAAAAACGTTTTTATTTTAGAACGCAGCACGTGCTTTGACGTTGACAGCAACTGTGACGCTTTAGTTAAAGCGACAGATGATTTTTGTGTCAGCCATACACAGTTTGCTTACACTCACTGTCAGTCTACTTGTAACATGTGTGACGTGCATGTTAGTATAGGTAAACAATTTTGTTAGTTGATATAGTTTCATTTCAAAATTGGTTATACAAAAAAATCCTTAAGCTTCCTTTACGCTATTTGGTACTTGTACAATATTGGACTTCTATTTTTATCCTCATTGGCTGATGGTCATTCAATTGTACTCTGATAACAAAATGAATCATTTTCTTTTATACTTTATATGATGTGTTTATAAGAAGAGACTATAATTATAGATGATGAATCAGATCAAGAAGACATTGGAAAAAGATGGATGAATTCGGAATACATGCCAGAGCTAAGACAACCAGAAAAACGGTCATTTGATGACTGTGTTGATTCAACAACTGTAATTATTTATTCTGATAATTCGATATGACAAACTTATGATTCCCGAAATTAATATGTAAATAACACATATGTAGATAACAGTAAAATACTGTTACCTGAGGTGTTACCCTAGCCAAAGGTTAGAAACTAAGTTGGTTAAACTGACTATTCAGTGATTATTATGAAAGTGATCCGAAATTTTGTAGATGGTTTTCTGTATCACATATGGATCTCTTCAGCACATAATTATGAAGCTCGACTGGAATTTTGACCAACAATTCCTTTATTTTGAGCCAATTGTCAACAAAAATTTCAATAAGGGTTTGTTTGAATATTTAGCATCGTTCGGTGGTAAGATTTTGTGAAAACTCTATATTTTGAGTCCGCTTAAAAACATTTCTTAAAACGCATTGCATATTTTGGGCACAACAGAGCCCACAACGGAAAGAATATCTCGACAAGGACTGCATAAAAATCCGATACAAAATGGGTAAATGATCAATGAAAAGTCAGGAGGGTAGAATCATATTTCGATCTTCTTTGATTGAATAAACTTTGAATTTAATATAAATGTTTGAAAAGTTGAAAACATACCTTGTGATTGACCTATTTTCTCCACATACTGTATATGGTGTTTTAGCTCATCTCTGGATCACAGGAAATTTACATAACTATATTTTTACTGATGCTCAATTTCAAGATCCATATGGCGTTCAACCCCCTGGAATCGTCTGCTTGTTTCATTTTGACACATACTTTCGTGCAATACCTTCCTGTTTACTTTTTTAATATTAAACTAAAAGATATTTAAGACGTGAAAAGCACTCTAGGTAGCAAGTAACTAAATTACCTGAATGCCATAGTCATTCTGATGACCCTTCATAGTGAACTTCGAAAGTAAGAAGCTCAATCAAGAAAAACATAAATGGCGTCCATTTTATTGTTTTCTTTAGAAAATAAACCATGCGAATATATTATTATTGTTGAGAAGTTTTAACAGTAAGAATGTTTTCCGTTGGCCTATGGGAAATTAACATTGCAAAACAGTTAGGGGTGACAATACACAATACAATAATCGGATCAAAATAAGGATAAATTTTAGGATCAAGATCGAGTTTGGATGAACTGTTAACCGCGCATATCTTGTAAAGTAATAATTTTCATTTTTAAGATTTCATAAAAATGCTATTTCAAGTATTACAATGAAAATTAAATCTATGAGAATAAACAATGAAGAGTGTCTGGGTGATGACTTTTAATCCTGATCAGACACGGGACCAGGTGATCAGTTTATGAAATTCATTTCGATCTAGTACCAAAACGCACTAATATAACCTGAAATATAAAGTTGTATATGTATAATATGTGTCTTTGTACTTATTCAAAAGTATATGTAAAGTAATGATTTATTATAATTTGTAAACCATGTTTTTTATCTCAGACTAAAACGACAGAAAGCACTACTTCTACGACAGAAAGCACTACTTCTACGACAGAAAGTACTACTTCTACGACAGAAAGCACTACTTCTCCGACAGAAAGCACTACTTCTACAACAGAAAGTACTACTTCTACGACAGAAAGCACTACTTCTCCGACAGAAAGCACTACTTCTACGACAGAAAGCACTACTTCTACAACAGAAAGCACTACTTCTCCGACAGAAAGCACTACTACTCCGACAGAAAGCACTACTTCTACAACAGAAAGCACTACTTCTACCACAGAAAGCACTACATCTACGACAGAAAGCACTACTTCTACGACAGAAAGTACTACTTCTACAACAGAAAGCACTACATCTACGACAGAAAGCACTACTTCTACGACAGAAAGCACTACATCTAGTACAACAACAGGTACTGCAGAAGGCGACAGTTTATAAGATCAGTAGTTCCAATATATGTTGACATATTAAATATTACATGAAATGTAATCTTATCCAATTTTTACCCAATCATTAAGCGAAGTCTGCGATATCAGTTTTTGACTTTATTGATATTTTACAATAGAAGTATTTTTTTTAAAAAGAATATTGTTTCAAATATTAATTTGCCTGATCTTTTGAGATATAAAATTATTGAAATGTAAAACAAACTACTGCAATTGAGTTTTATTTACTGTTTTGGAATATAAGTAGCAGATGATATCATATTATGGATTTTATATTTTCTATTTTAGAAATAATATCGGTCTGAGCTGTGTTTATCGTCTGTCTAACACCGGTTTAGAGTTTTGATGCGTATGAATTGACAACAAATGTCATAGACCTGATTGGTTAATTCTTTCGCATCGAAACGATTGCCTTAAAATGTTTAAGGATTGGTGAATTTAAGAATGAATCGGCATAGTTCTATAAGATATATATCTCTAATGTCTTTTTAACCCCTCTTCAATGGACAAGACTTCTGTTTAATCCTCATAGGCTGATGGTCATTAAATCATTATAAAATATGTATAATTTCACCAACCTGTTTCAGAACCTACAACCTCTACAGCTTCCCCGCCTGTTCAAGATTGTGATCCTAATGGACAACCAGCACATACAAACATTATATCTACAGCAGACGACACGGGTCAGATATACGAGTACGTGTGTGACAACGGGTTCGCTCTTTCCAGCGGCAATTTGATTAGGGCTTGCTTAGTAACTGGAGAACTGACCGGATCTCCACCCGTATGTCTTAGTAAGTGATATATCTATATAGCTTAATGTTATTGTAACACATATGATGAATGTCATATTGTTATAGAATGCTCATTGTATAAATAAATTACGAAACACACATATACACAAGAATTTCTGAGCAAATATGTATTAATTCATAGATGACTAAATTCAGAGAATGAAAAAGTTATAAAAAAAACCTAGGAATATTTGTGGAAAAAGCATTTAACCGTAGAAATTCAATCATTGAATTATTTGATATATAATGTAGACTTATTATAATGTTAATACCATTAGTAGAAACAATCTCATGTAGTCATTAGCAATAACATTGTGTCTCTGTTTACTGATATTATTACATAACTGTTTCCTTGATCTCATTACTTGCTTTAACCGTTGAATGTATCTGAAGAGAAGTAAAATGTCTTACCTGTAAAAACTATGCATACAATTTAAGTTAAATATTTACAGAAGATGAGTGGTATATTCTAGGAAATCTGCGAAAGTATAAATACTAATAAATCATTTTGAACATGATTGTAAATTTACCATATTATCAGGCTTACAGTTTTGTTTCGGCAAGGCCGATATGTTTATGAAATTATCATTACAAACGAGTTAAGTATGTATAAATTATAAATAAATTATAATCTATGTTACTTCTCTTAAAATGCGGGAAGACATGTGGATATATTCAGTGTTAATTAATCTATTATATGTCTATATGCTTGGTAAATATACTCGTACTTAATTTCACATAGGTTTAAAACTTTAAACATATGTCAAATACATTTTTTGGTTTACATTTATATCAAATGGTACTATATATATGCATGTTTATTAATATTATTATTAATGAATGTATACACCTGGAAATAAGTTAACCACACCCCGAATTTAAAATTGGTTGTGATTGAAAGCACTGTCATAAGATGACGACTTAAGTGAGCTAAGAAATAGTAATTTGATAAGTAGCAATACCAATTTAGTAATCATAGACCAGTAAATTTTTGAGTTTAGTTTATTGTTTAACCAAATTATTGAAACATAAGCAAATGTGTTGTTCTTTACCAAAAAAATGTAAGTGTTTATAAGTATGGTGTTGGAGCGTTTACAATACATTTATTGGTGGATATTTTTGGTAAATTTGTGGTCATGCAGTGAGTAATGTTTAAAACAATTTTTTTTTCTTATCTATGTCGAACCTCTTTACTTTTACGTTTATAATTATTAAGATATTGAACTTTGTGTGATACAAGTATGCACATCTTTTTCGACAAAAAAGTTATGTTCTTATTTTCAAAATTTAATATAACATTTAATTTCGTTCTTTACAGGTGAATCAGAAGTTGAGTTACCAGTAAATGACGTCAATATTCGTAGGAGGGACAGAATTCCTTGGAATGGATACACATATACAGCTATGAATAAGGACTTTATTATAACAAAGTCGGGTAAATTGACCAAATGGAGATTTTACAGCTCTCAAGACGGTGACATTTCGTTGCAAGTTTGGCGATTTAGCAACAACAATATGTAAGTTTGTGCTCCATATCTGACATCTATAATAAATCTCAATTTTGGCCTGGTTGAAAGTAATAAAATAAGGTTCAGAAAAAAAAGAAATCAACGTTGTTTATGCGTAGTTAAGACCAATGCAGATACTAGTAGGTAGAAATACAATAAAAGGGCCGGTATACATATGGTATGTCCGAGCAATAAGCAACAAAGAATTTGAACAATGAACCCTACACTATTTTACAGTCTATCTACATTGGGCGGAGAGTTACTTTCCAACAACATTGTTGAAAACATTCTTCAACTTTCCGTGTTCGTTTTCATTGCAAAACTGGTTGTGAGGAAATTGCGACAACATTACGTCAATGCAACAACTTTAGCAATAGATTTATTGAAAACTTTGTTTCTTTTGCAAAAGTTGTTTGAACAGTGCATAAATTTGTAAATACTTGTAAATATCATTATTTATTTGAATGCTGTCAAGTAAACTTTTTTTTTTCTTTTTTTTTAAAGTCTAATATCGGCGACCAAGCATTTTTAAACTAGTAAATATCATGTGTACAAAAAAGTCTGAATTTCTAAAGTTACTAGTATGTAAATTTTGTAAAATATGTTATTCAAAAGATAAGAATGTAACTGTTAACTGGAAATGTTGTACTTATTATATTAGGTCAAAAAAATCAAAATCACTAAAAGGCTAAAAAAGGAATCAGTTTTATGAACATTAGCACAAAAAAACATAAAAAGAAATAAAAGCATGTTTTCTTTGATTATGAATAAATTGGCCTTGAATCCAAGTCTTCAGTTTAGTTGTTGTTGTTTTTAATCATACTCTAAGATTGGTTTTAATTGATACACTTTACATTTTGCCTATATGTCTCTATAAAAATTGTAGCTTACGTCATGAAAGTTTTAAAACACCCTTTATTTTACAGGGACTCTGGCACTTTAATCGGATCTAACTTTGTGAGCGGAACCGGAAATGACAGGATTAGAACAATCGAAATTCCAGAATCAGAACAAATCAGCGTGCAAGTTGGTGACGTCATTGCTATGCAACAACCATTAAAAAATGCAGCTTATATTGGGTACACCAGGTGCGACCTGAACTACGAGCCAACACAAAACAATCAGCTAATTAGCAATGCGAACGACGAACCGTCATCCATTGGAAGTACATATGGATTCCAAACGGATAGTAACTACGATTGCAAAACAATGTCTTTGAACGCATTTATAAAATAAGTTGATAGAGGTTGATAGTTATCATTTCCAAACTACATGACTGTGTGTAGAGTTTAATGAAAACCAATGGCATAATATTGTTAAAGATAAAATAAATATGACCTGAAAATCAATCCAATCAACGATAATAACGATGCTTTTATTTAGTATAGCAGATAAAAATGTATACGGTTTTAAATAATGATAATTACAACTTGGCAAAAAGGTTTGTGTCTTTGACAGCAATACCTTCAATTTGTGTGGCAATATACATGGACCACATTTCTAATTTGTCACCTACATTTGTTTTATTTTCCTCAGCACTGGATCGAGTAAAAAACGAATATTAATACATCACTTAAGCCTTTCTATTTCGCAGATTGTATAAAAAATCACAGAAACGATATATTTGATAATGTTTCAAATTCATACACTCGTTAATTAAAATCTCGAAGTCAACAAAATTAAAACTTGTGCAAAGAATTGTCTTAAACTTTGTACGACAAAGAAATTTATGGAAAAAAATGATTTGGGATCGCCAAATTAATGTTTTAGTTATTTGCCCTGAATGTGAGTTTTAGCTCTATTTTGGTCATTTTCAAGAGCAGATAACTCATAACGAACTTTTGCAGCTAAAATCTTATCTTAATTCAAATTCATTTCTGTTATTTACTTGATTGTCACGGAGCAAACTGTGTTGAAATTCTATGTAACATATTTCATTATATAGTTGATTCTGTAAAATGCTAAAAAATTTAAATGTGTTTACGTATTGTAGGCTAGTAAAATTTCTTGGACAAAAATTGTTTTAAACTTGCATAATAACCAGAAACAAAATGGCAATAAATAAGTTGAAATAAATTCAGACCTCAAAATGTTTGATTGTGAGTTACCTGATCTTGAAAATGACCACGAAAGTACAAAAAATACTCTCCTTCTGGGGCAAATAACTCACAAAGGCGTGATTACATGAAAGTCACGTCCCTTTATTCAAGAAGTATATCACGAAAACCAATGACATTCGCTGAAAAAAGCAAAGTAATTTACTTAAACAATATACTTTCTAGCAAGAAGTAATTTTTAGATTAAGTTTTCGAATAACAATATCATTTATTTAAACTCAACAATAAAGATGGCATTTACTTTTACGCCAAGAAACATTATCACTTACTCCTACACTCTCGAGGTTCTATCATTTAATGATTACAAGTGTTTCCACGACCGAGCTGATGCAAAGACGTCCGTGAAACATGATTACAAGTGTTTCCACGACCGAGCTGATGCAAAGACGTCCGTGAAACATGATTACAAGTGTTTCCACGACCGAGCTGATGCAAAGACGTCCGTGAAACATGATTACAAGTGTTTCCACGACCGAGCTGATGCAAAGACGTCGGGGAAACATGATTACAAGTGTTTCCACGACCGAGCTGATGCAAAGACGTCCGTGAAACATGATTACAAGTGTTTCCACGACCGAGCTGATGCAAAGACGTCCGTGAAACATGATTACAAGTGTTTGCACGGCCGAGCTGATGCAACGACGTCGGGGAAACATAATTACAAGTGTTTGCACGGCCGAGCTGATGCAAAGACGTCGGGGAAACATGATTACAAGTGTTTGCACGGCCGAGCTGATGAAAAGACGTCGGGGGAACATGAACAGTGTTTGCACGGCCGAGCTGATGCAAAGACGTCCGTGAAACATGATTACAAGTGTTTCCACGACCGAGGTCATGCAAAGACGTCCGTGAAACATGATTACAAGTGTTTGCACGACCGAGCTGATGCAAAGGCGTCCGTGAAACATGATTACAAGTGTTTCCACGACCGAGCTGATGCAAAGACGTCCGTGAAACATGATTACAAGTGTTTGCACGACCGAGCTGATGCAAAGACGTCCGTGAAACATGATTACAAGTGTTTCCACGACCGAGCTGATGCAAAGACGTCGGGGAAGTTGAATTTCTTCTTGTATTATTTTGGTATTAAGATATTAATATAGTATTTAGATAGTGTAACACATCATGTTTATCAACAAAGTTTTACAAACTTTTAATCAATTGAATTTTTTTTCATGAAATATTATGCCATTGGTGATCACATTTTATTGTCAATATAAGGACATATATATCAATCTATAGATATATGCAAATACAAAAAATAAGATCCTTGAATGTATATGATAACACTTGTTAACATGAAAACCGAATTTACATGTTGTGTTCCATGTGTCAAAACTTAACTAAAAACTGAAACTATTTGGACAACGTATAATGACAACATATAAATAATGAAAAAGTTTCCTAGAATTTGTTTTCTTTTCATATTATTTCAACACTTTAATTCTCTTAAACTTGGCTGAACCATTCTTCCGTTGTTGAAATGACTGAAGTATGAAACGTTTATACAATTTTAATTTTAGTGAAAATATCTATGGCTTAAAGTAACTTATTTCCTGGTTTAGGACACTTAGATATTGTTCGAATTTGGAAACAAGAGTTGTCAAGTGTGGGATTGATATTAGTTAATAGAAGGCCTGAAATGTTGCAATTTGCTCCCTTATATAATTCGTGCGCCGAACTTGTAATGATGTATGTTCTCGTTAAGGGAATGACCATATACACATGTATATATGCACAATGCAATCTTTTATTCTGGTTTAAATATTTTTAAATCATATAATATAATATAAAAACAGCATCCGTAGCAGAGCTACTTTTTTTTAAACCAAACTGCACATCAGAAATAATGTTATTTTCATTACATCATTTAGTTTAATAATAATACTATTTTATTGTTCTTTGAATACAATTAAAGAACATTATTTTCACATAACAACAAGTTTAACTAGAACTATCGCTGAATGCGATTCATACCCCACCAATGTCCTTGACAGAAGACGACTTGGAAAGGTGGTTAAGGGAATAACTTTAGTTCATAATTCAATGGAATTGTAGAATTTTCGTCATCTGAGCTTGCTTATAACCATTCATATAAATTTTAAGTTTCAAGTAAATATCTGTTCTGGTTTAAGAAATATTATAGTAAATAAATTTAAAGACATAAAAATGGACTTAACTTTGTCAAAATACAATACAAAGTTATCCCCCTCCCACTTTTTTTAGTTCCGAAACTTGACCTGCATATCTTACTTGTGACACTTCGTATATATTTGAAGTTTCAATTGATTATCTGTTCTAGTTTTAGAAATATTCAAGTACATGTTAAAATTTCAGAACAGAGTCAATTTTTGACCTTTAAGTGTGGCCTTGACCTTAAGCTTGCACAAGGGTAAGATGGGCTCTGCACATTGCCCTGTTGGGGTGAACATTTGAGTCAAGTTTGAAGAAAATTCTTCCATTAGTATAGGATTTATAGAGTGGACACGACATATTGTCTAATATTTGATTGTATGTAAATTTAAAGGCTTAAAAAGGGGAATTACTTTGTCAAAATGCAATACAGAGTTATGAAACTTGACCTGCATATCTTACTTGTGACACTTCATATACATTTTAAGTTTCAAGCAAATACCTTTTCTAGTTTCAGAAATATTCAAATACATGTTAAAATTTAAGAATATTTCCTAAGTCAATGTTTGACTTTCAAGTGTGACCTTGACCTTAAGCCGGCAAAAGGGCAACATGGGTTCTTCACATAACCTTGTTGAGGTGAACATTTGAGCCAAGATTGAAGAAAATCTTTCAATTAGTGTAAGACTTCAAAGCGGACACGACATACTGTCTAATATTTGATTGTTTGATATTTGACTTTCAATTGTGACCTTGACCTTGAGCTGACACATGGGCAACATGAGTTTTGCACATCCCCTTGTTGAGGTGAACATTTGAGCCAAGTTTGAAGAAAATCTTTCAATTAGTGTAAGACTTCAAAGCGGACACGACATACTGTCTAATATTTGATTGTTTGATATTTGACCTTCAATTGTGACCTTGACCTTGAGCTGACACATGGGCAACATGAGTTTTGCACATCCTCTTGTTGAGGTGAACATTTGAGCCAAGTTTGAAGAAAATCCTTCAATTGGTATAGGATTTATAGAGCGGACACGATAATGGAGACGGACGGACGGACGCGACAAAGCGAATCCATTATAGCCTCCCCCCCCCCCCCCTCCACACAGACACACATTTCGAGGTGGGGGTATAAAAAAGGGCAAAAGGGTTCAACAACAAGTTCTAACAACATATGCAACTGTCCTTAATAGAAATCGGCATTAACTTTTTTTTTAAAGAAGAAATTGAACATTTGCTACCAATTCTTTTTCTTTTCTTTTTTTGTAAAAATATCATTTTCCTGCACTTTGAGTATGTGATGGTGTGTATGGCTGTTCAAAAAACACCATTTAGTTATTCTTAGGTAAATAGTGTACCAAGATGACTCAAGAAAGTTATTCCTCTGTAATTGTGTACAATTTTCTTTATTTCCCTTTTTTATGTTATGATATCATACAACCTCCTCTCCAGATTTCATAAGATAAGATAAGCTTTCTTTATTTATTTGATTATTTATTCCAGCCGCTTTATTTCTTTTAAGCATAGAAACTGTACTTCCTGTAATAGTTCCATATAATTCTGAAAAGAACAGGGTTAAAATCATGCACATTGTTAAAATTTTCTTCTCTTTCATTCAAAATCGTGCAAAGGTATTTCACAATTATTACTTCCCTTTTGTGTTTGGAAATAGCGCGAAAAATCACGTGGCTTACACTGTCTTAAATTTTCAAATATTTTGGTATGTTGCCACTTACGAGAACAACGATTTTTCTTAACAACGCATTTATATCTAGTTTTAAGTTTTATTAATTTTAATCGAAGAGTCTCTGTGCGTGACATATTGTTTTAATGCATTTTTGTACACATGTTTTGCTTCCCTACAGTCTAAATCAGTGAATAAATTCACCGCATTATTTACACTTTTTACATTACATATATTTACATCACTTTTCAATTCTTTCAGTTTACTTTTATTGACTGGTCTGCAGCCGACAACGATTTAAATGTATTAAGCGACGTTTGATCAATGCGACCAGCGACCACTAATTACTAGCAGCCAGTTTATTGTCATCGAGTGACCCCTTTTACCTGCCAAGTGTTTGTGTTTTTATAGAACGCCGCCTCATGCAAAAACAAAAATACAATTTTATTGTTCTTTTTTAATAGAAGGTCCGAGAACAATGGTTAGGACTGGTTTCAGAAAAGGTCGGCATACTACAGACCAAATGCTTTGCTTAACTAGGAAAAGTTACGCAAATCTACTTTTTGTGTCTTTATAGATTTCAAAAAGGCATACGATAGAAATATTTTATGGAAGCGCTTATCTGATATATCTAAGGCATTTTCTATATTCAAATTATTCAATTAGGCATATTAAATTCAGTCAAAATCCATCTCGGAATTATGGGCCTTGGATAGTGACCTCCAATTATCATCCCGAAGACATGCATTAAGTTTCAAGTCAATACCTTTAGTAGTTAAGAAGATTGATGTTACATCAACAATTTTGGCTATAAATCAGTCAAAATCCATGCTAGAGATATGAACTTTACAGTATGATTCCGAGGAGCTGTATTAAGTTTTAAGTGACTAACGTCACAAGTTTTAAAAATGATGTTACATGCAAAACTTTTACCAAGAATTTTTATGTTCAAAAAGGGTCATAATTCCGTCAAAATCCATACTAGAGTTATGAGACTTGACCTTTCAGTATGATTCCGAAGAAATGTATGAAGCTTAGAGTGAATACCACCATTAAAGATACATGTAAATGCTGCATGTAAAACTTTAACAAAATTGTTTCTATTAAAGTTCAAAAAGGACCATATTTTGTCAAGAGTTGCATTTGTATGTGTGAAGTTTCAACTCGTTCCCTTCAGTAGATTAGGGGGTCCCAACTTGCAAGAAAAAAACCTAATCGACACCGACGCCGTGTGAGTAGTACATTAGCTCAAACAGTCATGACATTTTTATTGTGTGTACCGGTTAAATCATGCAGCTGCTGAGCTAGCCTTTTACTGCACATAAAACGGTTACGCCTTGAAGGCAACACGGGGAATTGTCGTTTTACGAAGTCTTCCCGAACATAGCCTGCTTTTGTCGCTTCTAGTCTGTTCGTAATTTTCTTCAGCCTACTAATGGTTGATTCGTGGAAGCTGAAATGGCGAGCGACGTCTCGTGCCGTCGTAAAAGCCGTTAAAATTCTAATGGCAATATCGCGTGACGTGACACACCTAAATGAGCCGCGTCATGACAAAACCAACGTAATGCGTTTGCGACCAGCATGGATCAAGACCAGCCTGCGCATCCGCGCAGTCTGATCAGGATCCATGCTGTTCGCTTACAAACCCTATTACAAGTAGAGAAACTGATAGCGAACAGCATGGATCCTGATCAGACTGCGCGGATGTGCAGGCTGGTCTGGATCCATGCTGGTCTCAAACCCACTATGTTGGTTTTGTCGTGACGCGGCTCATTAGTTTTTAATATCACATGATAACAAAGTGGACGTCAAAAATTTCAACAAGGGGTGCATAAATGGGCTCGCCGTCCGCCATGTTTTGTCGGGTTACCTATAGGTACAATTGAAAAATAACATTATCAATGTACGAATTCAGTACTAGTCTGTAGGCTCTTGCATGTTATTTCTAATATGAATAAGAGTACATTCTATTTTCTTGCCAAAACTTGCACTTAATATTGTCGCTGAGAAAATGCACACTTTACCTCACGTCATAGCTAGTCAAGAGTCCGTTTCAAGGAAAACTTATTTATTTAATGCGTAATCTATATATTTGCTCATATTCATAGAACTCAATTTTAATTAATTTAAATAGAAAGTTGTTCATTCAAAAGGAGCTAGTTTGTTATGACCTGATTTAGCAGCGAATGGTAGAGTAAATAAAGTATTTTTTGGGCTTGTTGACCATGTTTGTTTGGGTTTAACATCGCATCAACACAGTATAGCTCATATGGCAACATTCTACTAGCTTTACTGGTGGAGGAAGACCTCAGGCCGTCCGTAACCAGCAAATAACATTAATGGTTGATGAAATATGGTGTTGCATGAAAAACTTAATAAACAAGCACAGTAAGTAGGAAAAGCCTACAATTCTTTGAATATTCCAGCTAAAACATTGCTCGACACGGCAGTGTGGTTCAGAACGTAAAGCCCTAGAACTGGCAATTGGCCTGCAGTTATTCCTTAATAAATTAAAATCATTCAGTTGAACTCAAGACTACTTGGAGTAGAGCAGGGTAACTTGCATGAAACATGATCTCCGTTTTCGTGTGCAGTAATGAGTAAAACAAGAGGGCCATGGTGGCCTTGAAGTCGCTCACCTGTATATAGGCCCCCGGAGCGGGGCCAGTTTAAACCCAAAGGCTTTTATTTGAACAAACTTGGAAGACACCCATTAGAAGATGTTTCATGCTAAATATCTAAGCTCTAGGTCTTTAAGTTTTTTAAAACAAGATGTCAAGTTTTTACTACACACATATAATGAAAAACAATGACACCCCACCTCCCCCCCCACCCCCGGCAGGGCCAAATTTAACCCAAGGGCTTTTATTTGAACACACTTGGTAGACACCCATATGAAGATGTTTCATGTTTAACATCTAAGCTCTATAGCTCTTTGTGTCTTTTAAAAGAAGATTTTTTAAAAGTTTTTACTATACACATATAGTGAAAAACAATGACACCCCTGGGGCGGGGCCAGTTTTGACCCCAGGGCTGTTATTTGAACAAATTTTGTAGACGGTTACTAGAAGATGTTTCATGCTTAATATCTAAACTCTAGCTATTTGGGTTTTTTCAAAGAAGATTTTTAAGTTTTGCTGTACACATATAAGGAATATCAATGTCCCCCGGGGCGGGGCCAATTTTGACTCCAGGTCTTTTATTTGAACAAACTTTGTACACAAAGATGTTTCATGCTTCATACCTATACTCTAGCTATTTGGGTTTTTTCAAAGAAGATTTTTCAAATTTTTGCTATACATAAAGAAGGAAAATCAATGACCCCCCGGGGCAGGGACAATTTTGACCCCAGGGCTTTTATCTGAACAAACTTTGTAGACACTCACTAGAAGTGCATATCGGGAAAATCAATGACCCCCTGGGGCGGGGCCAATTTTGACCCCAGGGCTTTTATTTGAACAAACTTGGTAGACACCCATTAGAAGATGTTTCATGCTAAAAATCTTAGCTCTAGCTCTTTGGGTTCTTTAAAAGAAGATTTATATGCTTGATTAAAAGGTAAAATTTTCTAAGTAAAGAAAAAGGCAAATTTTTTCTTTAAATCCATATTACAGTTATAGGCCTTGGAGAGAAAATATTTGAGGTATTACAAAAACTTTAACGTAAATTCTAAGTCGAACAAGAGCCACCGCCGGGCGGGGGCAACGCTCGACTTTTTACTTTCTCTAAAAGCAAACAAAGAAATGTTTGAACAAAATCTTAACGTTTCCTTTTTATAAATTTAATCGGTCTGTCTTGTCACATTAGTTTTGTCTATATATTTTGTATATATAAATATACTAATTTATATATATATATAAATAGAAACACGCAATTCTATAAATAGAAAATTCTATAAATAGAAACACGCAATTCTATAAATAGAAACACGCAATTCTATAAATAGAAAATTCTATAAATAGATACACGTGGTGGTGGTGACACGTGGTGGTGGTGGTGACATGAAATGACATGTGGTGGTGACACGCGGTGGTGGTGACAGGTGATGACACGTGGCCGTGACACGTGGTGGTGATGACATGTGGTGGTGGTGACATGTGGCGACACCTGGTGGTGGCGACACCTGGTGGTGGTGACATGTGGCGACGCATGGTGGTGGTGACATGTGGTGGTGGTGACATGCGATGACACGTGGTGGTGGTGACACGTGGTAGTGGTGACACGTGGTGGTTGTGACATGTGGTGATGGTGACAAGTGGTGGTGACATGTGGTGGTGGTGACACATGGTGGTGGTGACACGTGGTGGTGGTGACATGTGGTGGTGACGGTGACACATGGTGGTGGTGACACGTGGTAGTGGTGACACGTGGTGGTGGTGGTGACACGTGTTGTTGTTGATGAGCCCAAGTGTTTGATAAACAACAAGGTCTTGTCCTTAAGTATGTTCTGTTATAATATGAAGTTGATCCCTTCAATAATAGCAAAGTTACAGCCAGTTACAGCCAAAACAATGAAAATTTCAATAATTTGAACTTCAAAGTCAAGGTCATTAATGAGTGAAGGTCAAGGTCTGTCTGATTATTTTTAAGGGTTATCCTTGAAGATTATTATGTTCAAGTTTGAAGACAATCCATTCAAAAATAACAAAGTTACAGCCAATAATAGCCCCAAAAAATGAAAATTTCAATAATTTGACCTTCAAAGTCAAGGTCATTTATGAGTGAAGGTCAAGGTCTGTCTGGTTATTTTAAGGGATATCCTTGAAGATTATTATGTTCAAGTTTGAAGACAATCCATTCAAAAATAACAAAGTTACAGCCAATAACAGCATGAACAAGCAAAATTTGGACTTTTAACCTTGAAGGTCAAGGTCATTTATGGATGAAGGTCAAGGTTAGTGTGGTCTACTAAAAGGTCTTGTCCCAAGGGTTGTTGTGGCCAAGTATGAAGAAATAAAAAAGTTTAGATCCAGGTACAAGTTATCAGACGGCAACAGCAATGCCGCCGCGACTATAGCAACATCTCTACTTTTTTTTTCAAAAAAAAAAGTCAAGCTAAAAAGGGGCATAATTCTGTCAAAATGTTTGATAGATAAACCTCCTCCTGTCTACATGTTGGGGTCATGATGGTGAAGAAGTGTGCAAAGTTTCAAAGCCATATGTCAATGGACTTTGAAAATATTTGAGGTATTACAAAAACTTTAACATAAATGTTTTACGACGACGCCGACGCTCGGGTGACTACAATAGCTCTACTTATTCTTATCGAATAGTCAAGCTAAAAATAGACATAAGGAACCAAATACATTCACCATACCCATGTTTGGTGCATAAATGGGAAATACCTGAAGGAAAGTGAAGGCCATGATCATGGTTTATCAATGACATGCATATCAAGTAGAACTTTATATATATCAACTTACCGGCAATTAAACCATATAGGCTTCAGGACTTACAAGATGAACATTAAGACTTATATTAGGCATTAATTATGGACAATAATAAGGAACCAAAGGAGAAATTTTTGCTTGTTTATTTACTGTCTGTCACCAACAGGTGATTCCTGCTACATTCCACTGTTCTTTGTGGTCAAACTTTAAATCATAACTATATACCTCGAAACAAATACAAAACTAGAAATCTTCCTGTCATCACTGACAGATTAAACATCCATGATTTTCATGTCCATTAAAAGCCAAATGCTAAACTGTTTATATTCCACTGTATGTCAAAATAGTTAAATCATTCAAAAAATCACTTCTTATAACTGTTATGTGATTTAAATGAAAATCAAACAATTAAATATATTAATAAGTATAACAACTGACAATGGGACATTATTCTTTTGTCATTTTTAAATCAGTTAAGTACATGATATGATAGTCCTATATTTCTTACAGATTACTCCAAACCAAACATCTATTACATTTAACCCTTAACCTGCTGGAACTAAGTAGTACACAGATTGACAGTTTCCCAACTAGCAGACGACAGGCTATTCTTATCAGTAGAATTGTGAGTAAAGATAACCTATTGCGTATCGGTATAAAACATATGTAATATGGTCTGACTTGTGGTAAGTTTTACTATTTATTTAAATACCTTGAATGTCAAAGTGTTGAAAAATATACTGAAACGAAGCTAAGATCACAAGTTTTTCATTGGTGTAATGAATTCTAAAATCAGACATTAAATCGCCCCAAACTAGCAGTTTATAAACGGCTAAATTTGCATTGTTTTAGCATTAGAGATGTCAATTTTACTAGAAGATAAGGGAAATAACTTATTTTATTCACTCAATATAACTCGGTTATTTACGTTGTTCATATAGAGACTGTCAATGGGTGTATTAGTACAGCCAGGCTGGCCTGTACATCTATGCAGTATAAACAGGTTCTATACTGTTGGTTTATCAAGTTTTGATTTCCATCTTGATATTCCCAAAGATGATATTGGACAGTTCTAAAGATTGAAGAAAGAAAAATCCATTCTAGAGTTATAGCAGATTAAGGGTTAAATTTAGTTTGGTTACTTCATTTATCAATGTTTAGCCAACAAAAATTAAGTATTGTCATTACCTATAAAAACATTTCAATTACTGGTTTATTTGACTTTAAATATTGCAGAAAATCTAATAAATTCATAACTTAGATCACCGAGTATGAAATTTATGGGAGGGTTTAATTCGAAATTGATAATTAGCATAAGAATAAAATATTTCAAGAAGAAATGACCAAAATCTAACTGATATTAAACAACATATTTCTATTAATCTCATAGACATAAATGTAACAATCCGGTACAATGCTGCTTTTGTAATTTTTACAAAAATGTTCATTTGCTACATACATGTATCTTCAAATGACAAAATAAGAATATCGTAAATGCAGTTTTGGGGGAAGATATTTTTTAAGCAATGAGCTAGCTATAGCTGTGAGTTTACAACAGTCTATTCTACTTGATCAACAGAAACTTGACAACAAAATACAGAAAATATTTCCAGCGATTGTACATAAATAATGCAACAAAATCTAACAACATCAATATGTAAAACATAGAAATTTAGCCATTTTCTTCCCCTGATTTCATGACATGGACTAATCCAGCTGTGAATTTGGAACAGTCCATTGTAAATCTTTGGGATTTCAAGATCAAATTGTTTTTTTAAAAAAACTATCAATACATTATGTTTGTATCAGTGCTTGACAGAGTCTTCAATTATTACACTCAATGATTTAGAATATAAAAGGAAAGATTTAACAAACATGTGTATCATTATTTGCACACAAATCAATGCTTCTTATAATATACATGTACTAAAATAGATCAAAAAGAGATGAAGATAGTTATAGCAACATAATTAAAATTTAACTTAATTAACGACACTGATCAGTGGTGAAAAAATGATTGTAATTGAAAACCTAAATTAAGAGATGGCATAATTGTACATCAAGTTTACTGTATGAAATATCATTATGATTTCACATAATACTGATTAACTGCTGACAAAGTCACACCTATATAAGACTAGATAATATAATTCCTTCAGTTTCTGGAGGGTTAAGTCAAACAAAACATGGTGCCAAAATATTTGTACATACTTTCTATACGAGTTGCCATTAATTTACACTTAGTATCTCTGCTTCAAAAATTCTTAAGTTGTTTATGCATTTGCTGTGAATACTTATAAAAATTCTGAAGATTCTGTCTTGTAAATAAATTGTTAATAAATGAAAACAATTCTCCAATGCAATTAATGATTATGATATTACAATGTTGGTAAAGTCTCTGGCTCAAATAACCGTCAATTTTAAAGGTCGAAGATCTTGAAAGATTAAGCATGCATTTGGTTTGGAATGCAACTTCAATAAAGGTGTGCATCTTTGCTATAATTTATTATATGACAGTACATAATAGTATATGCAGTCAGGTGAGCAAATATTGTTGATATTTAAGAAATGAGTAAAAAATCAATCTGATTGTGATCTAGCCTTGTTTCTTGACGGTGATCCTAAAATCTTGCCAGTGATCATAAATTCTGGAATAGTGATCATACAGCTTTTGAATATGATCATTTAGTAATCATAGGAGTTGGTCCTTAATCATATAGCTTTGTTACCATGATCATACAGAATTTATGAGAATTATTGTGATCTTATAGAAATAGAACTGATATTGTGATCATACAGATCTGATATTTTGATCATACAAAACTGATATTGTGAACATACAGATTAATACAAAACTGAACTGTGATCATAAAGAACCGATATTGTGATCATACAAGTGATATTGTGATCATACAAAAGAGATACTGTGATCATTCAGAACTGATATTGTGATCATACAGAACTGATACTGTGATCATACAGAACTGATATTGTGATCATACAGAACTGATACTGTGATTCTACAGAACTGATATTGTGATCATACAGAATTGATATTGTGATAACATAGAAATGATATTGTAATCATACAAAACTGATACTTTGATCATACAGAACTGATATTGTGATCATGCAAAACTGATATTGTGATCATTGACATTGAAATCATACAGAACTGATATTGTGATCATACAAAACTGATACTGTGATCATACAGTTTGTTTGTTTCATTTTACGCCTTTTTCCAACAGTATTTCAGTCATATAGGCGGGTAGTCTCCTAACCATCGTTCCTGGAGAGCTACACCAGTGATATTGTGATCATACAGAACTGATATAGTGATCATACATAACTGAGAATTAAGTTGTTTGTAACCTAAGAGTGCTTTTTATCATCTTTAACCTTTTTCAGTCGGCAACCAAAGTAACTGCAGGGTAAAATTTATCGAAATGGTTGGAGCAGAGGATTAAAGCATGCAACAAAGGATGATTTATCCAATTGATGTGTGGTAGACAGATATTAAACACTATTTAGATGTAAGATATCATAGTTGCACATTGTTGGAGGTTATAATAGCTGATGAAGAATATTCTGGATGTGATCTGAACACAGCTCATAACAGTATTAATGTGTTTGTGTTTGTATGTTTCATGATTGATAGATTTCAGCATGTACTCAAAGAATAAGTGTAAAGCAATGCATAACTTTTCAAGTTTAACACAGCATGGTCAGGAGATTAAGAACAATATTAAAGTAGTTTCAATTTTGTAACAGTTACATTTGTTTGAAAAATTTCATATCATTACAGTATTTTTTCGGGGTAATAATATAAATAACACATAGGCCTATAAGTAGCCACAAACCAATGTGTCATTTATATACTGTTGTATAATGTCATGGATAAAGCTGACCCATTTACTGCTAATATCCTCATGATGTTACCACAACATTCCTTAACAAAACCAAACATAATTAACTGTGCTTAAGTCCCCACATAACAAGTGTTTCTATTTCCTTGTCACTTTAAATGATATTGTTCTGTCCATTTTTCATTAACATTTTTACTTAAATTTAATTAAGATAAAAGAATTTGACATTAGACATATAAATAAAGGTTGTTGGTCTTATTTTAAAATATATGTTAACTTGCATGGGTAGAATACTCCTGTAATATGTAAAGCACAAATCAGATATTGTTATGGTGTTGTCGTAGCAACATCATGAGTCATCAGCTCCATTTGTACAGCCCTACGTAACAGACTACACACATATATCAATAGCTAGAATTCAAGTAATACAGCAAATCTACGACAAAAAACACACAAAGCATTTTGTATGAAATAGTCAACATTACTGCCTTATAATATCTAGAAACAAATCATATGATATCTCTAAACCATACCTCATTAATACAAGGTACTTAAATATGCACCAAACACAAAGATAACCATTTAATAGAAATGTTAATTTCTTCATACAAGTAGCAAAATCTTAATTGTAAGTACGGGTCGTTTAAATGAAGAAGAAAGAATGTCGCGTGACATAATTTAGTCTACATTTGTTTTGGCGTGAAATAATTTAGCATTTGGGTTCAGGTTTGACTTGAGGATGGTTCCATTTTCTGTTGCACTTTGTTGTGACTGTGCAGATGAATAAAGAGGAGACGGTGAGGAGTTGCCTGAACTTGGCATAGTTATCCCATCTACAACAGCATTAGGTGGCATCAACGCCATCACTTCCGACATCTTAGACTTCAGGTCAACTATCTCTTGATCACGTTTCTGTATAACAGCTAAAAAAAATTCATAAGAAACGTAAATAAACACCACTTACAATAAATTTGTTTAACCCTCATAACCCTCAGGTCTAAATTTCTAAAATAGACTAGTCCATCTTTTAATCAGGACAAAACCATTAATCCATGTATGGTAAATTTGAAATAAGATGGATATGTTAACAGTGCAGACAATGATGAGACAGCAAACATGTGATGGCTGATCTTGGTCTGCAATGGTTGCAAGTGTAAAATCATTCACAACCAACAGGTTAAGGGATAAAGAATACATACTGTGTGAGACATACAAAATTACATCTCTTATTTAAACAAGGTCTTACAACCTGAACTAGGCAAGTGTCTATAAGTCTGTCTTAAAACAAAATTTAAATTCAAAATGTAAAAACAATTCAATAAAAGATTTCATTATCAAAAAAATAAAATTTCTGCAACTATTCATGATGTCTTCAAGCAATTAATGTCCTCACTAAAAAGTTAAGACTGACACAGGGATGAAATTCATTGTATTCATTTGAATATTATGGTGATAAAATACAACAATGGTTTTTATCACCGGTCAATTATATATCACTAAACTATATATTGATAGATTAATAATGACAATGTTATGCTTGGTGACCATATATCTCAATCAATGAAACTGATGTTCCACACTGTTTGTTTGTATAACTTACCTTGATATATTTCCACCTGTCGTTTAGCTTCACCAAGAGCAGAAAATAGATCAAGTTTCAGTCTAGTTTCTGCACTAAGACTGTTTTCTAGATGTGATGTTTTGTCCTGCATTGCAGCCAGTGCTGACATTAACACTTCTGTATCACTCTGTTGATCTTTATACTGCCGTAATGACTATCAAATATAAATAATAACATATATAAATATTGTTTTTTAATTTCAATTAATTTGGTGGAATTTCAGGAACATGGGGTACAGAAAATTCAGATAAAAGTGATTTGAATCAGCATTAAGTGAATTGTGTCATGTCCCTCTTGGAAGTGGAAAATAATATTACAATAACTATCATAGCGAAATAAGTACAAGCAATAGTGTATATAATTACCTTCATTGCTGGTGAACAACATGTTTCTATTCTTCAAATATCAAGAAATACAGGAAAAACTAAGGTTTAAGTATGAATACCTTTTCTATGAAAAGGAAATTTAACCAAAAAGAGGTATAACCACATGCTATTTGAAAAAGGACACTAAAAATTTTTAATATCTATTCAAGATCATAAACCAAGGGAGATTATTATGTATTTACCTGTACTTCCTTTTCAAGTTGTCTAACTTTATCTTCTTTGTTCTGTAAATCCCATTTAAGTTTCTGTATATCATTTTCTGTGTCACGTCTCCGTGATAAACATACATCTGTACAGCAGTCACCCCTGTAATTACAATAATAACCACCTTTAACTCACATATATTCATGTCATTGTTTTAACCCTTTCACTGCCATATGGTCGGCATATGCCGGCCCTATATTTTCGGCATATTTGCCATATGGACGGCTTTTGCCGTTTCTATAATAATAATAATAATTATAATAATAATTATTATGAAAATAATCATAATAAATATATAGATAATTATACCATTGACAATAATTATTATTATACTAGCAGATTTGGAAACATATATGATTATTATAATACTAATAACAAATAATGATAATAATATTAATTAATAATATAGTAATTTCTTAGAAAACCTTCTGGCAAATAGGTGATCAATAAATAAATAACCCTCTGGCAGCAAAAGAGTTAAAGATGCTTTCAGAATGAAACTGTGCTAAAATTGGTAATCTAAATCTAAGACTAAATCTAAGACAATGGGGAATATTTCTCACATAAACATATCTAGTAAAGCAAGAATGGGAAAATAACACCGGAATTATGCAAAAGTAAAGCCAAATCTGTGGCCCAATACAAATATTTCCAGGAATATGTTTACTTTTTAAGATCAATGTGAGAATTAAACCTACTGTTTTGAAGGTATCAGTATTATTAATCAAATAACGCATTTCAAACTCTACTGTTTTAGTATTCGGTACAACTTAGCATTTGCCAAAGTGCTATTGTTATATAATATGAAAAGGAAGCAATTCAATATGACTAAATAATTTTTTATAAGGAAACCAGCTTTGTAAACCAGCAGTGCATCATTCACAAATGTGGCGTTACCTAATAAAAATTGTCTAAGTCATATTCTATCTGATAATTTCAGTGTAATATGACAGACACAAGTTGTTTGGTAAATTCAAAAGAAAAATGTTTGTCACTAAATGAAATAAGTGACTCTTTGTTTCAGGGTTTTGTTACATTTTCAACAATAAATAAATGAACATACCTAGCAGTAACCAAGGCAACAGCTCTAGCAGCTGCAGCATCTTCTGCTTTTTTAGCTTTTCTTTCTGTATTTAGCTGTTGTTCTAATGCACTTTTAGCTTTTCTCTCATCTTGTAATTTACGCTCAATTGCTGATAAACTTTCTTTATCTTTCTGTCGACTAGTAACCAAGTTATGAAGTCTGGATAAAAAAAAATGGTTGATATCATTGCAAAATACTTAATTTTGTTCAGATATAAAATGTAAATTTACCATGTTACCTAATTTTTCAAATACCACTATATTAAATTACTTTGCAAATTATTCATTCTACCATCTGGAACTTTGCACACAAGATATTGGTCCAGGCCTAAATCAAATAGTACACAAATCTCCATAAAGTATTTCCATTCCTGTCAGTCCACTAAACCAAAGTGGAGTCCTTTTAAGCATTATAATCTTTAAAGCAAAAATGAATATAAAAAATTCTTACTTGTTCTGTAAATTTTCATTGTCCTGCTGTAGTTGATACAGCTCGGATCGTGTGTTTTTATCACTACATATAAAACTGTTTATCTGAGATTTAAGCTCTTGCTCTGTATTCCTACTTATTTGTAAATCTGTTTTCAATCTTTTAACATCATTCTCTAATCTGTAAAGTATAAAATAAATTCACCATCAATGAACATGTCATTAATAGAAAATTCTGTATTTATATATATCAAATGCCAAATATCAGTAATATATAGAACTAAATAGCTTGAAAAGTGGAAATCATTTGAAAATACGTCATCATGGTGTAATGCATGCTTGATTAAGTCATCACATACTTAACTGTCTTAAATGTTTCTGAAAATTAAATTCATGTAAGGAGAGAAGTGGCCTCTCACTTGAGACATAATAGAGATAATTGCACATGACAGGGATAATTGGGTTTAAAATGGAGATGTTGAATAGCATTGATATACAGACATTGAGATAATCAATGACAGTCCTTTGCATGAATACATCATATAATGTGTTACCAAATTACAAAAGCCCTCACCCTGAATCTGTTAACTTTATTAATTTGCAAGAAATTGATAAATGGCTGAACTTGGAACATATGAATATGAAGGCCAAAGAGATTCAAGAATCAAGTTCATGTATTATCACAAGATATGTATTATGGATAAGTTGTCATTAACTTTGCTTGCTTAGCTGAAAAGAGAATGATTATGTTTTCAGATTTGTAATAAAAGTGTCACTGGTTCAATTCTCAGGCTTAGCAACATTTGTCTCTTACCATTGATTAAGAAATCATATAGGATTTATAAGTAGTCTGTCACTTGCAGAGAAATTAGTAACTACTGGTAAGTTATCAAATAAAGCAGGTTGGGTGGACTGGCCACCAAGATGTGACCTCTATTTTGTTAAAATTGAAAAACAGACAAGGAAACAAAGTCTTCTGACAGACAAACTGGATAAGGACAGTATGCACCCAGACCTACTGTGGTATATAAACAAGAGTTGTCAATAGGACAGCAAGCTTGACTATTCTTAGAGCTTGATAGTAAAACAAGAGCCTGGATAATGTAGAAGTTTCTAAGTTCAAAAAGAGCCATAATAGATTAATTCTGTCACAATCCATGATATGGGCCTTGGATAGTGACCTCCAATTATACACTTAAATATGTGTTTGAAGTTTCAATCCATTCCGTTCAGTTATTCCAATTTGCATGCAAAAACTAAACCATAAATAGTGTGATGTTGATGACAACACAGATGTTTGGTTGAGTATAATAGCTTTCATGATTCTTCCAATAGTAAAGCTAAAAAGTAATTTCTATATTCAAATATTTCAGAAATGTGTCAAACTTATGATGCCCTCACTTCATTTGCCAGTCAGTAACTAAGTGGCATATTTACCTACTTTTAACTTAAAGTGTACTTAATAAAGGTCACGTGTTACAAGAAGTAAAACATATAATTATATTATTAAAACTTATGAGTTTCAGAAACCCATCTCATTCAAAACTATCTAATGATTAAACAAAGATTTCACAAAAAGGGTCTTTCACATAATGACCTCAAAATTAAAAGTCATATACATACATTTACTCCATAAGGAAGAATATCTCACATTTATCCAAGCTAATCAAAGAGAACAAACAAACTTTTACAGTTACAACTTTGAAAAAAAAAGCACAACAGGTCAACTAATCTATTGTGAACAGTTGCGTATCATGTGACTATAAAGGTAAGTCTGATGTCCCGGGGGATTAGCTTGGTAAATCACATATTGCTGGATAACAAATTTTGGTTACCAAGTTTAACAAGTCAGGACCTATACACTCTGTATCTTTATAAAACATACCTTTGTATATATGCTGCTTCATCTTTATTATTAGCAAATGCAGAAGAGGATATATCAGCTTTGTTGTAGTTTTTCCCTTTTTTAGAACTATTCTCCTTATTACTGTTCAGCTTTGAGCTCGAAACTTTACCTATACCATTCTGTTTATAATTTTTAGCCTGCTGTTCATTGGCGAAACTGTCAGCACTTTCATCAAAGCTGTTAATATCCGCAGTCTTTTTAGGCAGACTTTGTTCTATATATTGTATATCATCTTCGTTTTCTGTGTCTTTACTTGACTTTTTGTTGCTGTCATCTTTAGAAGATGATTTGGCGGATGATGATGTTGGTGATTTGTCAACTGGCACACTTCCATTTGAGATTACTTCCTCTTCTGATTTGGCAGGTAAAGCTGTAAAAGATAGAAACAAAATAATTTCAAACAGACAAGCTATAATCATGCTATTATTTGTTGCTGTTGGGCATTAAGCATTATCCATTGTCATTGTTAATACAATTTACTGCTTAAATGAAACACCCCCCTCCCCCACCCCACCCCACACAAGTGCTTAAATGTGAACTTTAGCTTAAGTTGGCACTAGGCTTAACCCAAGTGACATTTCTTATGTTTTACAAAAATGCTCTAAATTTCTTATATACATCATTATGAATAACATTTATAGAAAGTCTAAATTATCAATCTTCAGATTTTGCTGCCAATGTTGCAATCTGAAACATTTGTTTCTTTTTGTCTTGATATATAGAAGTTCTGCATGCATATGGCAATTTTTTCATGTTATATTCATAATTGAACAATCAGTATCAATGTTCTTTCAGGACTTTTGATTGAACAACATTTGTAATTGTCTGTATAGAATAATCCCCAATATATGTCACATCCGCTAAGGGGAGTAACTTTCTTGACGCTTATCGCTTATATGAAAGGGTCTTTATAAGGAATATATTACATAAATGTGTTACTCTGTTGGTTCGTATCGCTTGAGTTAATTGTCTGAAGTTGTATTCCCAATATGCCAATAGGGTGAGACAGTGGGAACACAACTTTATGCCATAACAGGACCAAAATGCCCAAAATGCAATACACAAAAGTAGTCCAGCATATGTTTAACATATAACACAGGCTAGCTAATGAACACAAATTATTGAATATTGATACAGATTTTCATATTTATTCAGTCTAAAATGAGTGTATTTTTATCAGAAAAAATTAAAGTATAATTTCACTTATATAACTTTGCAAAACTATCTTTTCAATGCCTCTATCACACAAGTTTGCATCATACTCTGCTATATGTAAATAAATTATCTGAGTTTGACATTCAATTTTACAGCCTTATTACAGTGTTAAGGAAGATAATAAATTATTTAAATATTCAGGTCAGAATTTTTTTTTAAATTTTCTATTAAACAGCAAACACACAGACTTTTCTAGAAAACAATCTTTACAGATGAATGACAATATAGATAATGGGAGATGCCTTATCATAACCAATACACTACCATTTTAGTGGTCATACAGTCAAAAAAGAACCCACAAAAAACTGTCAAATATTTTACCTTTTTGTTTTTCTACATTTTGTAATTCTGGAGGCAGTGCTTGTTGTATAAGTTGAAAATAAAATTCATTGTCTTTTTGTACATCTTTCTGTTTTCTCTGAAATAATAAACAAACAAAATATTCAAACTTTGTTTGTGATATATTATGGGCTTAAGAACAGTAGCTTGAATGGTGTTTTTTCTTAACAAAGCAAGTGGGTATTCTATGAAAGTTTGTTATATTCTTTAGTGCTTATCATTACAATTCCTCTTGAAATATCTACATTCTGGGTACAGTACACACCCCCATTAATTACAAATTAATCGATTTAAAAAAAAAAAGAATAGAAATTCTTGCAATGACCTTTGACCCTTAAAATAGATGCAAGAAACAATATGAAATTTAATCAGCAACAGTTAAACCTCATCAAGGCTATTTAACTGAACCAGACTCATATTACTACCAAATTAACAACCTTACATGATTTACATCCCAATTTAAACATAATCAAAGGGCTGCAAACCTCTGTGGTATTTTCTGATCTTTGCAATCTAAATCATACTGACTATCTGTATGTATTTTTCCTGTATAAGTTTTTATATACTATAATTAATCTTACGCAGCGACTGCGTCTATAACAGTTTGAGATTGATACAAATGGAATTTTTGCATGACTAGAGTTGCATCAAAAAATCATTTTTCATTTTTTATGACAGCCACACTTTATCCTTGCATATCGTGGCTACTTCCTTAAAAAAGACACTTCAAAAAAAAAAAGTTGCCTCGACTAGGATTTGAACCTTAGGCCTCTCACACACCCTAAACGAGCGCGCAACCTCTGCACCACGGTGAAGTAAATACATATGTATGCTTGAATAAAACAACTATAATATTATAATTCTAAATTTGAGAATTTCCATTCCTTACTAATTCGAGGTATTTTGTTACGTTAAAACCTGTTGTTTATTCCTGATGAAAATAATTTAGGCGAATAATCTTCGAAAACAGTACGACATTGTATATATTTCCACTATTACTTCGACAGTCAAGATTATTTGTGTACGACGCCTCAGGAGTATTTCGGTAATTCGAATAGAAAAATTTAGGATTTTCATTGATTAAGGGCTTAAACGGAAATAGCCGAACATTTTTATTGGGTAACTAAGAAATGTGCCCATTTAGGACAACTGGGTGCCCCCCAGGCTCCAACTGTTCTGGTTCAATCCTTTTTCAATCCAAAAAACTCTACAAATACAAAATCCAACAAGTCGAAACCCCAGGTGCTAAAATCTAAATATGGGCTGAGCAAAACCTGCCCATAATGGGTTTATAATGACTATGTCAAATCCTTATTGAGTAACTTGCGACACAAGGTTTGAAAATTGCAAAAAATTTTCATAAGTGAAGGGCAATGACTCTAAAAATACTAAATAAATCCAGACGAAAATACCTGGTGCACAACTGCACATGCTGATCAAATATTCCTGCAAAGTTACATGACTATAGGTCAAATACTTTTTGAGTTACGTTTTGCGACACATGTTGAAAATTGCAAAATTTTACTAAGTCAAGGGCAATAACTCTGAAAATACTAAAATATTCCACACGAAATACCCAGGTGCACAACTACACATGCTGATCAGCATTTCCTGTAAAAGTTTCATGACTCTAGGTCAAATACTTTTTGAGTTACATGCGACACAAGTTGAAAATTGCAAATTTTACTAAGTCAAGGGCAATAACTCTGAAAATACTAAAAATATCCAGATGAAAATACCCAGGTGCACAACAACACATGCTGATCAACATTCCTGTAAAAGTTTCATGACTCTAGGGTCAAATACTTTTTTTGAGTTGCATGCGACAACAATTTGAAAATTGCAAATTTTTTTCTAAGTCAAGGGCAATAACTCTGAAAATACTAAAAATTATCCAGACGAAAATACCCAGGTGCACAACTACACATGCTGATCAACATTCCTGTAAAGTTTCATGACTCTAGGTCAAAATACTTTTTTGAGTTTACTGTGCGACCACAAGTTGAACATTGCAAAATTTTACTAAGTCAAGGTCAATAACTCCCGAGAATACTACAAATATCAGACGAAAATACCCAGGTGCACAACTACACATGCTGATCAACATTCCTGTAAAGTTTCATGACTCTAGCGTCAAATACTTTTTTGAGTTACATGCGACACAAGTTGAAAATTGCAAAAATTTTACTAAGTCAAGGGCAATAACTCTGAAAATTTACTAAAAATATCCAGATAAGAAAATACCAGGTGCACAACAAACAAATGCTGATCAACATTCCTGTAAAGTTCATGACTCTAGGAAGTCAAATACTTTTTGAGTTACATTGGACACATGTTTTTTGAAAAAATTGCAAAATTTATACTAAGTCAAGGGGCAATAACTCTGAAAATACTAAAAATATCCAGACAAAAAATACCCAGGTGCACAACTACACAGCTGATCAACATTCCTGGTAAATTTTCATGACTCTTAGGTCAAATACTTTTTGAGTTACGTGCGACACAAAAGTGAACGGACGGAAGGACGGACAGACGGACGGACGGACAAGGGGTAAATCTAAATGCCCGCGCACATTTAACGTGGGGGCACAAAAAAGATATTCATCCGCGAAATTTGTGATTGTAACCTCATATTTCTATTGACTACTCTAAACTTTTAATGCACTGTAATTCGTTAAATGCCTACATTAAAAATTATTCTTTCTTTTAAACTGCTGGTTTTTAAGCAGTTCTGAGTGAGAACTACTTTGCGTTGTTAGGTCTGTTAGGAAACTTTGTGTTAGACCGTGGATGTTAGCTTTGTATTTACTGATCTTGCGATCAGAAAATACAATAATGATGTTCTATCAGGTTTGAAATCTTTCCATTTGCTTAAATTTAACAGTTATCAATAACTTCCATCAAGGATATAAATTTCTAGGAGATTTATTCAACCATCAAACATAAACAATGCTGATATTTTACAGCTAATATATAATGATTTTATTGTACTTTATGTTTGTAAGGTTTTTCATCTGATAATCATAACATTTAAATAAACAATATACACTACTTCTTACAATTTATGAAGTAATTTCTTTTTTTCCCTTAAATTTTTTCTTAAGTTTGCTGTAATATAAATTTGTTATAAAGTTTCTGACAGGTTATATGGCCTATATAAATGGTAGTTTGCAATATAAACCTTACCTAGTGGCTCGGGTTATATATGCAAACAACCATTTATACAGGGTCATATAACCTGTCAATAATCTTTATAACTTTTACGATTTGCAAAAAAACCCAAAAATTTCTCTAATATAATGATGACTTATTAACTCACCAATCTAAGTTTATATGAAACATAAGTCTTAAAACCAAATCCTAAAGTAACAACTGGATAGCCAATACTGAAAAAAAAGAAACATACAATGTATATAACATTAACAAGTTACAATAAACTCCTAAAACAATAATGTTGAAATACAGTTAAATCCAGAATGTTAACGCTTGTATAACTGAAATTATAACTGTTAATTTGGTTAGTGAAATGTCCATTCTTGATTAATGAATTTACTTAATGAAATCCTATAATATAGAAGTCAAAAGTAAACTATTTTAATGTACAGATTTTCCTGTACAAGTGATACAGGAAAGTTATATGACTTCTAAATATCTGAGAATTAATAAAACCAAGACATATCAGTGTAACTTTTTGTAAGTGGAGAATAACATTAAATGTATATTACAGAAAAATTCAGATCATCATCATCTATCAACTTACTCAGACAATAAAAAATGTAACTAGGTAATAAGGGAATAGTCTGCTTGTTATAAAACATAAACTTATACATGTTCATATAATAATGATGGACAAAATGTACCTACCAATGAGCTGCAAAAGGTCGACAAAGATCAAGGTTAAATGGCAAGTTTTTAAGTTCTCTAAGTCTTACAGATGCTTCTATATAGACAAATAGTAACCACAGTGACACTGTGGGAAGACATATACCTCGTTCTGAAATAAATGATTTAAACATTTCATTAGTAAATTTAAAAGAACTAGCACAATTATAATTTACAAAATCTTTGTTCAATACAAGTATGATAACAATGATACTGGACAAACATCAAACCTGTGACAGGTGAGCTAAAACACTCTGGAATCAAATACTAGTTAGCTGTATATTGCACAAAATGTGACTTCTCTAATGTGTCTAGGGGATAAACAAGTCTTTTTCATGGAACATAAAATCACTTTAAAGCATCAACGACATATGGAATGGATTCTAAAGAAAACCTTTTCTTCCATTAGTCAATTTTAGATTGGTGCTTTAATTAACAAAGTGATTACATTTATGTTTATTTCTTTATATTTATAACTTTGATCACAATTTCTAGTTTGAACATTATATATTTTATTAAGCTCAATTGTGAGGACAGTTTATCTCGAGTGAGCTTCCTGGTACTAACCAGTACTACTCTTTAGTGTCATATGAGGTCATGGTCATGACCCAGTAGGGTTTGAACCCACAATTCTTGGATTGAGAGGCTATCACATTAACACAAGGCTGCCACTCCCTTTACCTGATTAAAAGTCAGTATTTATTCTAAAATTCTATAGAGGCAACTATGTTATAATTATATTTATTTTGTCATTAAAACTTTGTTAATGACTATTTGTATACTATAGGCAAGTTTATTAAGGTTCTTTTCATAATATCATCCTTTGAAATAACAGAAGCAAATTTTTTTTTTTGTAAAATGTTTTAAACCTGTGGGCTGGACATTTGCCACCATATTTGGTAAAAAAGGCTCTTGAAACCACTGTAACAGTGTTACATTGTAAATGAATATTGTGTAACAATTTCACAAGTCAACACAATCCTTAATTTCAATGATGTCATATATACAATGATACAATGATTAATTAATACACACCTTATTGTTAGAGGCTTAACAAGTTCACAGTATTAAACACCGTAGGACATTACATGTGTTGGAAGTCAGCATTATAATTATTGGAATATTTACTCGCTACAAATACTCTATGGACATTGATATCTTATCTGTGAATATTTAATTTCCTGTATCATTGTAACTGCCAGAAATTCAGCCATGTTAACTTGCTAAATCATCTTTTGTTACAAGTAAGAACTTATTATAGAATGGATCTAAAGTTACAAAATAATGCCATCTGAATAATCTCTGAATCTCTGTTATACACATGTATAGAGATTCACAAAACACATACAACCACTCAAGTCTATTCTAGTTAAATTTTATATATATATATATTTATTAAACTGATTATCATAGCATTAAGGAATGGACTTTTATATGAAAATTATTTATGTATAATGTCAACAATCATATAATATTTGAAACATCATTTAGTTATAAATAGACTAAAGCAGCATCTCAACCGCTTTGTATAAATCATATTTTACCTATAATAATATACCTACTCCAGTCCATGTAGCTATAAAAATATGACTACTGTTATTTTTATCTCAAACAGTGTGATACTGGATAATAACAGGGATTCTCACATTTACGCCAAATCAATCATGAACAAAGCCAGCAGACAGCTGTCAAAAGCAGATGTCCAGTTTTCTATATTTTTCTGCTATGTTTGTGACACATTTCAATAATTTGACAAACCATTCCACAGATGAAATATAAGGTCATCTTTGATAAGTGGTCATGTTCTTTAAAACATATTCGTCCCTTTTACATGTTTTTTTTTAACAAAACGCAGACAATAGAATATAATTAATCTTTAAAGACTTTTCTAGTATCATCTATATGCATCACATTTTGATAAATACATATATATTTTTTGAAGTGATGACTTAAATGGCCAATACAATACTGACCTTACATTTACCATTTTTATAAAATACTAAACTTAAGTAAGATAGAGCTTTTCATGGGATGTTTGTTATCATATAAGATAAACAAGTTTTACAGAAAATTTTCTTTTAGCCTGAAATAATTGTCTTTAAAAGTGAATAAGGTCACTCAAATATAAGCTATTAATAGTAAAATACAAACCTGTGTGCCATACATATTGTACCCATACATATGTGCTGGCAGCAAAAAACAGCCATTGAACTGGTATAAATAGGTAGCAAACAACATCCGATGTTATGGCTATGCTTACAAAAAATACAGAAAATGCCTGAAATATTTAAAAATATATTCATATTAATGTAACACTATATGGCTAATTGAAGGCCATAAAAATAGTCTACTTATTTCAACACATATTAATCTATGGTTTCTATACAATCTCATATTACCATAGCAACTCATTCTAAATAAACCAATTAGGCAGTTTATCTGCATGGTATATACACCAGAATATTACAATTAATCATGAACGAAAAAATGTTTTTTGAAGTTTTACTTTTAAATATCAAAGTTAAAGATGTTTAGCATTTTAAAAGAAGTTCCTATTTTTCAGTAAAACTTATTAAAAGTAATCAATATTACTTACCAGGCCTTGAAACTTGAACGAGTCGTACACACTTCTCATAAGAAGCCAGAAAGGCCACAGGTACTCAAAGCGGAACTCAAGGATGAAATCTGCCATCAGAACTAGTGCCCAAACCATCAGGAATTTCATGTACAAAAAAGTACTGAAAAACAATAAATCAAACTTGCTTCACCTTAAATATTTGTGAGAGAATTAACATTTTATCATGTTAACAGACTCTGATTAAAATCCTTGCACATTTAAAATAATTACCTTGGGAAAACAGAGTGATGGGATGATCTGAAATTTTGCACACAAGTTCTAAGTACAGACATACATGTATACATTATGTACATCAAATGGAACACAAGTCTCTAAAAATTATTTCCTGTCCCTTCATGTCAACAAGAGCTTTCAGTAGGATAGGACAATTGACTATTCTCAGTACTTGATAGTAAAACAAGAGCCTGGATAATGACTTAATGTAGAGTTTTCTAAGTTTAAAAAGTGGCCATAATTCTGTCAAAATCCATGTAAGATTTATGGGCCTTGGACAGTCCCCTCCTATAATGCTCTCAAATAAGTGTGTGTAGTTTTGATCCTTTCACTTCAGTAGTTTTGGGGATACTAACTTGTAAACAAAAACTTAACCAAAAAGTGATGGGGATGCCTGGGCGAATACAATAGCTCTCCTTATTCTTTGAAAAGTCAATCTTCAGTAAAGTCCTTTTAAACAGGAAATCCTGTTTTCATTAAACAAACATATTATATTAATAATCACTTGTGTAAATATCAACAAAAACTTTCTACTAGTGACAAAATAACTCATAAAGGTTAAAAGGTAAACAATCTTGCCAGATATACTCCTTATTACTATCAAATTTGATTTTCGAATGGGACTTTTCAACATGTCCGAGTAAAATCATGTCAATTTTTAAACTGATAGCATTTAGAAAAGTTCAGAATTTTTTTTGTTTCTTTCATTTTACGCCTTTTCCCAACAGTATTTCAGTCATATAGGCGGTAAAAAAAAGTTCAGAAAATTATTAGGTTTATTAGTAATGTTTTAATATACATGACCTTTTCAATATATACTGAGGACAAAGGCCAATTTGCAAAGAGACATTAATGCAGTACATATTGGAAATATATTGTCTTTGACCTACTTTTACATACAATTAGGTGAATAAGGTCTAAATTTGAAATTTTCTGAATTTGTCGATAAACTGTTTATTTGACAAGTTTTTTATTTAAATGCAAAACTGCCTGCATAACCCATTCTTTAAGATGTCCAATCTATTTTTTCCCCTACAAGCTTCTGAGTTCTAACTACATGTATAATTTAAGGACAGAAACTGGCAATAATTTCATTTAAGTCCCAATAGTCTTTAATCTCTGCCCCAGGTCACCCAGGTGTAAAAATTGATAAGGATATAGGTAGACCCAATTAACACCAGCAGGGTGTATTCTAACATGTGTCAACTTATTATTGGGCACACAGTAATTGGTATTGCCAGAGGTATTAAAATACATGTGAGAAGTAAAGATATCATCCACCAATGATGATGTATTATGCACTATTTAACCACAGCCATTGTCTAAGTTGATACTTTGAAGCAGATTGGATCGTTTTTGTGCTTAAATAATAATACTTTTGAAAATTTTGTTTTAGACTGCTGATTAAATCACCACTGGAAAGCAATGTTAAAATAATAACAAAAATATTTACTTCCAGACATTAAAAACCAAAACTGAGAATATTTCTGCTGAAAACAGGAAAGTTTTAAATCATCACATTTTCGCAATGGCAAAATTAATGTTTTTTTGTTAATATTTTACAATAATGCTATGTTCTTTTTGAAAATCTTTAGTAATACTAAAAATGTGAAGTACATTAGTGGATGTGGTAAGCATTCTTATGGAGAGCCTAATATTACTTTCCATCCAACCTGCCATTCTGAAAGTTGATACATGATTATATTATCATACAGTGCTGAGTAGATTATACCAGGAAAAGAAGAGAGATAATGACATGCCCATATAATGTTGAAAAGGCAACAAAGAAAACTACATTGTACAATATGAGTTTTTTTTGTAATGTTAAATTCAGGCTTTAATTAAAGGCCAAATGAATCATTATTTTTGTTGTGCGGTGATTCTAACTTAAGACACAGTGTTTTTTTTTCCAATTTTTTGGGAATGGTGCCGGTACCAGACTGATTGGGAAAAAAATGTGTTATTTTGACTTAAATGGGGAATTTTTAAAGCATTTTTTTCAGCTACAATTAAGATAATTAGATTAGTCATCATGAATAAAGATAGCTAACAGCTTCCACTGTCCAGGTAGAACTATTGAGTGGTGATTTATATGAATATGTTGGATTCAAATGATTTCAGAGAAATCACTTGGCCTTGTGGGAATTTTGAACAGCCATTTTGGGAATGAAAAATTGGAAATTGGGAATTTTAATGTCTATTTTCTATTGGGAACAGTACCATTTTAGGATAGTAGTTATATATAGAAACTAGAAATGTGTCATCATGCCACGGATGCCCCCGCATGCAGCCAAAATTTCAAATGTTATAATATTTAGTTCCAAATTTGTTTGCACAAATTATTTTTTTCATTCTAAGTTCAAAGCCCTTAAAACTTTTCAATGTTAACACAAACCATTTTTATACAATTCTCAAGGCACTGAAATTATTCAGTCTTAACCTTTTGAAAATAGCATATTGCATATTTGTAGCCAAAATAATGGCTATATACATTTCCACAAAAGTATGAGTGCTGAAACTGAAAGTTCAAAATTTTTCCAACATTCAGGAAAGATAAGTTTGTCCAAAATCATTGAACCACGACCAAATTCAAACTTAAACTGCTTATTCCTAAGATGTATCTATATTATTTTCAAAGTGAAAGGGACATAACTCTGCCAAAAAATCATCGAACCATGACCAAATTCCAACTTGACCTGCGTTTTCCTTTGACATATCCATATGTCAATTTTGAGTTGAATATGTAACACTGTTGGGTTGATAATGAACAGAAACTGTAAATTTCATATCATTTTCAAAGTGAAAGGTGCATTACTCTGCCAAAAATCATTGAACCATGACCAAATTCGAACTTGGCCTGCGCATTCCAAAAACATATCCATATGTCAAATTTGAGTTGAATGTGTAATACTGTAGGGGAGATAATAAACAGAAACTGAAAATTTCATATTATTTTTAAAGTGAAAGGGGCATAACTCTGCCAAAAATCATCGAACCATGACCAAATTTGAACTTGACCTGCGCATTCCTTTGACATATCCATATGTCAAATTTGAGTTGAATGTGTAATACTGTTGGGGAGATAATAAACAGAAACTGAAAATTTCATATTATTTTTAAAGTGAAAGAGACATAACTCTGCCAAAAATCATCGAACAATAACCAAATTTGAACTTGACCTGTATTTTCTCATGACATATCCATATGTCAAGTTTGAGTTGAATGTGTTGTACCGTTGGGGAGATAATGAAAGGAAACTGAAAATTTCATATTTTTTTCAAAGTAAAAGGGGCATAACTCTGCCAAAAATCATCGAACCATGACCAATTTCGAAGTTGACATGTATTTTCTAATGACATATATATATATCAAATTTGAGTTCAATATGTGCAACGGTTATTAAGATAATGAACGGAAACTGATGATGACGGAAGGACGGACGTTCTCACAGGACAGTAATTATTTGGCTACTCTATTGTTCTCTCTATTGTTCTTTTTAGCCACGCAAAAGAAAATAGCCACATAAAAGCATTACGGAATGAAAAACATCAAAGGGAAAGAACAGTTACCTATTGTCCCTCTAGCCACATAATTACTCTCCTGTGAGTGCGGAATGACGGAACAGGGTAACACTATATGCCCCTGCCATTATATGGCGGGGGCATAATTAAAAACACTGAGACATTACATAATCATTTTTTCATTCTTTCTATTTATAAAAGAAAAGAAAGAGTTATAAGTATATATCTTTGTTTAGTATCCATGTAAAACTGAAATAAGATATATATGGAATGTAAATTTAATCAACCCTGCTATTTAGTGCACAGTTGTGAAAAGTCCAGGAGATGAAAATTTTACAATTATTTATTTACTACCAATATAAGTAAAAGCAAAATACACATCTTTTATATTTATTTAAGTTAAAATTTTTGGCTACTGTTTCACTCCGTAGACTATTCACACAAAGATGTTTCACTCCCTACTTTTATGTCAAAATAAATTTGATACTTTGATTAAATAAAATTTCTTAATATAAATTTTGATGAAATTTTGAATAATAAATAACCATAAAAATGACATAAAAGATTGCAGTAAAGTTTTGGATATTCTATTATTCACTCTCCATATGATTATAGCTACTATAAAAGGTGAAGAATTGCACTCTGGACATCCAAATTTTCAAAGCCAACGTTCTTGAAAAAGACATAAAAATATTACTGTTTACGAAAATTGAAATAAATTTAATTACTTAATATATATATATGGAACACCTATTTTTATTCATATAGCGAAACATCACAAATTAAAAATTCGGTATTACTTTGCCAACTTTTGTAGTGTTTTTGTTAATTGGGAGTGAAAATGTTGGGTTTTAATAAATATTTAATTGCAAAAATCATAATGTTATTTTATCTAAAACGTCATTATGTTCTCATTGGCTCAATCAAGTATACATGGAAGGTATTGTTAAAAATATCCCTGACATAACGCGATGACACAGATCAATTTAATAATTCATCAATCATAAGTTGGTTGTGCAATGCAACTACTCACAGTAATGTAATAATTATATCCGGAAAATATAGTTAATAAACCTTATAATACAACTTTCCTAAAGTTTACAATATAAAAAAAATAAGCATAACAAAGAATTTCGTTAAAATTGATACCAACAGTGACAAATACTGTAATTTAAAAATGAACATCTAAATCACAAAATGTCACCAAAAACGTTGTTAAATTTTCAACTCGTGTAAGTTCACACAAAATTGAATAAATTTCTATATATTGATGTTATGTATCAAGTAAATACAATATGAGATGAATGTTCTGCAATGCATAATGAGGTCAATTTTCATTCTAATCTGGAGAATGTGTTTTTGTTAATTTGCTGCCATATTGGAAATTTTTTGTCTCACCTTCCGTAAAATCCTTCACTTATTTTGCTCCTTTTCAGTGGTCTACGTAGTTTAGCACAGTCAGCATTTCTAGGTCTCTTCATATTCTGTCAACAAGACTTTGAAATATTCAATTATGTCCGGTCTAAAGCTATTAATTTTATCAAAATATTTTCCGGAAACCCTGGAAGTCTGCTCATGTGTAATTTCAGACATGCGCAAGTCAGTGACAGCTGATCGGATATTTCCGTGAATGCGGAAATTCTAAATTGTTATCCGGCAAAATTCGGAAATTTTCGGCGTAACTATGGGATTGTGGGAATAAATAAAACAACTTGATTCTTTTTATATAGTTTATTATTTTAATCGATGTATTGATTGATCTAGAACTATTTTTTAGCGACGAAGTCCGTCCAAAATAAGTTTGACTTCCTGTAAAATTAACAGGGAAGGATTGAATATAAAAAGATTTTTCATCTGTCATTTTAGAATTAATTACAAACTGGAATTGGGGAATCTCATTGGTCATTCTAAAAAAATGTAAAGGATAGTTCTAACCACTCTAAAATAAAATGTAAAGGATAGTTCATACCATTCTTAAAAAAACCTTTAAAGATAGCTCTAAAATAACAAGAAAAATATTACATACATTCGTATGTAATATTGGTACGATTGCATACTAACTCCTGTGAAGACTTTTTATGCTTGCTGCATGAAAGGTGTTATATAAAATGAACAAATTTAACATATCATCAGATCTATATTTTATATTTTTTCAACGTTTTCATGGAATGTTATAAATATATCATAATATAAAAGTTTCATCATGCCTTCTGATGAGGAAAGTGATTCTAATAAAAGAACAATACATGACCAATTTACTGCTTTAAAACATTAACACAAAATTACACATCTTTCACTGAACAGACCATATGAAAATCTTGCAAACCCACAGAAATAGAAATGTATACAATAAAACCACGTTTTTTTTCCTCGCGTATTTCATTGTTTTCTGAACTCTTAAATCTGGTCACCGGTTAATTAAAAACATACCTAACACGAACACGATCTTTTTACTTTCTTTTTTACAGAGCATTAAAATCCATTCAAATATATTAATTTAAAGGTATATAGAATTTCATTGAAAATCATAGTACAATTGGATCAAAAACCAACACAAATTAAGTATCAAAACATGTTTTGCTTTATTCAGCTTCCTCAGTTGATACATAAAGGAAATGACGTAAACGTACAAAACAGACGTCTACGTTAATAGACGTCACATTTGGCGCGTAAAAGAAACGTTATAATATTACAATAATATAAAACGTCTATTACTGTTTAATACAATAAAACATGTGCATATGTATGTATAAATATTTTTTTACATAGCATATATCATATAATCATGATCAGCAAACCAAATTTAAGAGCAAACCTATTGTAAAAATAATACATTTTTTGTACTATGACCACAGCAGATTTCGTACAGAAAATGTAAGGGATAGTTCTTTCCTTTATAAAATAAAATGTAAAGGAAAGTTCTAAAATAAAATATACATGAATGAGGATAGTTCTTTAACTTTCGGGTTTATTTGTTCCCAAATGTATCTTATTTTGTTGTTTGTTTGTTTTCTTGTCATATTACATGCACATTACATCATATGTATAGCAATGATGTTTGTTTATGCTGAATTAACTCCTGAAAACTTGAGAAAAAAAACTTGTAAATTGCTAAGACATTTAATTAAAGTCTGTTTAACCATACTTTTTTCAAATAAACATTTTACACCGCTTTTAGATAACCTGACATTTTCTATTGAATAGTTTTTTATTTTACATAAGGACTTACTAAGTTTTTGCACATAAGTACTTACATTTTGTCTGTATAAAAATATAATGAGATCACCAATTACTTTCAACATTTTTACAGTATATATTATATTTTTCTTTCATATTATATCTGTTTGCATTAAATTGAAGAAAAATGTGTGTTGATTTTATGCAATACATTATTCTATTATTTCTTTTTTCAATATTTTATATTTTATTTTTTTAATAATACTGCCAATATTGCATATGGTTTCAAAATTTATAAATCAAACGTAAAAACATTTAAAATAGACACCTGCAGTATCAATACTGAAAAGTAGAAGTTGTCCTATTTTGAATGAAAACTCACAACAATATCAGTATGGTACATTTTAATTTTAATGTTTACAAAATGGGCTTTTTCTAAGCTACAACAATTGATTATTATGTCATTGTAATGCAGGCATTGCTAACATTCTAATTATATCGAAAACCTAGAAATAACATATGCAAGTTAACCAGTTTTACTTCAGCCGAGTATCTTTTTTAAATGATTTTTTATTTTGTTTTAATTATAAACCCAATACGATTACATTTACATTATAATGTAATTGGCTGTGCAATATATTTTATTATTGCATGCATCATTTTTATTGCAATATAATAAAATAAAAGTGGGTGTGGACAGGTAACCACAAGTAGCGTAGTAGCTATATATACATCGTGTTCATGATAAGAAACTTGTGTTTTAAGTTCGAATATGCAAATACCCATATTTTGACTTTTACATCACTACTACTTTTTTACAGTTTGTCAAGCGAGAATTCATCTTCCTTTTTTAAAAACAGTTTTGTTATCATGACATTGTTTTTATTTTAATCGTTTTAATTATTTGCACAGCTGGAAATAAGTTAAAATATTGAGCAAAAAGGCATATATTTGAATTTTTAACAGACAGTCTGTTTCTGCATGTAAGTTTGTATCTTTAACTTGTCTTGGGGACGACCCTCAGGAATAAAATATGCACAATTTTAATGGTGGCTTCTAAATATATAGATAGTTCAGAGGCACTAAATACTGACCAGTGACTTTAAGCTTTAATATGCAGCTTTAATATGCAGCTATCTGATATAATATGCAAAGAGGCATGCCCTTGCATGCCCTTGCATGACCACAGTTTATGTTGTCATTTAAAACACCTGTCCCTTTCACAGAGCAGAACAGAACTTTTACGTTTTTGTTTTGTACATGATCATCATATCACAATGAGTTCATCATCATAACCCTCAAAGGGCTGTTAATGATTTCAATGTTTGAAGGTTCCTGGGTAAACCACTGCTGGGCTAAGTAACTCAGTATCAAGCAGACGCTTGAAACGTATGCCTACACTGACCAGGAGTAAGGTATTGAAAGCGTATTCGGGCCTTCGAGTATACAATCCAACAGCAAATCTTCCCAAGACATGTATTGTTTGTGGATGGACGCGTTTTATGAAAAGGCGCTTAACAATACCTCGGCAAAAAATCATTCAACCTAAACACCTGTATAATATGCACAAGGATTTGAGCTAACAGCGATACTGTAAAAAAATATGATAAACAAGAACAACAAGGAAAGGCGGCGTTCAAAACTCTAAAGTTTCATTGAAATTGCATTAGTGGTATAACAGGAGTAGTCGGGACAAAAAAACTCTGACAAAAATCAATGAACCGAAAAATGTTGATTAGATGCACAACTAGACATGGTATTGATCCTTCCCCTAAAGTTTTGAGGAGTGGTCCAGACAAACATCTGTGTAGCTGGCAACACAACAAAAAAAACACCTTTTATTCAAGGGCAATAACTCAGCTAAAAATCATTCAAGCAAAAAAAAAAAACTGTTGTATTATGCACATGTACTTGATCTACCAATCAATCCTGTATAGTTTCATTAAAATTTCATCAGTGGTATAAAAGGAGTAGTCCGGACAAACTTTATTAACACCATTCAAGGGTCATAACTGGAACCAAAATAATTCAAGCGGAAAACCCGTGTTATATGCGAAACTTTTTGACCTACCAATCGATCCTGTAAAGTTTCATTGAATTTGCATTAGTGATATATATAAGAAGTGTAGTCTGGACAAACTTTAAAAAATAAAAAATAATTAGGGGCCATAAATCCGACAAAATTCATTGAACCATAAAAAACCGATGATATGCACAACTAGACTTGGCACTGGTCATACCTGTAAAGTTTGGATGAAATTGCACAGTTTTTAAGAAGTAGTCCGGACGAGCGTATTTGTATCTGGCAATACACAAAAAACACCTTTTTATTTAAGGCCCATAACTCGGCCAAATATCATTCAACCGGAAAACTCGTGCAATATGTGCAAGGACTTGAGCTACAGATATGCACAGCAAGACTTGATACTGATCATTCTGTAAAGTTTGGATGAATTGCACCAGTTGTTTATGCATGAGGATTTTTCCTGACAAATTTTGTGACGGACGGACAGACAGACGACGGAGAAGTGATCCCTATATGTAGGGGCGACACAAAAAATAGGTAACATAGAATCTATACGTGTGATTTCTAGGCAGTGGAGGGGTCATTATGCTTTTACTGGGCGTCATATATTATGACCGGGGAGTCAATATTTTATAAAAGGTATAGACGGATAACATGCGATGAAATATGGACCTATATAGTTGGCAGGGATTGACCTACAATATCTTTATATTTTATTAATACGAATTTATAATACTTCAAAATTGCTTTCTCTGTTGAAGATAAAAAAAGATATATGAATCAATCTGTACTGTAACAGCGAGGTGGAAGAATCGATTTTACAACTGTACAAATATAAAAGGAGGTTAATATTTTATATTAGTCATCATTAATAACCATATAGACAGGCTTTGGATCTAAAAGTCGAATTCCTGTGATTTAGTCCACAGGCGCTAGTCACATAATAAAATATTTCACATAATCGGCCTATATATGTATATTAAAAATCTTATTGTAGTATATAGCCCATATAGAACATAAAAATGTTTGTTTCAAGCACCTGTGATATAGTCTGACACCAGAAAAAATATTCAAAAGAAAAAAGACGGTTATATTTGGAACGAATGTCAGACGTTTCACTCCCAAGACGTTTCACTATTGAGACGTTTCACTCCCAAGACGGTTCACACCTAGACGTTTCACTCCCATTTTGTCAATTGTATGGACGTTTCACTCCCAATTTTTAGAGATGTTTACTAGGAAAGTTAACAAAATTTTAATTTCATAAATATCAAACAGTGTAAAAAAGAAATTCAATTTAATGTTTTGTTTGATTTCAATGGTATTGTTAATACGAATTATTAGAAGATTACTCATTTAATTATGGGTTGAGTGATAAGAGGTGTAAATGAAAGACAAATTTCTGAAATATCACTTATAATATAAGTGTAACAACATGAGAAAATTATATTTATAGTAAATTTAAAAAAATAGAATAACATAGAAAGAACAACAAAGACATATTATAAGTATCAGTTTAAATATTGAAATCACTACCAGTAAAGTAATTAATATTATTCATATAATAAAAAATGTCAATATATCAAATACATTGACTATATAATGATTATTTTTTGTAAGTCTTAAACAATGAAATGCGAAACATGTGTATAAAATAAAAAAAATTTAAATTTATTTTCTTCATCAATTTATTAAACAGTAGCCATTAAACAAACCTAAGTAATTGTGGTGATATCTCATCGCCTGATTAGTTGTATAAACACTGAGACAATCAACTAACAGTTTGACACCACTATAATTAGATCAGTTGTATAAACACTGCACTTATTCTTAAGCATCAACAGTTTACTAATCAGTTGTTTATTGGACCATTAAAATATTTTTTGACAACGGCCAATTTAAACACAGAAACTTCTCCATAAGTTTTGTTTATATAATAATGAATTTTAGTCACAAAAAATGATAATACATGACAAATATTGAAAAAATCCCAATCCTTCTAATTTAATTTAAAGATATTTCTGATTTCAATGGCCATTAAAATTTTTGACATATATCTCAAAAGCACTATACTAGCATTTAATAATTTAACAATTTTTTATCCCATGTTTAAAATTAACAACAAATAAACGCGTTACTCAAAGTTAATTGTTGTTAGAAGATTGTTATGCTTCAACTTCATTTTTTTTTTTTGCTTTAAATTAAAATTGCCTATTGAGTCCATGTTTACAAAAGATCAAGTAGTTAGTTATATTAAAGTGTTATTTTAATCAAAAATATTTTTTCTTTAAGTGAAATTATGTGATAATTGCACATATAGATCAAAGAATAGAAATTAAAAACACCTTTTTTCAAAACAACAATAATGAAGATAAGATAACTGAAATGATAGAACGTCTTGGTGTGAACCGTCTTGGTGTGAACCGTCTCAATAGTGAAACGTCTGTCTACCATTTGGAACCTATTCTATAAAGTAATCGAGTACTCCACAAACAGATTTGCGAACATGGCGATGCACGTTCCTAAAGCTCCGGGCTTTGCCCAAATGTTAAAAGAAGGGGCAAAGGTATTGTGACTTTATTTAAACAGAAATAGTAGTTTTAGATTATATTCTAACATGTGAATTCATTTCCATAATTCTAAAGTATAGTTGTTCTAAGATTATGACCTGAGTTTTCCCCATGTGAGTTATCTTTCATGCGGAATAGTTTTGTTTCAATCGTCCAAATATCTTTGGAACATTCGAGATTTTTTAGTCAGCGTACTATATCCCATATAAGATCCATTTGGTAATCTATCATAACTATCATATGATTAATTGATCAGAAACCGTATCTGTCATTCTAAAATGATACAGTGTTATAATTTTAGATTTGTCACTAAATCTCGTTCTCAAGCTAGCATGGACAAGTCGGTGCTTTGGATCTAAAACTAAGAAATATTTAACTTCCAAGTTTGTCAAATATCATCATATGTATGCATAATTAATATGAAATTAGGTGCTACCCATGGCGCAGAAAGTTCTTACGAATTATGGTTTTAGCATATAACATGTTTATTGTACATGTAAACCAGATCTTTTGTACCATAAACAAAACAAATAAATTGGTGGTGTTCAACCTATCATCGGGGGCGCTCAGAATATTCCGCAAATCTCCGAACGTAAAGAGGGACCACTGCGCCTGCGTCGGCGTTTGGAAAATCCAGTCTGCCATATTTGTTAACCTCTAATCACACTCACAGTTGTTGTTTTAACGATTTTTTTTATTGTGCTTATTTATCAAAAAGGATATGCTAAAGTAACTTTTTATATTCACAACTGTAACTATAGTTCTTATTAATGAAATGCATGTTTATTTTCTGATTTTGTACATCATTCTTTCACCGGAAGTGTTATTTAGCATGCGTCTGCTAGCAATAGTCTGAATTATGTAGAGGTTCATTAAAAGCGCTCTGATATCTATATTTAGCTCAAAAGGATTTCAAAATGGCGGCGCCCAGTTAACTAAGGATTTTTTCACAGCTCATTAGGTATAGCATATATATTTTTTTGAAATTTTCATTTACTTTTAATTTGATTTCATTTGAATTGATACGTCACGCAGTGTCTATTCTAGGACGCGCGATTGCGCGATTCACGCTAGTATTTCACAGATCGCGCACAATTCAAAATCATGTGCGTGGAAATCGCGTATCTATAAAAAAAGTTAATAAAACCGTAAAACTTCCATCCTGCATTATATTTGGTTGTTTTGTTTACATTTACACCGAAAACCGAAGGGAGGTAATTGTAAGCTAATTATAATAATTTAGTACCGTATGGTACTCGTAACGTGAGTTGACGGAAATTAACGGAATGTTCCGTATCGACCGGAACTAGTGTGCTAGGTCTGACAGTTGGGCGCCATTTTAGTGTAGTAAATAATCAAGAAAAATGAGGCAATTCCTAGCTTGGCTACGATCTAGACGTGAAAGATAGTTCGATTATTTGTATTGCCAATCCCTTTATAATCAATCGCGGCAGTTCTGTAATAATTTGTTTTCGTTTAAAAATTAAGGGGGGACAACTTCTGCTGCCTTAAATGAATATTATCGTTTTAATTATTTCATCGGTTGAACGCCTCAGTGTAAACTTAATGCAGACGATTTAACATTGGTAGTTTATATTGGCACCCTTTGATTTTGAAAATCGCCCCCTTTTTTGAAATAGAGGGGGGAAAATCACCCCTATTTTTCAATTCCTAGAATAGACACTGTACGTGTCATACATGTTATCTAAGAGCGCTACAGCTGTATATCCAAAGAAGAAGTAAAAACAATTAATTTTTTAATATTTTTAACATTTTGTTTCAACTGAAATAGTTTTGATTGTTCAGCTCTCTTCCCAGGTACCTTTTAGCACTGTTCAAGTTCAATAACCTGTGTAGGCCTATATGTTTTGTTTCAGTTTTATTTTTTTTTCCTGGATTTTTATCCTTGATCTTAAAAATTTAAGAAAAATTAATTCTAACATGAATCTAGTTAACCATAGCCTCTCTCAGTTTCCACATTTCACATTGGACATGGTAAATAAGAAAAAGACAGTCATTATTACCCGGTAGGGAAAGATAAAATATGATAGTGAATTAGACTATTCAAATACTTACAAATCTCATCATTATTTATCTTAACATTGTCAAAAGTCCTTTTGATTCATAACAGGGCTCGAATTTAACTTTTTTGGCCACTGGCAATTTTTTGCTAGTGGACAAATTTTTAACTAGCAAAAACTGAATTCAACTAGCAATTTTTACGACAATGATTTTTTAATTCCAAAATTGTTTAAACTTTTGTGTACATTCATTGTTTAAATTATCATGTACCATAATAATTAATTCATTGTTGTTACAATTTTGTATCATAATAATGAATTTTATCTCAATTGTCATGTTGGAACTTATAATACTTCAATTTTAAGTTTAATTATTTGATGTGCTGTGTTCAAGGACAAAGTTGTTGCTGGATATAGAGAATAACAAAATTAAAATTGTAATTTATTTGGACGAGTTCGAACTGCCCGGGGTACGAATCAGCAACGTAACTTTCTACTCAAAAACTTGATTTAGGCCACAGGGATTCTTACCAAATGTCAATCTACATTTAAAAAAAAACAATAATGCAATATTGTCGCCATATCGACGATGTCTGGTCTGGATTATGCGCACAACAATCGGCGCAAAATATTTTGTCAACATTTCCATCGTCATCGAGTTCGTACGCAAGACTGACGTGCAGTTCTTTCTCCCATTTTTTTAAATGTTTTAACTAAAGGTCTGATTGTCCTTCTTTTGATAGACTGTATTTAATCATCTTCTGTACTCAGAGTATTGTTATCGGAAGACACATTTGCTTCAGTAAATGGGAAGAAGTTCGTTATTTTTCATTTAGACATTTTATTCCGATCACGCTTGATTGACACGAACAAAATGACATTTGGACTGGTTTAAATTTGTGTACTTTTTTAAGCGAGGTTAAGGTATATAAAATGTAAACCAGACAGCAAGTGCGCGCATAGTTTATAACTCGGCTACCTACGAATATTACGCCCCATTTATATTTCAAATTTTCCTGACGAGCGTATTACGTTTTTTCTTCAACTCGCAAAAAATTGCGAGTAGTCATAAATCTAACTCGCAAAATCATTTTTCAACTAGCATTTTGCGAGTTTGCGAGTGTTAAATTCGAGCCCTGCATAAGTAACAAAAGATTTTTAATATTTCTACTTGCTGCAGAGCTTTAAACTGATTAAAACTGCCTCACGATTTATATAAAAAAATCGGCATCGCGAAAATATGTGACAAATGAAAATGTTTCTGTTTTCCTCATAAATTATACTATTTTGACTATTGTATGTTGAAATGCGTTCATAATAGATGCTTTTTGGATATTTTAATATTGTTTTCCACTTAGGAATTCATCAAAAAGCCTAAAACAAAAAATTCCAAATTTTCAATTCACGGCACAAATTACTGTCTGCTTGTGTCAATACATCAACTTCAAAGACCAAGTCCATGACTTAATAGTGTTTTGGACATGTCTATAATAATGTTGGACTTTATCTTTAAGATTTTTATTAGTGTCTTATCTATTTTTATTGCCTGTGGCAATGTAAAATTAATCAGCGTAGCAACTGCTGAGATTGATTGCCTCAGGCGAAGATTACTGGCGCACCGTGCTGTGAAGGGTCGTATTAAGAAACATAATTTTACAGTTGTCCAAGATTAGCATCTGTCAAAATTTGACTTTTCCGGGACTAACTTTCTGCTTATTGTCAGTTGTCCCAAGTGGTTTTAGAGTTGCCCCCGACGTCAAACTATAGGATTTGTAGAGCCCTGCTCATGTTAAAAATAATAAGTTTACTGATTATATGGGTAAATGTAACAGTATGGTAAGATTCAGAACAATTTAATGACTTGATTTTCACTTTTAACATAAATTTCAGTCATCATACAAAGATGAAACTAATCTCATTACCTTTGGTAATGTTAACAATATATAAAAACTTGTTTTTAGCTGTGGATCTTAGTATAAAACAAATAACAGAAAATTTAACATTGAATATCTGTAAATTTATAAACTGAAAAATCTTTAAATTTCTAGGTTATCCATAAATATAATGAAATCCTAGACCAGTTTAAGTGACTTTTTGGTCAACCTTCTGTCTTGGAATAAGAGGTCATCAATAAAGAATTTACACATTTACAATTACTAAAAATTCTATTTCAGTCTATCATTTTAACAACTGGAAGCATGTTTAGTTTATTTTGAGTAGGGGATGAGATGACAATTTAACCTTACACATTTACCTAAATCACACTGACTTAGTATATATTACTGAATTAACTAATGATACTTCATTAGAATAACTGCTAGATTCTATTAAATCTAATATAATTTTATCATTAATGATGTGACAACAAAAATTATGTAGCTTCCATTGAGTGTTCCTTAAATCATACCTAATATTATAAAGGAGATAGTATTGTCAGGAGATACAAGTCAATTGAAGTCATGTTCAATTCCTGTCATCTATTTTCAGAAAATATTCTATGTATTCAAAGGATTACCCTCATTCTGATTCTTTGGAACAGACACCATTCAATGTCATATGACAGCATATAATCTTTTTTATGAGAAAAGTATAATATTAAAATAACAAAAGTGTTTGCTATAATATCTGTTCTTTTAATTTCAGCATTATTCTGGTTTAGAAGAAGCTGTATATAGGAACATTGAAGCATGTAAGGAATTGGCGAAGACCACCCGGTCAGCTTTTGGACCGCATGGTAATTTTTCTTATTGACAATGAAAACCTTGAAGTAAATAAATCATTTATTTGAGTTTTATAATATGATGACTGATCAGTTTTTACCTTCAAATTTTATTTTGTTCAAAACTTTAGGGGTTTTTTAGTCCCCTACCGGTTTACCGGAGGGGACTTTAGGTTTACCGTCCGTCTGTCTGTCTGTCTGTCTGTCCGTCCGTCAGTCCGTCCGTCCGTCCACAAAACTGGATCCCGTGATAACGAAAAAAGTACTGAAAATATTTTAATGAAACTTGATATATGGATAGATGGCAGTATGGAGATTATGCACGTCTTTTTCTTTTCTTCCTATGTTGAAAATTCTGGTTGCTATGGCAACAAATAGACTGAAAATATGACAAATTTTACACATAAACTGGATCCCGCGATAACGCAAAAAGTACTGAAAATATTTTTATGAAACTTGATATATGGATAGCTGGCAGTATGGGGATTATGCACATCCTTTTCTTTTCTTCCTATGTTGAAAATTCTGGTTGCTATGGCAACAAATAGACTGAAAATATGGCAAATTTTACACATAACCTGGATCCAGTGATAACACAAAAAGTACTGAAAATATGTTTATGAAACTTGACATATGGGTAGATGGCAGTATGGAAATTATGCACATCCTTTTCTTATCTTCCTATGTTGAAAATTCTGGTTGCTATGGCAACAAATAGACTGAATTTCAAGATTTCTTATTCTAGTATTTTAAGTTTTTTCACTATAAGTTCTTTATTTCTTAAGGTATTTTCTTCAAACTTTAAATGTAAGTTGCTTGTCATCAACCACATCATATGTGGCAAGGTTTACAACTCTAGTACAAAATTTATCAGAATTACCTCCCTTGAACTTAAAATTTTCATGAAAAAAACATTGTTTTTTTTTAATAACTTCTTTTTCTGAATGTATCTACTTCTAACTTCATATAAATGTTTCTTATTGTCACTCAACATTTGTGAGTGTTCAATACTCTAGCAAGACTATTTCCAGAATTATGCCCCTTTTGAACTTAGACTTTTTTTTGAGAAATTGGTAATTTTTACTCCAACTTCTTCAGTCATGATAGGATTTTAAAGATGTTATATTTTGATAACAGGGATGTTTAAAAAATAACTTTAGAGTGTCCTTCAGTCCGTCTGTCTGTACATAAAAACTGTTTCCTGTGATCACTTTTAAAGAACTTTTTCAACAAATTTACTTAAAATAGGAACCTAAGTGAATGGCCCTTCAGAATGTTGCTTGGGCTCTTACCGGTAGGGGACTTATGGATTGCTTGCAATACTATGATAATTGCTTGTTTTCCCCTTTTTTGTACAAATGTATGTGTTTTTATCTACTTAAAATTAATTATTTTCTTCAATATATCAATGTAGGTCAGAACAAGATGGTTATTAACCATCTAGAGAAACTGTTTGTAACAAACGATGCTGCAACCATCCTAAATGAATTAGAGGTACAGCACCCAGCTGCAAAGATGCTGGTTCTTGCAACACAGCAACAGGAACAGGAAGTAGGAGATGGAACCAACTTTGTCCTTGTGTTTGCTGGTTCCCTTCTTGAACATGCTGAAATGTTGCTCAGAATGGTAAGAAATATATCAATAAGTATTCAAGTGAAGTCAATGTTGTTAGTGTAATTGTTTCACCCAATTTCACCACTGACTATGATATTGATTTTGTTTAAAACTTTTTACGCTACTTTCATTTAAAGAAAAATAATGAGGGAGTTTTTATGTAAGATAAATGTCTTTGTTTTGGTACTTTTCACATATGTTTTGGTTGTTTCAGGGCTTGTCAGTTACAGAGGTCACAGAGGGTTACGAATTTGCTTCAAAGAAAGCCCTGGAAATTCTGCCAGGTAGTTATCTCATTTTATTTCATAGTGTAATATTATTTTTTAATACATTATTTCAAAAACAAATTTGTGTTTGTTTGTGGTTAAACTTTCAATGTAAGCAACAGATAACATTATTCATGTAAACATTTGTAATGAACATGTATTTTTTCAAGCATGTTTGGCATGTTGTTTATAGATCATTTCTGTCAGCCTGCTTAACTCAGTAGGAAGAACATTTGCTCTTTAATCCAGGCTGGTTTGATTCTGAAGTGAGGTGAATTTCTCTGATGACAGAAGATCTCTGGCACTGAGTCTAATGGTCGTTTTTCTCTCAATCATGTGGAATTAGTAGTCAATCACTTGAAGAGAAATTAGAAGTAACTTGTTAGTTATCCTGGTTGGGTGGACTAACCCCCAAGAAATGACCAAAAATGTGTTGAAATAATAAAAAAACATATCATTTCTTTCTTTTATTCTATTTTTAGATTTGATTTGTGAACAACAGAAAGACCTCCGTGACAGAACACAAGTTGCTCGAGCCATTAAAACTTCATTGATGAGCAAACAATATGGACATGAAGATTTTCTATCCAAATTAGTAGCCGATGCATGTGGTAAGGAAACATAAAGTTTTGTTTCACTGAAAATGGTATAACAGGATACAAAAATCAAATGTGTTAAATTTCTAGATTAACTGTATAATGACAACTTCGTAATAACGCCTTTATCAGTTAAATATCATTTGTTGTATTTTGAAATTGTTGTTTATATATGAAGGAAAGACAAAAAGTAAAACCCACTTATTTTGTAGTATTTAAATACCATGTTGGTTAAAACTTTGTTTTTTTTTCTGTGAATTCTAATATTTAGTATGCTATGTTTTTCTTTTTCAGTTTCAATTATGTCAGACAAAGTTACATTTAATGTTGACAATATTCGGGTCAGTAAAATTCTGGTAAGTGACACATGTTTTGTGATCTTTTATAAGCATTAACCTGCTGAAACCAAAAGTAATCAGCCGTTGATAACTTCATATAGCAAGGCTCTATACTGTTTGCTGGCTAACTTCAAATTTTCCTTTTGATGTCCCTAAAATTGATAGTTAACAGTTCCAAAATGGAAGCTGGATAAATCCATTTAAGAAATTCAGGGTAAGATTATCTCAATTATGGGAATTTCAATTATTGTACAGTTTAGGAAGACAGGGATATTAAGTTGCCAAGAATATATATGGCATCTTGTATTTATTTCATAGATATTAACCGGACGAATTTACTGTGTAAAAAAATGACCTCAGTAACTGACATTGCATAGATAACATGTATAAGATATGATTATTTCTGTATCCAGGGTTCAGGTGTACTGCAGTCTTCACTCATACAAGGAATGGTGTTCAGACGAGCTGTAGAAGGGGAGGTAACCAAGGCCAGCAAATGTAAAATAGCTGTATACTCGTGTCCATTAGATATCATGCAAACAGAAACCAAGGTAAGTCGGAATAACTTATGTTCTATAATCATGTATAACGTTATTTCAGACCTTATCAAATGTAACAAATGAACTTCCAATGCTTGTACCATGTTACCTTCCAAAACATGTCTTATCAATTGTACCTTTCTTTCATTTGCTTTGTCTAAAAGAACCATTTATAATCCATACATAATTTTCGTTTCCAAAAAATCAAATCCATATTCTACTCCATGTAGCATGGATTTCATTTTCTGAGTCAAAGATTCATGTCAAAGCAGTTCTATTATCCAGGTTTTTACTGTGTCAACATGTTTAGAAATTGGTTGTGTGAAATTGAATACATAACTGTTTCCATTGGACACAGTATAGTTTAGTTTTTGCATGCAAGTTGGTATCAGGGAATGGGTTGAAACTTCACAAAGAATTGACTTTTACAGACAGCTGTTGTTTCATAATGAAGTCATGTCTTTATTTAAAGTTCATAGGCAAGCAACATTACAGTACAAACATAGAGATTATATTCATTTTGTTTCTAAACCAAACCATATTTTACTTGATGCAATATCCATTTTTTTCATCATTTAATAATGTTATAAATATTTCTACAATACTCTTTTGATTTATTTACAGGGTACAGTTTTAATAAAGAATGCAGATGAACTTGTAAACTTCAGCCAAGGAGAGGAAAATCTAGTAGAACAAGTATGCCCTCATTTATCTGTTTCCATTTAGTATTGTAACCTGTCTTATATGTCATAAAGGGTTATTATCCCCCGCCGAAAATTTTCGGCGGAGGATATAGAAATAGTCTCCGTCCGTCCGTCCGTCCGACCTTCCGTCCTTCCGAGCCAACATTTGATTATTATGAGCTTCATTCCGTAGTTAAATAAAGAACATAAACTCATAAAATTGAAATTAAGAGCTATTTTTTTGCTTTTATGAGCTTATTTTGCTTATGGACGTTGGTCCAGGTGGTGTTTATGAGCTCATTTGCCTCATAAACATCAAATTTTGGTACGTCCGTCCGTCCTTCCGTCCGACATTTTTGTCCGGAGCATATCTCTAAAAGTATTTGAGTTATCAACTTGAAACTTCATAGGTGGATAGACCTCATTGAGGAGGAGTGCAGTGCACAAGAATGATAACTACCTTGCATGATTTTTGAGTTATTGCCCTTTGTTATTTTTCAAAATTGATTTTTGTCCAGAGCATAACTCCAAAAGCCTATGAGATATTAACATGAAACTTCATAGGTGCATAGATCTCACTCAGGAGGTGTGCAGTGCACATGAATGATAACTCTACCTTTCATAATTTTTGAGTTATTGCCCTTTTTTATTATTCATACCTAATTTTTCACCTGAGTGGAGCATAACTCAAAAAGTGTTTGAGATATCAACATGAAATGTCATAGGTGGATAGATCTTATTGAGGAAGAATGTTGTGCGCAAGAATGATAACTCTTCCCTATACAATTTTTGAGTTATTGCCCTTTGTTTTTTTTCATGCTATTTTGTCCAGAGCTTATCTCAAAAAGAATTTGAGGTATCAACTTGAAACTTCAAAGGTGGATGGATCTCATTGACGAGGAGTGCAGTGCTTAAGAATGATAATTCTACCCTGCATTATTTTTGAGTTATTGCCCTTTGTTATTTTTCAAAATTAATTTTTGTCCAGAGCAATACTCAAAAAGCCTTTGAGATATCAAAATGAAACTTCATAGGTGCATAGATCTCACTCAGGAGGTGTGCACTGCACAAGAGTGATAACTCTACCTTTTATAATTTTTGAGTTATTGCCCATTGTTATTTTTCATACTTAATTTTTCAGTTCAATTTTTTTCTCAAAAAGTATTTGAGATATCAACTTGAAACTTCATAGGTGGATAGATTTTACTGAGGAGGGATGCAGCACAAAAGAATGATAACCTACCCTGCATTATTTTTCAGTTATTGCCCTTTGTTATTTTCAGCCATCAGTATTCACATAGGTTTCAAATCTGTAATCACTATAGCCATCAGTTTTCATTACCAAAAGACCTCTTAAAATAGAATTATTCTGTTCTACTACATATACATTCTTCCAATGAGCAAACACATTCGGCGGGGGATGGCCATGTTGACATGGCTCTTGTTGTAAATCATTTTGGGCAGTATCTTGTTTTTTACCTTGATATTTACTGTTTAAGATGGTTCTTTTTCATGGGGGGGAGGGGGTTGGGAAAGTAAGTAATTATAATTGCAGTGCGACACAGTTTCGCTTGCAATGCTAGATGTGTGTATTTGAAAGTAAATTTTTGAACTAATTTTAACTTGTAAAGATGAGTCTGTGCAACCTCAAGCAAAGTTTGCTGACTTCTAATTTCTGCTCATCTGTATTTAAATAAAAACATGGTCTTCTTTTAGTTCTTTTTATGTGGGGAAGCTATCCAGAAGGTTGATAGTTCTTACTCCAGGACCAGTTATGAATGGAATGATAGTCACTCAAATGTCTTTTTCCAGTAGAATGGCAGCTATGTGATCTATTAAAGTGTTAAATGAAATAAAAATCAGCAAGAAAGAAAAAGTATTAGACTTTAAGTTCAAAGATGTTTAAAGCTTTCACTAAATGTTATTGATTAATTTAGGCATTTTGTTGTATTTTCTTCCATTATTTTACAGCAAATTAAAGCAATAGCAGATACAGGTTGTACTGTGATAGTTGCTGGAGGTAAAGTTGGAGAGATGGCGACACATTTCTGTAATAAATACAAAATCCTCATCCTTAGACTTATGTCTAAATGGGACCTGAGAAGGTTGTGTAAGGCTGTATCTGCTACACCACTTCCAAGAGTGGGAAGATTTATAAGGTCAAGTTTATATACAACAGCTGCGCCTGCAGATGAGATGTCGTCGATTAAATTACATTTTGGCTAACCAAGATTATTGTGAGAGAAAATTTTATACAAGATTCTAAGAGTGGTAAGTATTTATATAGTCGATTGTTTGTCTTGAATAGTTACTGATTGATCATACTGTTGTATTTTATGTGATATATTATTGCTTGTTAATCCAATTCTGTCTTACTCTTTTGGACTTCATGATCAAGTTTTATTTTGACACTGTCTGAAATGAATCCTCTACCAGTGTAAGAGTAATTTTGAGATACTTGATATATTTAGTGTTTTGTCCTTCAATAGTTTAAGTATTTTCGAAATGTTACATACTTTTAGATTAGATTTTTGTTTAAGTGCATGTTTATATCATGGAACCTAAACGTCGAAATATATATTTCAGACACCACCAACCCCAGAGGAGTCTGGTTACTGTGATAATGTATATGTAGATGAAGTTGGTGATACTCCAGTTATTGTCTTTAGACAAGGTCAGTATCATTAAACAGTACCAGTGTAATATGACCGAAGGTTTTGTTAATTTTATCTGATACTTGTTATATGTAACTGAATTTAAATTTTAGTGTGCTCACTATGAAAAACATTTTAATTTAGTACAAGAACTCATTATAAGCATTAAACTGATAATAAATAAATTATAATAAATATACTAAGAAAGAAATTAGTTTGAATATATTTTTTCTAAAAATGTAGAATAGTTTTGAAGACTTATTCTTGTCTGGACATTGCGTAACTGAATATTGCTTAAATTTTGAAATACAGATACTGCATTTCATTTTCAATCCATTTGATATTGTCATGAACCTGCTCTGTATTGCATATACGGTTTGTCCAGTTATAGTTTAAGAGATTTTGATATCAAAATACTTGAATTAAGCAGTCCCAGTATAGTCACATCAGACTGCAGGCTCACCTCACTATATACTGCCAGCAAAATCTAGTCACTTTGCCTGTTCCATGAATACCATATATAGCCTAATTGGGTTGTAATTACTGGAGGTTTATTACTGTTTATTGACGATCTTTTACAGATCAAAGAAAGAGAGTGCCTTACGCTATTATTGCATCCGTGGATCACAATAATATCAGATGACATGGAGAGAGCCATATGACGGTGTTACACCATACAGCCCTTATCCATGAGTAGGATGTATCATGTATGGTCCGGAGCTGGAGCTTGTGAGATTGAGCTAGCCAAGCAAATCACAACCCTAGGAGAAAGTACACCAGGTCTTGAGCAGTATGCCATCAAGAAATTCGCAGAAGCACTAGAAGTTGTTCCAAGAACAATTGCTGAAAATGCTGGAGTAAAGGTAGATATTATTATACCTGTTTTTATTCCTCTACATTTTAGATTTTAAAATGATGGTTTGCTTTCATTTATCATAAGATTTAATGTGGAAAAAATAAATTCTGTGTTGGGTTATTTTTATTTTTTCTAACCAAATAAATTACTCTGTAAACTTGTAACATGTTTTGTTTGATATCCATTATAGGCAACTGAAGTATTATCACTGTTATATGCTGCCCATCAGGAAGGCAAGAAAAATGTTGGTGTTGATATTGAGGTTAGTACAATAAACAATTTACACTTTTATGCTCATGAATGACTCATTTGCTACAATGGTCATGTTGCAATTTTTTGAAGTTCTATAAATTATTTTGTTTTGCACAAATTATTTCACAACCTGGAAAATCTATGTTTGATACTTCAAGTTAAATGTATATTGTATGCAGCTTAATTGCTGACCAATACAAGTTTGTTCATATAATTGAATATTATATACCTTATATTTAAAGAAAGTTTTCTTTCAATGTTCAAAATGTACTTTTCCTTTCATTAGTCTTCAACAATTTTAGTATCCATATAAATAGTGTTTAACTTTTTATTAAACCTAAATTATTTACTGCAATATTTTATACAACAGTCTCAAGGTGCAGGTGTAATAGACAGCGCAGAGAAGGCATTGTTTGACCTTTACCTCGCCAAATACTGGGGGATCAGATTCGCTACTGCTGCTGCATGTACTGTTCTATAATATAACACCGACTATTTTTATACTTTTACATGTATGCAATTCCGGTATTCCCTCTCTCCCAATAAATGTCTAAAATCTATATTATCAGTCTGTCAAGATGTGATGTGTAAATACAGGAATTTTATGGTTTAAACTAATTGTATTTAAAGGCTGCTATTATCATTATTGCCTTTCAAGTTCTTCAGTTGAAACTTTGAATAAAAAGATAAATGACAAAAGCAAGAAATGCAAGTTCATAATGATCTGAAAAATGTATAGATCACTTACATACCCTTTTTGTCTGAAATTTAATATCAGATGGGATACAATCAAAAATTTCACAAAACTAAAGAACATGTTAGTGTTATGGTGAAATCTATGCTTATACAAGTTAAGTTAGAGTCGAATACATAAAAATTGTTTATCTAGTAACTGGCAAATGTGGGTTTCCATTCCCAGGATATAAACCACACTTTTACTGTTATTATGGTATAACTTTATGGTGTACTGTTTACAATAGAGTAAACAATGTGTTGTGCTTACATTTGTTACATTAACTTACCAAGGTGTAGCTGTGCTGTTAAATTGAAAAACAAAACACATTTGCCGAGTTTTGGAGTATCTCTATTGACATTGATTCAGAATTACTTTCATTTTTAAAGTATTTTATGTATCCATGCCATTTTCTGACAAATCAATGATGAAGTTTATTTTGTATTTACCATGTCATGAGTATTTTAATTTTCTTGTAGATAATCATGGCAAAGGCAGCTGGAGGCCCAAAACAACTATATCTTGGAGCTCGATCCTCTCCTCACACTCCCTCCATGATAGGAGTGTAGTCATAGCAGATACTTTCAGAAATTGGCCAGGACGGGATAAGTTTCTCAGAAAGTGCCTGGCCAGCCATCCTCTATCTGAAAGTCGAAACACACTGAGTAATTCTAACATTTGCACCATGGGGCAGAATTACTTAAACTATATACTAACAACCACACCGCAAGTAATTGAAACAGTAAGTGTATGTCCGAATTTGATTTACACAATCTCAAATCGCACAAAATTCAAATTGAACATTCATCAAGTCATCTTCCCTTAATTTGATGTTGATTATAGTTTATGAAGAAAAAGAAAATGCTTTTAAAAAGAAACTGAAAGCTAAGATGTTAATAAATTTAAACTTTGTGGTAAAGAAAGATGAAAAGACAATTCATTCATTGACTGCTAAGTATCAATGTAATACACTGTAACCATCCATGATCATTGTATTTTGTGACAGTCCATTCTGTCTTACAACACACTCTCTGAATCAGTTACGTTTATACCATCACAGTTCCTGAACAAATGTTGTTTGTTCGTATCATTAGAAATTGATATGAATATACAAAATAAGATATAGTCAGCCTTTTATGTACATGTATAGCTAAGTCGCTCATTTCTTATCAAATAATTACAAATAGAATTAGAAAAAAAAAGTATGTTTACCATTTAAGACATAATTGCAATTGACAGCTTTAGTAATCACGTCTTTAAGTACGGTTGTTGACAATGGTTTCGCTTGCGTTGTTTATAGTTGTTTTTTCTTTTTAAACTAAATTTGATTTGTTCAAAAACTCATTTAAGATCTTATCAAATAGAGTTTAGATATTAAAAAAAATACTAAAAACACTTAATCCATATAAGAAGTACACAATCAAAACATATCCATATAACAACACTTTCTATACACTATAAAATCGATATTCAACCACACATAGAGTTTATTTATAAAATTCCAAATTTGGAATTCTGGACCTGTTCAAAACATTGATCATTAAAATTTTTGTTTTACTTATTATTAATTATTTGATGGTTATATTTGTTACATGTATCTCTAGAATTTGAAGGACACAATGAGATTTTGAAAAATCTCTCTATAATATACCTCATGATATGAAAACAAAGCGCTGCCTGTTCATTTATGATATTTTTTGTGAGTGTGAATTCTGCATTTTCTCATATTTTCATAATTCTTTATTTATACAGCTTTTATACATAAAAACTGCTCGTGTGAATGTCACTAACATTTGAATGAGTAAATGAAATTCTGAAATCCATTATTTGTTCATTATTTCTTCCCACAGTGTTGATAAATTTAAGTTTACTATTAATCTTACCCTAATTTATGCACCTGAATTGTGCCGTTCCGTTGGGCAATGGCAAATTTCCTTCTAAATGATGGAAACAAATTGAAACTATTATGGCGAGCAATTAACCATTAAATGAGATGATACGCAAAGTGCAGGGTTTCAATTCTGTCTATAAGGTCATTAGTTTGAATTAAAAATTTTTTGTCCAGCTTTTTATCTTTTGAAGGGTTAAAAGGGGAAATAAGAAACATTTTGGGGCAGAAATGAGACGATGTGTAGAACAAGAAATTGGAACTTCATCAGAATTATGAGGATCAAAATCCTGGAAACCTCCGAGGATCCTTTCCGATTTTATGTAGGGCCTATAGTAGGGAAAACATTTAAATCTCATTAAGTTGAAAATGTTCCGATTTCGCTATTTCTTAGATGGTCCCCCTTCTAGACCTCTTACAAAACTGGAGAAATCATGCCCCCCTTGAAACAATATTAGCCCCGCCCCTGGGGTAATTGGATCTATAATCTACACTTTTGTTTAGGAAAACAAATTCGAGACTTACTGTTTGTAAGCTACAATACCTTGTCAGTGATATAAATCCTCATCATGGGGCCGGCACTTGTGTTTAATATTAGCCCCACTAAAGGGTCGCTTAGTTTAATAAACATCTCACTCCATGAGGGTTTAGACTGAAAATAATTTTTCAAGACTTTGCTTATTTTTAGCTCGACTATTGGATAAGAATAAGTAGAGCTATTGTAGTCCCACAGCGTCTGCCGTAAACACTTGTGTTTAAGTTTTTGTAATACCTCAAATATTTTCAAAGTCCATTGACATATGGCTTTGAAACTTTGCACACTTGTTCACCATCATGACCCCAACCTGTAGACAGGGGAGGTAACTGTATCAAGCATTTGACAGAATTATGCCCCTTTTTTGACTTAGAATTTACGTTAAATTTTTTGTAATACCTTAAATATTTTCAAAGTCCATTGACATATGGCTTTGAAACTTTGCACACTTGTTCACCATCATGAGCCCAACCTGTAGACAGGAGGAGGTAACTCTATCAAGCATTTTGACAGAATTATGCCCCTTTTTCGACTTAGAATTTTACGTTAAAGTTTTTGTAATAGTTCAAATATTTTCAAAGTCCATTGACACAATGGCTTTGAAACTTTGCACACTTGTTCACCATCATGAGCCCAACCTGTAGACAGGAGGAGGTAACTCTATCAAGCATTTTGACAGAATTATGCCCCTTTTTCGACTTAGAATTTACGTTAAAGTTTTTGTAATAGTTCAAATATTTTCAAAGTCCATTGACATATGGCTTTGAAACTTTGCACACTTGTTCACCATCATGACCCCAACCTGTAAACAGGAGGAGGTAACTGTATCAAGCATTTTGACAGAATTATGCCCCTTTTTTGACTTAGAATTTACGTTAAATTTTTTGTAATACCTTAAATATTTTCAAAGTCTATTGACATATGGCTTTGAAACTTTGCACACTTGTTCACCATCATGATCCCAACCTGTAGACAGGAGGAGGTAACTGTATCAAGCATTTTGACAGAATTATGCCCCTTTTTTGACTTAGAATTTACGTTAAATTTTTTGTAATACCTTAAATATTTTCAAAGTCTATTGACATATGGCTTTGAAACTTTGCACACTTGTTCACCATCATGATCCCAACCTGTAGACAGGAGGAGGTAACTGTATCAAGCATTTTGAAAGAATTGTGCCACTTTTTATGCCCCCACAGAGTGGGAGCATATAGCGTTGCACTTGTCCGTCCGTATGTCCCGAAATCTTGTGAACGCAACTTCTCTTAAACCGGATGGCAGATTTTGCTTAAACTTCCAGGGATGAACAACCTTAATGTGTAGATGGTAGGAAAGGAAGGAATTTTTGCTGCGACCAAATTTAACAGAATTATGGCCCTTTGTTGATTTTTTCACTATATACTATGTAGAAATTTTGTGAACGCAACTCCTCTTAAACTGGATGGCAGATTTTGCTTAAACTTCCAGGGATGAACAACCTTAATGTGTAGATGGTAGTAAAGGAAGGAATTTTTGCTGCGACCAAATTTAACAGAATTATGGCCCTTTGTTGATTTTTTCACTATATACTATGTAGAAATTTTGTGAACGCAACTCCTCTTAAACCGGATGGCAGATTTTGCTTAAACTTCCAGGGATGAACAACTTTAATGTGTAGATGGTAGTAAAGGAAGGAATTTTTGCTGCGACCAAATTTAACAGAATTATGGCCCTTTGTTGATTTTTTCACTATATACTATATAGAAATTTTGTGAACGCAACTCCTAAACCGGATGGCAGATTTTGCTTAAACTTCCAGGGATGAACAACCTTAATGTGTAGATGGTAGTAAAGAAAGGAATTTTTGCTGCGATCAAATTGAACAGAATTATGGCCCTTTGTTGATTTTTATGCCCCCACAGAGTGGGAGCATATAGCGTTGCACTTGTCCGTCCGTATGTCCCGAAATCTTGTGAACGCAACTCCTCTTAAACCGGATGGCAGATTTTGCTTAAACTTCCAGGGATGAACAACCTTAATGTGTAGATGGTAGTAAAGAAAGGAATTTTTGCTGCGACCAAATTTAACAGAATTATGGCCCTTTGTTGATTTTTAGCTCACCTGAGCTTGCTCAGGGTGAGCTTTTAGGATCGATGAATGTCCGTCGTCCGTCCGGCCGTCCACAATTGCTTGTGAACACTCTAGCGGTCGCATTTTTGCCTCAATCATCATCAAACTTGGTCAGGATGCTTATCTAGTTGAAAGCTCGGATGAGTTCGAACATGGGTCATCTCAGATGAAAAACTAGGTCACAAGAGCTAAAAATAGAAAAACCTTGTGAACACT